GCATCAGTCCACGTATCTTTAAAGAACTTTGCCGTATCAAAACTCTAGTAAGAAGAGGTCGAAATAAATGAAGAAGGATGAGACAATTTCTATGTTATATAAGCAGTTACTCAAATTATAAAAAGAATTAGTACTTGTTCTTGAGGAGATAAACAAGCGAAAGCAATCAATGACTTGGACCAATGCAAAATTTGGAAAAATAAACGAGCTGCAGCATCTCTTGTTGTTGATGATATTTCATTAATTGTACACGATGAATCTGATTCAGATCCAAATTCTGGCTGCAGAAAAAGCTAATCAAATTTTTCTGATAATTTTCTCTCCATTTCAATCTCATTTCAGCCGAGATTTTAGTGTATTTATATGTTGACACTACTTCATTTAAATATATGCAACCAAAAAAGGGTGAATGAATTAAATATTTAAACAATACGTAAGGAAATGTAAAATAGTTAATTGATAAATCATTATATATACATATAATCACAAGAATAACAAAGACTCACGGATCGTTCTCCAGCAGAAGATGGTGAGGAATAAAAAGTGATATGCCTTCGCATAGTTGAATTTCTTGGTCCTCTTTCATGCTGTACTGCTTCTTTGTTCATGCCTATTTCCAAACATTTTGTTAGACGACATGCTCGACATTGATTTCGATGTGTTTTATCCACTAAACATTTACCCTCTTCACCACCACCTCGATTTTTGCACACATATTGGCGATGCCGTCGGATGGAACGCTGCAGTTCAGCGATTTGAAATTCTTTAATAACTGTTTAAATATTTGTTAAATTAATTAAAAGATTATCACGAAAACCCAAAACACTAGGAAATAAATAAGATGCAAAGAAATCTAAAAACCTTGAAAAATCCAGCACAGCCATCACAACTGAATATGCCATAATGCTTTCCTGATGAATGATCCTGACATACCCGACAAGGCACGTCTAATAATATACGACCTGGAAGACTATTTCAATTGAAATAATTTTGACATTCTTCTAAAAAAATTCGACTAATTCCAAATTGATTTTAAACTAATTTCATTTCCAATTAGGATTGAAAAACATAGGGAGAAAGAAATGTTTATTTTATCCATTTTTATCCACTTATTTTGGTCAGAATAGGAATTTTCCACCGAAATCTGCTTTTCAAAATAGGTTCATTTGTCACATAAACATATATATATATATATATATATATATATGTTTACGTTCTTTTTTTGCTTATGTGCATACATGTGATACGGTAGGACATAAGAATCATTTTGTGGATAAAACGTTAGAGGCCGATAAGTAATAATGTGAAAAAGCACCCCAGGCAATGCTCTGGTCTTCTATTGGGATAAAATATATATCTCCTTCAGTGCTAGTCGAAAGATATGTCCACACAAAATATTCATCCCACCGATCATTTCACAATAATTATTTATTCAACAGTCTTCATGATGCTGCTTGTATTTTTAAGCTTTAGTTTCTACTTTAAAGTTATAATTTAGTCGTTTCTCGAGATATTAGTGCCAGTTATCTCACTAATCTGTATCAATCTTTTTCAGTAAATTTTATGAATTTTTTGAAAAATAATGGAAGTAGAAAAATAAATTTCCCATGTGTTTCCTTTTTTTTAGAAAACCAATGATCCAATCCAAAAAGATCAGAACAATCAATTATGCAACAAGAACGTTAGTCATTTTGGAACAATCGACTTTCCACAAAAATATTTCTCGAATTTAGTCGGTTTTCCTCACAAACATTTAAGAAATGAAGGATTTTTCCAGGTTTTCAAAAACCAATTATGAATCCAGATAAGATGAATCTCAACTTATTAATGCAATTTAAAATTCATTCCTTTTGTCGCCATTACTTAAATATTGAATTTCTGTGGACATCAAGCTTCGTATGAGACTTATCATATCTAACCTTTTACTGCTAGATCCTTTCATTCCTGTTCACTTCAACATTATAAATAAGTATTTTCCCTTCCCTTTCATTTCGTATTTCCACTTGGTTGGCTACAATTTTTATTTCTTTGTCTGTAATCTATATTTTGCTATCATACTTCTTGGATTCTAACCCAGTAAAAAATATAACGCAAAGCACTTGCCGCAAGATACCACTTCAATATCACTAGTAATGAATAAACGAGTAATATTATTTAAGCTTAAGCTTATGGACTTGATAATCTATATTTGTCTTTCTTAACTATATTACTCAGCTATTATCTCATCTATGTAATATACTATCTTTCCTGTATCTTCATATCTGAAGTTTAATTTTAGAAGTGAGTAATTAAATAACTGATGCATAAGTTTAATTATATAATAGTATCTGATAAAAGTTACTGATATTGACGGATTAGAGAGTCGTATAACAGTTAGGGGATCAAAATATTAAGTCTAAAAATGTGATTTAGGTCAATGATGAAAATATAAAAGTACTACGATTTTTGTCGCACCAATAAAAAGTCCAAATGTTGAAACTCTGAACATGTGTAATGCATATGTAATACACTTTTTCCGAATAGCTCTCAATAAGTAAATGAGCAAATTCCTCTGAAAATTAAATTTTGTCAGCAGGCAAATTACACAGAAAGCATGTCAGGTGTGCGTACACTTAAATTTCACCTCCAACTGAAATCTTTTACTTATGCAATCTTTACTAAAATTCATATTTTATTCATGGTTTCCTGGTAAGGGATTCATTAGTGGCAGGCGCAAACGTAGTAAATAGAATGAGACAAACAAGATCTATGACTTAAATACTGGTTCAATATATATTCACCTGAAATATGCATTCATTTCAAATTATTTCACTTATCTAAATGTGACGATTCTAAAAAAAAAAAAAAAAAATCATATACCTTTTAGCGTCAGAGTACTAGACATATTTGTCTCTAAACATATTTGTCTAGAATAACTCAAAAAATGGTAAATAAGTGATTCATTGTTTTAAAAATGTTACTTTTTTGCCATCTCTGAATTATTTCTGAAAAAAAGTAAAGCTCGAATGATATCTTCATGTATTAATAAATGCAATGTGATACCTTTTTCTTTCAAAGTAGCATACTGAGTTTAAGTTTATTAATGCATGGAGGTAATATTCAAAATTACTGTAATAGAAATGTTGAAAAAGTTGTTAAAACGGAAGTACTTTAAATTCACAACAACGATGTGATCAAATGGCATCACATCAACACCACTTATAAACTACTTGCCAAAGAGAGGAAGTGTATTTGCAAACTGGTATAAATATAAGGTGTCATAAAATAGCCTTTACCTTCAAAACAAATAATATACGCTTCTGTATTTTTGACATAATTTTTGGTAAATCCAAACTCTGGAATAGAAATTTCACACTCAACAAAAAAAAATTTATTTAGAATCAGAATTTAAAATGCACGGTTCGAAAAATATCCTTCATATCCTGATTTTAGAATTTTAATTTTAACGTTAATTCAGCTGAACAGAACGTTTGGTTCTCCTTTAAAAAATTATAAATTCATGAGAATATAAAATCTATAATGATATCAGTGGAAAAAAGTTTATGGATAAAGTCATAAATTTATGTCTTTACTAGAAAAAGTGAATAAATTCATTTTGAAATGTTTTTTGGAATTAAAATCTGGTGTCATGATTGACAGTTGTACAGCTTGAATCAGTTAACTTTTGCAGCAAATAAAAGATTCAAATTTATAAAGCCAACGGCAACTAGTGTTTGCTGTTTCTTTTATAAAAATTACAATAGATTTGAATAAAAACTTTAATTAAATTTTTTAACAAAGACTTAATCTCAAGTAATTCCCAAAAAATTTGAAAGTTCTAAAAATTGCACTGAAGGATACCACACTACTATTTATTCATCAGTTTCCATGCTTAATTTAGCCTAAACCAAAATAAATAAGCTATTTTGTGAGATAAACATTGAACGGAAGTGTTAAGAATTCTTAGATTAATAGAAAATTAAATTACTTAAGTTTTCTCTATCAGTCCTAATAAATACAGATTTTTGTAAAGTTATTAGACTGAAATTAGCTAAGAGTTACTTAAGGTCATGAAAATAAAGGAAAAACATAAACGAATAACGACACAGATATTTTTAAGGGATAATTTGATGTTTACATATATAATTAGCTGTCAATAACAAAGTTAAAAACTGAATAAATTTGTGAAAATAAAAGTTATTCAAGAACTTTATATATTATTAGTTAGAAACATACTTGATGAATTTGTGGATGGTCCTGAAGTTTGCATATATGAAAATGGTAAATATCGCTTAGACGGGGATCGTCGACGGATTGACTTGATGCCGAAAAGCAAAAAGTAATGGGTGCGATTAATGTTCGGAGAAAGTTAACGAACAATTGCTGGCCATAGTCAGTATAGGGTGTGTCTCTTCCGGAACACTCCCTCTTTCCTTTCTCTCTCTCATTCTCTTCATCTTCGTTTCATGATTGGCGTAATGGCAGTTCTCCGGGATACGGTGGGTGTGCACTAACACTTTCCAACCATTTAGATCAAATTCTTACTTGTATCTCTATTGGATGACCGGTGTTGCAAAAGTGGTTTTTCGTTTAACAAAAGTCGACAATCCAGAAAAGTAGTATTAGCGTTGAAGACAGCAGTTCTAGAAAGTGCGTGGAAATAATACTTTGATGAGCGATTTACTCAAATCCTGGGTTTCTAATAAGCGTAGCGTATTCTATGAGCATACGATTATATTTAGACGTTTTCTTCATTGCTGTATACTGCATACATGGATGTTCGCCTTTCTCACTTGACTCAGTATCCATTACTGCTCTCAAGGCCATCATTCTTAGTATCAAGCATGACATTCTGATATTTATAAAAATAATCGTAGAGTAATAAACATCTATAAAAATGTAACACATTTAAATTATTGAAGTACAGTGCCTTTTAAAATGAATTTTAATGGACTGCGTTTAAAAGTTATGAATACGATTGTTGATTATGATTCTCTTTTAAAATTTAAAAAATTTTCAAAATGGAACAGTTTGGTGTGCTAATGATCCATTTGCAGAAAGAGATAAAGAAGAGGAAAAGAGGGAAGACGGTTGGGAAAGGAATTGATAGAGCCGAAGGCAGGTAAGCGGATACCCAAAATATCCTCTATCACATAATATATAATAACGGGAAGCAGTGTGCGGAGGTGATTAGCGATTTGCCGCAATTCATTGTTCAAAATCGCTTTCATGCCCAATTGAACAGCTCAAAATTGATAGATCTATTGGAGCAGTGCTATATGCACTACTACCACGCTACTGTCAACCAGCCAAATTGTTAGGTTAATTTCCAACTTTTTAAATTCTTAAAATGGTAAATATTTTTTCTTTTATTTGCATCTTGGCTAACTGAAGGTGAGTAAATTGTTTCATGCAGTTTCGGATATGTAAAGTTTCTTATATGTATACGAGTCTTGAAAAATAATTTTTGCATTATATGTTTAGATTTGCAAAATTTGTTTCATCTCTTTTATATTCTTTATCAGCATCTGAAAAGAAGTAAGATCACGGGTTAGAACTTTTGGAAATGGGACAACACTTAATATTGCTTGAAATTTTTTCAACGGAAACGTTTCGGAAAATTTAACTCTAGCTTTCAGAGTTGCCTTAGAGACAAGAGGCATATGGCATCCTGTGCCAAGTATTGCTAAAACAGCAATACAACAATAGAGCAGCAAAGAGGCAATCCAAGTAGATACTTCAGAAGGCCCTCAAACATTCAGACCGAATGCTTCTCCTCTTTTGGCTGTTGGCCTAAGATTACTACTACCATTGAAGAGTCCATTTTATGTCATCATTGCAAATGTTAAAAATGCATTTCACTTCCTATTAAATTCAATCAAATCATCAAAACTTTCCTGTTTTAATCACTACACTAAGCTCATTTTGGAAAATCAACAACTAGAAAAGTTCAGTGTAAATTTATTAGTATATATATATATAAGGATAACCCATCACATTATACAGAGATATAGTTGGATTAAGCAAATTATTACAGTCTAAAATACTAGAAGAACTCTAATGAAGCACTGTAAGATAATTCAATAGTTATAGTCAATTGCAATGACATGAACATGCAAATGCGTAACAAGTATTGGAAAATGCCGACAAACAATAGAAGCGGCGAAGTTTTTGTGTTGCTATCGAAAAAAGCAGTCCTTAGTTAATCTGCTATGCGATATCCAAATACCTAAATGATATACTTGAATAATGACGTTCACATTACTATTTGAGAAAAAATTGAATCGAGACAGACAGATCTACAGATATAACGAAATGCATTCGTTATTCGTAACTTAACTTCTGTAAGTCCTACTCTTTTCAGTAGGTATCTTTCGCTTTTTGCCATGCATTCCATTTGTTTACAGAAAACAAAATTGGTCCCTTGTAAATCACTGCTACTCAGCACCAAAATCTGAAATGAACTAAACTCCAATACATCATCATCAGTCATCACTAAATGATAGTGAAATTATGCAATGAGAAACTTTAATACTATATTTGTCAAAAATTCCAGTTTTTTTACAAAAATTGCATTTTTTCGCAATCAAAAATATTCTGCAAAATCAAATAATATCCTTTAACATGGGACTTTTTTGTGTCTAATCTGACAAAATTAGCAGACTTCAAATGGAGTCTGTCATATGGAACAAATACTAGCTGAACTGATCCAGCGATTCGCAGGTGATTGATTAGTATTTTATGCACTTCAAACTTTAGATCAGCGTTAATGTATTATGAAAACGGACGGTAGATTTTGCTAATAATTTTCTGATCCACCGTGATGTACTATACTTCATATGCTGACGTATCGTCATAATTTCAAAACCTTTAACCAATAATTCTGGATAAAGTAATTCAAAAGTTATAACTATCTTTAGTCAAAGTTCGAAATTTGAAATGACTTCAACTTTTAATTTTCTTGAACTTAAGTGTCACTTGCATTAAACGTGGCAATTTACTGGTAACTATGGCTCTGTTATTTGGAGAAGGAAAGTCTGATAATATATGATGCTAGGATTATCTTCATGACGTAATTCGCGGTAGCATTGCATGCGAAACACATGTTCGGTATCACTGGAATAGACTCTCTTCGGCCTTTTTATTCTTTGGTAGTACTATTTGACATATCTGTTTCATTCATTGAAAATCCTTCAACAGTTTCTAAATTTCTTCAATAACCCAGCTATTATTCTAAATTCTGAATTAATACGCCTGTTAAGTTTACTTTAGTTAAAATAGTTTTGGATTTCCTGTAATGAATAACTTCAATTTAAAGTAAAAGTGACAGAATCCCTTCCATTTTTAATTTTGTAAGAGATAAAATCAATCCAAAATCTTCAATTTTAAACGAATAAAAAATATATGTGAATATAATCACGAAACTGTTATGGTCGATAATCTAGCATGTTACCCTCTTAGATCGTGATCCCAAAACTAATATAGGATATTAAAAATAATCGCTAGTTGTAGTAATCAAAGAAAAAAAATCTTAAAGCTTTGCAACCTGATATTATTAAATGTTGATTTCATCACATTTTGGTATCACTCTTAAATTTTAGGAAGGGCGGGAAAGTGAAGAAAGTTAAGTTCATGCAAAGAATACCAGTACTAGTCATTTACATATTGGACGGTAATGTTTGTGCAATCAACTATTTGCACATTTGGCTAGTGGTAGAAAATGGAATATTTATGATGCTATATAGATACGGTATTAAGTGACTATTTCCCACTCCGTCATACTGAAGCTGTAACCTCTCGACCTTCAGCTTCAATTCCCCAGGCATTTCTATAAAAGGACTCTGTATACACCGGATATCAAAACTACTTCAACCAATAGACCAAATGACCTGACATTTTTGCATTTGTCAACAAATTGGCACTCTTTGTCCATCAAATGAAACCACTGTTCTCTGCCTCATCACATGAAAGCACTATTTCAAAACCACATATACTTCCTTTGCTTATTTACCGAAAAATGGACTCACAGTTGAGGAAAAGCAAATTGCTAGCTTCGCTCTCAATAATCGACTTCACCAATATTAGTGCATATGGACCAGATGCTTGTCACGTATTTGGCATATTTTCATTTCTATATTATTTTTTACAACAGTTGCTGTATCGTATTCCTAGCATTAAAATTTTTGAAACATTTTATCTTACTTAGTTGTCTTTCCTCTAAGTGATACATTCTCTTGCTCGAAATACTTTAAAGCATATGTGCACTTTCACCTGAAAACTGGAGTTCAAGCAATAAGCATGGTAAGATTCATTTGAAGCAATTGGAGGATTTATTGGCGTTCGATGATTAGAATGATATTTCAGATTCATGTGAAACAATTGAATTATTGGTAGTTAGAATGATCGTTCGATGATTCCTACTGTCCAATATTGTCCACTCGATAAGCCCACTAATATTAATTTGCATATGGGCACTTGAGCATATTACATGGTCTGCTCAACTTTTCATTAACATTATAATCCAAGTAAATCAGTTGTCAGCTCATAAAAGCTTTTCGACAACATTACCCACAATATCATATTTCCTTCATTCTAAAAATTCGAAAATTTGAAAAATTAACTTTAGTCATATATTAACAGAAAAACAATATTATTTGACATCGCATCGAAGAAAATCAACGTTTTAAACAAAAAGCCTTACAGTTTAAACATTAAAAAACAACATGCTTTCATTTCAGAAGAACTTCAGTTACCCTGTCAATAAGCCTTAGGTTTTGTCATTCATTCATTCACTCACACAATCTTTGTTGTTCAACAGCGAACTCAACATTTAACTCAGCTTTTTGATTTTGATAGTTTCCCGAGAAAAAAAAAATGAGCAAACTGCACGCGAAAGATAAATTGGAAAGTTTCCCATCTCGACCTCCAGATAAATCATATATGAAAAAAGGTAGAAAGAAATCCAATACAGATGCGATATATGAAGTATTCGAAAAATCGATACAGTCTAAAATGAGATTATCTTGATGATAATAGGATTAATTTTTTAGAACGAATTTTTATTTTCATTGCTATCAATTACTGTAGTGCTGAATCGAATGAAAAAGCATCGTATGCATAAGTTTTCAAGGAAAATATTTTTGTTTTTTCCACATTCGCAAGGGGTTTGTAAAGACAAAACCATAAAATGTTGCATAGACGACAGAGAATAATGCTTTAGAATTAATGGCACATTTCCATGATTCAGTTCAGAAAAAAAGCTAATAGAAAACGAAAAAGAGCATGATAATTTGAAGATAAAGACCGAATGAAAGATGAACATTGAATGTCGTATGGGATTTTCAAAAGGGAAGATAAAAATAAAGGAAAACTAATAAAACTGAGAGGAGAAACCAAAACGTACATCATCGAAAAACAAAAAATGAAGTGAAGCTGTTAGCCGATGAGATCGAATAACATGAAGCCAAACGAGTGCCTATGGAAGCAAATCATCAGCTATGCCTTTTTCACGATATTCTTCCAACCCCTAAAAAAATGACCAATTGAATGACAAAGATTATTTAATAATCTCACAAAGAAAATTGCTATTGTATTACACTAAGCACCAAAAGAATTTGCAAAGAAGTTCCGTAAAAGGAAAAATGAAACCCAATCCATAAAATGAACAAACACCAGAGAGTTACAGCACGAAGACCAAGAAAACATAAACCTTAAGTATAGACTTCAATCAATACAATGCATAAGTAACCAATTCATTGCCGCAACAGTCCAACCACACAAAATCGCCCAAATGAATCAAATAAAAAGGTCTTAAATACTCGAAAAATATAACTTATCTGTACAGTTGCAACAGATTACCTCTCCAGAATAAGAATAGAGGGGATGAATGAAAATGGGACGATCGACGCAAATCGGTACATTGGCTTTTATAAGCCAACGCTTGCATTCAGCGTAATAATCACGGCGGCAAGTGCTCATACAGTCTTTTCCTATATTTTCTGAATTTTTTAAAGGACTGAATTCTTCTGAACGTTTAACTTCCCATACATGGAAATTTCTGCAATCAATGAAAATATGGTAATGAACTACGGAAGGAAAAATTACGGCATTGCAAAAAGAAAAGGAACAAAAGTGATTAATACTGATAACAGAATAAAGTGTGGAGATCCTGTGGTACAGTCTATTAGTAGCGCAACAAGCTTTATTTTGGTGTCTGAAATGATACGTTTGAGTAATAGAAAAAGTCACTCCAATTCGTTGTTGTAGTGTCATCAAGAGAAATTTTATTGAAAGACCGGATAATAATATATAAAGAAAATTTACTTAGCACATTTGAAAGCATCGAAAATGAAAAACTCGAGTTTATAACCATTTTCTGTTTCTGGTTTCACTGAGATTCCAGTCATTCGATCAATGAACGGGATTTTTTTGAAGGCACGATGAAGAGGTAATTTAAAATTGGCTGCTGAAAACAAATTTTGAACAAATTTAGTTAATGAAAGAAAATTTAAGTCCAAAAAGCAATTCTTATCTTAAGTGTGAGAAACTAGAAATAACAAGTAATTTGAATTATTTAGAAATTCAAAACCAAATGAGTCGAAAAAAGAACCTAGATAAGCAGCCAAACGAACATGTAAATGAAATTTGATTTCCCATTCTACTATCACCCACATCACTTAGACTTCCGCTATGACGCTCTTCTATTGAGGTACGATATCACATCACAGCACTTTCTTCAAAACAACTTACAATTTCATCCCGCACACACAATAACTATTTTTTCAATCAGTCTTCACAAACCTGCGTGAACAAAGTCGCAAGTGAAGAAATGACTTGCAATATTTCCTGAGCGAAATTTGAGGCGTCCTGAATCATCTCGAGCAGCAGCTAGTTCCAGGGGTAGATCCGAATATTCAACAACTTGAACACCATCTGATGTTTGACATATTACACCAACTCGTTCAAATGGATCAGTTTTTTCCACAACCTGGAATGATTTCCACAATAAAGCGCTAGAAATTTCAGAATGAAAGTTAAGAAATACTTAGCCACTTTTAATATAATCTATAGGATTGGTTAGTCATCGGATGCGCAACAGTACCGTTATCAAGGAAAAAGCATCCGTTCAATTCCCTTATTTAAATTATCGATAATGAGATAGTCAAATTCCAATTGGTCAAGTGCAATATTCCTACTTTTGCGGCACAATCTACATTTTTCTTGATACAATATCCAATAAAGTGCGGATCTGCCACACGACACAAAACGTTGTCAACACCATAAACATGAAAATATTTGATTTGATTATTTATAGAGGAAGTGCAATGAGCTTCCAAGCATTCATAAAGGCCACCATTTCCATCTGAAATAAATTTCAATCAGATTCATTAAATTACAGTATTGGTGGCTACAGTGGAGCAATAAACAGAATGCTCACTTGGAGAAACCTCGAAACTGCTCTTTGAAGATAGAAATAAGCCACCATTTATGTCATAGCATGGAATTGATCGTTGTGAAAGTACTATAAGCTGTCCTGCATCAATACTAGCTACTGGAAGCACATCACGGAGATGCTTCAGTGTTCCCTCTGCGGTAGCCGAACTCGTCAACACAACCCTAATTTATGTTTTATATCAACAACTTTCCTACAGAACCCAGTCTAAGTAACTCATAAAGAATTTAATAAGAGCTATGAATGCATATTCTTGATTGCTTTATTTACAATTTTACAGTGCATAAGTTACTACATGGGTGATAAAAGATTTCGAATTATAAAATGTTCCAGAATGAGTAGAGCTAAAGAGTGACTTTATTTCAAGAAAACCATACCACCAGATCTTTGGGTCTGAATTCGGGAATGCCGCTCGAGCAAGGTCTTGCAAACGTGAAATACGAGCCGCTTGCAAGGCGAAAAGTGAATCAGTTATGTCGCAATCGGTGAATCCCAAGGAAAGGGTACCCTTAGGTTCAACTGATCCGAGCCGTGTTGCTTGACCGCCTGCCAGAACCACAGCAGCAACTTGTCCCTTTGCTATTGCTTCCAAACCTAAACATTATTAAACAATATGTATTCTGAGGAGACTTATACATTCCGAAAATCCAAAGCAATTTTAAAATTTGGCAACTAAAAAGGTTACAGAATAGGACATCAAAGCTATTTAATATAGATCGGTTACCTTCCTGCAAGCAACTGATAGCCGTATAGTAAAAAACTTTAGAGCAGTATGGTACTACCTGTATTCCAGTATTCCTTCATGATATTTTCGTCAATATCATTTGGAACAAAGTAGTGATCTTCACTGATTGGTTCCAAGCCTTCCAACTTCTGAAGAGAATTATAAACTTCAAGATACTCCTAGAAAACCATCTTTTTTTCATATTGCAAGACCGGATAAACTCATAATCACAATTTATCATAATAGATAAGAAAAGGAAATTTTACAACATCAAGAATCGTTGACATACCACTGGAAGTGCAGATTCCTTGAACGCTTTGTCTATTTCGTGCATATTATACAAAGTAAATTGATCCACTAACTGCTGTCGCTCCTCTGGTGTAAGGTCATTCCAGAAACGTAGCAGATAGTCATGTTTGCCAAAAATGGCCATTGCCTTTGATCGGTCTTCACGCATAGCTATGCGTAATATCAGTGTTATACTCAAATAAAGCAAAAAATATAATTCGAGTCTGAAATATAAAAGAAAGAACTGATTTAAAGCAATCATTTCATGCAATTTCTTCATCTTTTCTACTCATATCCAGAAAGATGAAACGAAACGTCCTTTTTCTTGGTGTATTTTAAGTTTATGAAATGATAAAAAGCGTTACCAAATCCTTTGCAAAAAAAAAAAAAAAAAAATGGATCGCGCAAGATAGATAGTCAAGAAAAGACTCCCTTGAAAGTATTTGATTTTTGATAAAACAACTTCTAACATTAAATGAACTGAAAAGTGCTTTTACTGTACTGAGGAAATAATACATCTACTGGTATATATATATATTGGAAGACTAAACTTTCCTTTGGTCACATTATTTAAAATTGAACTCATTCGGAAGAAAAAAATTGATAAAATCTCGTGGATTTCTTGCACCTTTTTTCGATGACAAACGGATAGCCAGGGGACAGAAAGAAAGGCAGAGAAAAGGAAAAGCGGAGCGGAAGGAAAAGGTTTGAATCTGGGAATCAGATGCAGTTTAACAAATATCCTCTGAGTGTAAACTAATATGTTTGTGGAACAGAAACAATAACGAACACCAAAAGTCGTTACAACCTGATAGTTTCCCGCTAACATGTAAAAACGAAAGGCAGTTTAAATATCGAGTCGTTGAGAAAATTTGTTCGCACAATTGTGCTTCATGAGTTGGTGAGATTCTTGAAGTGTTTGGCATGGGGTCTTGGGCAGTAGTACGGTAGCGAGGGAGTGGGACGCTTATGACCGGCAAGGTGTCGTGCAGTGTATTCGTGGTCGGTGAGAGTTTGTATAGTGTTTTGCCTGCTTCCCGATTGTCTTTTGGTTATTTTTATGTCCATTTTCAGTCGATGTTGTTTCATTTCTTCGAACTCTTTTTTGGTCGTTTAGATGGGTTTGACGGCACAGGGATTGCTTGCAGACTTGATAAATAAAAAATGGAAGTCTTGACGAAGTCGAGATTCTAAAGTATTTAGATTTTCTCAGAATAATTATGACTCCAGTGATATAGGATCGTAAATCAGGATTTCTGAATTACATGTTCTACACGTATTTCTCGAATACTTATTGTATGCGAGGTTTCATTATGAAGTCTTTAAATGTAGCAGTTTCATTATGAAACTGTTATATTTAATTCGATAAACCCTCTAATGCAGTTAATTGATTAGGAATAATGGCACTGTCTGACGATTTCGTGGAACAGTCATGCGGAGGAAGCAGGTCATCACTATTCCCATATTTCCCAATACGCAGTCTATTTTGTGCCTCTATAGGCGGCAACATTGGTATGCTTTTTATTAGCAATCGTTAATATGCTCTTGTTTTATCAACTTGATGCAAATGGCAGGTAAAAAAGTCGCTTAATACTGTCAAGACTAGCAAGATTTTACCAGTGAAACTAATAGGTAGATATGCATAGCAATGTAATATTGGAAGAAAAGTGAGATAGGATGATACTAGGAGTTAAATGTACTCGCAGTGATAGTAGGATAGAAACTGAGGGAATGGAGGAACTCAGTATGAGATGTGCCTGTTTTGCATAGGGTGTTGTTAGAATAATAGTCTAGAAGCCCTGCAAATACTTTTTTAATTTAATATATGGTTTTTTTTTTTTTTTTTTTTTCTTCGTGTTTGCTTTTCTCAACAATCGGCATTGCTGTTGTGGTGTAACTTTGTTTTTCATAATCGACATCTTTTTTTTCGGTTGCTAATGAAACCAAATTATGGATAATTACAAGGCTGCTGTTCCCTCTCAGATACCGCTATTTTGAATAACTGAACAATCATGGTTGTTCTGAATGGAAAACATCCAAAATTTAGGAAAATGCATGCTTGCTTTTTTCCATGATGAGTAGACAAGTTCATGTTAACGTTAACCCGGTAGTCTTACAGATCGTACTACACTGATGTGCTGACTTTTGCTATATTCATTTATTGCACTATTAGGTGTTGTCATGTACTTTGTACAGTTGGATTTCCATCCCACTTTAGACATTTCTACTTTTTAATCGCATTGAGCTGTTAGAAATATTTTTGAATTTGGAATTTCTGGTATATCCTTTTTTTGGTTTTGTTTGGAAGATTTTCAGCTCTAGAAATGTGAGTTTCCTTGTATACAGCTGATGGCTTTTCCGCAGTACAACGTCCTATTTTTTTTTTTTTTTTTCTGAGATCTGCTTAGCATATAAGTTATTATATTAATAAGAGGGGGTGGGTTTGTTTATTTCCTTTCTTTTTCTTTTTAAGTGCTTAATTGATTGAAGCTTGCAGGTAAGTCTGATGAGGAAGTGGAATTTGGTTCGCTTAAATATTTTCTTTTATGTGGTGTGGGTGGAGTGATCTCATGTGGTACCACACATACGTCTATTGTTCCACTTGATCTTGTCAAATGTCGAATACAGGTATTGGTGTTAAATGGCTTACAGGAGCTTCTCAATTTTATTTCTACGCTTATGCAAGTGGTGTTGATTTTTAGGTGAATCCGGAAAAGTACAAAGGAATTATACAAGGCTTTCGAACTACAGTAAGAGAAGAAGGCTTTCGTGCTTTGGGGAAAGGATGGGCGCCAACATTAGTTGGATATTCGCTCCAAGGACTTGGAAAATTTGGTTTTTACGAGATGTTTAAAATTTTCTATAGTGACGTGCTGGGTGAGGTACAGTTTTTATGTTGGTTCGGCAAACTTGGTTTTGTAATGCTCCGTCTTAGGTCTGTTTGGGTAGAGTTGACTTTGTTTCATCTGTTAAACTAGTATTTTCATGGAGTTTTTTTTTAAATTTATTTATTTAAGGAGACATTGGGACAATTTTGAGTTTGGGAAAGGATTTCTGGCAGTACTAATATTTTTTGTTTTAGGAATTATCTTATCAGTGGCGTACAAGTTTGTATTTGGCTGCTTCTGCGTCTGCAGAATTTTTCGCTGACATTTTACTGGCACCAATGGAGGCTACGAAGGTTCGCGTTCAGACGTCTCCAGGTGCTCCACCAACACTTCGTGGTTGTGCACCAATGATATATAGAAATGAAGGAATGACAGGCTTTTACAAAGGCAAGTAGTTGTACCATTGATTTTGTAAAATATTATTTGCTAGAGTACTTTATGTATTTGATTTTGGGAAATAGGTCGAAGACAGTAAAGTATTAGATCGTGAAAAGATTGAAGTCAAATGGTTTTCTTTTTTTTTCAAGTCATAGTGTACTTTCGCGTCAAATGATACTTGATTGATTTTAGGTCTACCACCACTTTGGATGCGTCAGATACCTTACACCATGATGAAATTTGCGTGTTTTGAACGTACATTGGAAGCATTATATAGGTATGTGGTACCAAAACCACGTTCTGAATGCACAAAGCAAGAACAATTAGTAATTACGTTCGTCGCTGGATATATTGCCGGTGTGTTCTGTGCTATCGTTTCTCATCCGGCGGATACAATCGTTAGTAAACTCAACCAAGATACGGGCTCCTCCGCGAGTGCAATCGCTAGAAAATTGGGTTTTATGGGTATGTTTAAGTGCGTTCTATATCCATTGAGGTTCAAAAGTTTTAAGGGTTTATACTCGACTAAAACTTAACACTGAATTCTGTGAACTAAATGAAAGAACAGCCATTACTTGCAGGTCTCTGGAAAGGACTTTTTCCTCGTATTATAATGATAGGTACGCTTACGGCATTGCAATGGTTTATTTATGATTCTGTGAAAGTGTATTTTAAATTGCCTCGTCCACCACCGCCAGAAATGCCGCTCTCTTTACGTAAAAAGCTGGAAGCAGCCGGGAAATCGTAAAACATGTTCCTGAGTGTTTGCCGTTTTCCGGTTACATGAATTTTTTTCTTCATATGCAGTTACTAGTTAGGTTTTTTTTGATAGCTATGTGTTTCATATGGTTTATTAACTCGGTGTGCGAAATACACAGCGATAGAATCTATTTAATTAGGGTGATAAACTATTTTGCAAAAGTCGAGTTTGTGTACGACAATGGTAACAATGAAGCATATGCAGGTTCTACTGTATATTATTAAATGAAATTTAAACAATGTTATCTCACTATAGGTATTAGCTGTTCCTGACACTTTTCGGCCCTTATATCTGGTATAAATAGGGAGTTGGTAATTCTGAAGCACAACACAGCTTCTGAAATATGAAGGCTTGGTATCAGATAATACTGGAGCATAGGATACCAATCTGCTGTGCTGACGGAGAGTAAACTGTGTAGAATTTAATAATTTCTTGTATCCCTTGTGGAGTCAATATGATTAGTTTTAATGAAGTTTGGTTTCTCCATTATGTTACTTGTCCGAAGGCTGCATTGAAGCAGATGACGTGTTGTTAACCATTGCTGAAAAGTACTAGTAGCCCCTTGAAGATTCTCATGACTGGCGTATCACAATCATTTGCCTTGAATAAAGAATTCCTGTTGAGTATGAGTGTTATACTCGTTCTTTTTAGTAGGTGTACATTTTGTGTTGTGTTTTGCAGGGGAATGTTGTGCCTAAAAGTTTTTCAGAAATACTTTTAGGGAGTGGTTGGCATGTGGTCAGTTAAAAATTGTTGTCGATGATATAATGGATAAAAATTGATGTTCCAGAAAGGATTATGAAGGTGGAGTGATTCGGCGGGTTTCTGAGTTCGAGATATAATGTTTCTATATAAGCCACCAATCTGTAGACAGTTAAAGTATAATGTAATAACGCAGGAACATGTGTTTATCGGTCTCTAAGGTGATCGAATTGTTCCACTTTTTGTTTGTTCATCGTAACTTGAGCGTGAAATTGGAATAAGATTCTAGGAGTCATGAAGTGAGTTTTAAGATGCTCGGTTCGGAATCGTGAAGTTACTGATAAACATTCTGTTTCAATGGAAATGATAAATAATTGGAAGGATCCATAAGGCTTCGTAAAAGTAGACAAATTATCTGTGGGAGGAATTTAAATATAAAGGGTATTTCTTCAATAAGTTCAAAACTTTTTTTTTAAACTCTATGAAGCGAAAATCCAATTCACCGGGACGAGGAAATGAATGAAGTTAAACTGTCAGATGCTTTGTTTACATGTACGTCATACGGTCCAGTTGGAGCATGGGGGGTGGGCTGGAGGAGGAAGCGGGGAGAAGGAGGGAAGGCGTAACAGTTGGCGTTTGATTTGTTATTTCTAGAGACCTGTCTTACAATGCATATATATATATATATATATATATATTCGTCACTGGATTTCGAATTCTGATATGAATATTTCATTGATTATAATGTCCTTTTTTTGCTTTATAATACATGTATTTTGAAGCATGAGTGTGTTACGTTTGGTCTTTAGTATGTTTTGTTTGGTCCTTCGTTCACACTTTTTTTCAGAATTGAAAGAGGAAATAGGTAGAACATTGCTCATGAAATCTTGAGCTAAGTGTACACTTCTTAAATGGCGTGTAATGGTTTTGTAAAATCAGTTGTGCTCTTCATTTCCTTTATTATAAGTATCTAAATCGTAACACAATTGTGGATTTTTTTTTACAAGTGAACGTAGCAAAATATAGTGATATTCACTATAGTTTTGGGATGATTAAGGAAGAAGGTTTCCCACTTTCGAAAGAAGAGTAGGTTCTCACATACCGTGGTTACTTATTGTAGGACTTAGGAAACTTGGTTTTACGAAATGTGCAAGCTATGTTATTGTTTTTCGGTATTTTTGCCTCAAGTAAACTGGTATCAATTATTGTCTCTAGCTGATAAATACGTTGATTTCGATTTTTCTCACAATCGAGATAAGTGTTGGATTTAGGAATTATTAATTCTTGCTCTCTTTTAGTAAATAGCATTTACATGGCTAATATCTTTCTATGTAGCAGCGTCAGTTTCAGCCGAATCCATCGCTGGTATTTCGCTTTCTTTATTGGAAGAGACGAAAGCAATGATAAAATAATGCTGGATTTGTTCCAAAGTTGCGAAGACAGGTGATTTGGCGTGGTAAAAGAATTACTGGATTTTATAAGTTTTTTCTTTTTAGCATCTAGATGTCAGTTTTAATTGATAAGATCACTTGGCAATTTCAAATTAAACAAGATATATGTATTTATGAAGAATGTTTTATCTCAACAGCAGTCTTTTTTGTTCGTGTTTGCTTATTTTTGAGATGGATATTATGACCATCAAAGATTTACCATTGCCAGATACGGTGATGATAGTACTATACTAACAGGTACATAAACCGTTCTAGTTACTTTACTTTTTTTGCGTTATCACATCGCATCTACTGAAATCCAATTTCCACACGGTTGAATAGAAACTGGATCAGAATTCGGGATTATGATCAACAACTTGGTTATGTAGGACAGTATTTTTCATTTGTCATCGCTGTTATTTATGAAGGTTTTATCTGCTACATTCTTGTTGGGTGTAAGAGCTTCCAATTACTTTGCAAAAATATTATAATTTTATGTGTTCTTAATTCTTGTGTATACTTTCGTAATAAGTGCAATATTTTATAGTGAAAGTATAGATTTCAAATTATTCCATTCATAGGTTAGGAGGTTTACTTCCACTCGTTATCGTGATTGGTATGTTATCGGCTGCATAATAGTTTATTTATGTTAGTATGAAAATAAGATTTGAACTGCCTCATTCATGACCATCTAGAATGCTATAATTAGTACAAGAAAATTGCAGTGACTGGTCTAAACAAGAATGTTATTACCTTTTTTTTTTCGTATTTTCGACTTACATTTTTTTTCTATAAGTTGTTCTTTAATTTATACTATATCTTATAAAAGTTTAAGTACCATAAAACATTATGCTACAAACAACAGATTTCGTAAATATATTTTTCTGAAAAATAAGTGACTTGTCCATAAATTTCTCAGTGTAATTTGCTTGCCGTTTGTAGCAGGATTATACATAAAAATATTCTCGGTACTGTAAATGGATAGAAAAAAGAAATTTGATTTGTAGTGATGAACTTTTGCTTCGAATAATGTTTTATAACATGCAAAAAACTGCAAAAAGTTAGGTTAAGTGTTGGATATGATTACAAATATGTATAACTGTTTGAGGAATAAATGGTTTTATGGATAATTTGTTCAGAGATTTGGCAGCTTAGCAGTACTGCGCTGATGTTGTTCTGCTGAGTGGTTATGGAATAAGTTTGACATAATACTCCTAATTTGTACAGGAGATTGAGGTCTTGGTATCCTGCAGTAACTTCTCGTTATTACTGGTTATTTTAGGAAATCTAGGTTTGAAGTGATGAATGGAATTTTGCAGGACATTGTTGGATGAAGGAATTCGCAGAAATGTTTGCTGCGCTATATCAGTTATCCGTTCTGATCTCTTCATTTGCAAAATACTCCGCAGTTGTTTCCAGACTGCAATGTAAATGGAAAGGTTCGTGTCGGTCGGTTTTTTTGCAAATGTCCCGGATTAATTTATGTAAGTTACATCAGCGCACAATATAAAAAATTCTTTAGGACACAGCGTCAAATTCTGGATACTGTCATTGGTGTAACCGTTTGGAAAGAACTGACGGAAGTCGATTTTTTTTCTGATTACATTTGGGATGGACTTGCAATGATGATTACTAATCTAGAGAAGGTTGTCTTTTCATTTCGATCTGCAGATCACTGAAGTAACGGAGTATGAGTGGAGAAAATATCCTGACTAGAGAATTCTAAATAATTTAAATAATGCTGGTGAAGAATTCTGAATGATTAAATAACGCTGAGGATTTTTAGCTGATACGCTGGCTCACAACATATCCCGCTGGCTTAAAATTAAATGCTCATTTGAATACCATATTATCACAGTTCTTTGTATATCATATCTATTTATGGCAAAGTAAGCTGAAATTAACTTGAGATTGATGATTTCTATTACTTTTTATTTGTATACTAATACATGCAGCCTCAGGAAAGAAATTTTGAATCTCAGGAGGTTCAAAGTATTATGAACTTTCAATCTCAGGAGGGTTTCAGAAATTTTAAAATCATCAAGTTCAAAGGATGGTACAGTTTTTCAATTAAACTGATACACTTGTTTTTCAGCTTATTTATCAGTAGCAAGTGTTTACATTGGATTTGGTTTCATTTCTTTATCGTGTTTCTTTGGCTTATCTGTTTTTTTCGCTGCTTTATCTGATCTCTTTCGGCTACTCACCGTGCATATATACTGCTTTCATATTTACGCTTTCAAGCAAGTGTTATTTCCATTTTTTACAGTAATTGAAAGTGAGCATTTTTGTAAGGAGTGCATAACTACTGTTTCACTTCATTCCCAATCAAGAATCTCTTCCAGGATGGCCACACTGTCAATAATGTCAATAAAATCACTTTGGAGATTATTTCGTGGACGGAAATATAATCCTTTGCGCAAGAGAGTTGATTCAGTAAAACTGGACGCGAGACAGCTATTCATAGCTACTTTATTTTTCACCATATTACTTTTTCTTCTTCCTACGATACTTGTTTATTTCTTCATATTTTCATCGGTAGGCTTGAATTGTAAAACTATTTTTAACTTTGTAACTTAGTAATACCTAACAAGAATTAAATGATATACTAATTCAGTAAATATCTCGTGAAAAAAAAATTTTTTTTACTTAAAAAAAGAAAACTTCGGTTTTTATCAATACGTGTTAAATGGTTGCAGCTGCATTATGGAGTGTGCGCTATACAAATGCTCCTCTCGTTGCTGTCGATTGTTCAGGATAAAATCATCTTCTGTGTTTTCAAACAGCATTATAACTGATGAGTATGATATCTCGATATTTTTTAAAATCATATTTTCTAATTCCACCGCATCTTCACCAAACACTGATAAAAGAATAAATTGTATTACACTTCCCATTGTTTACAAGAAATAGAACGATTCTTATACACGTAAGTTATTTGGAACTATTTGATCTGAACTTGTTTTGATAGCGGTTGCATTTTTCAGAAAATGTGTTACCACGCAGTTTCCTGTTTGTGAAAGACCTGATCTTCGAAATAATTTAAAAACTTAAAAATTGAAAAAAAAAAAAAAAACTAAAAAATTCTTCAGCACTTCCCCGTGGGTAGTGACATGCAATTATCTTTACCAAAAATTATTCACAAGGAAATTACACTCGGAAGAGGAAGCCGTTTAGAAGATGAAGGGTTTTCAATAATTTTTTATTTCATATCAATTCTTATGAATTCCAAAGAAACTGATACTATCAGGATCATCACACGAACTGTTACGAGGTTAATGTCTATCAAAGCTTAATCCTTTTGGGCTGCTATCTCCTATCTACATTCATATTTGTTGCTGTACCCTTACCTGCCATATCAAACGACAATATTCTAAGTTTATCAAAAACTGGAGGCAAGAACTTTTTAAAACCTGTTTTTTTGGTAAGGAGTCATATGACCCATTCACATCCTTTTAGCATAGGAGCTGTGAAAGTCGAAATATTTGAGAAATCTTTTGTTCATTGAGGAATGTTTCTAACTGATGAGAAGGCTCTAGCAACGAAATCGCTTGTCATTCTAGATGTTCGACCAGAAGAACAGATCGCTAAAGAACACATTACCAAAGGTTTATTATATTTGGGCCAAAAAAGGAGTCTTATATGTAAGCATTTTAAAAAATAATTTTGGGATTTTGCAGCTGAATATTACTCACGAGTCTTTCTAAGTTGTGACCATTACGAAACAGAAGTAACATTAATTGTCTGCTGTCATGTTTATGGAACTGATGAAGTTGTATCAACATAGGGCATAATGTGATGCTTTTAAAAAGAGGTATAGTGTCTGAAGATTTCTTGGTACAGCAAAAGCTCTGGTAATTTGAGTAAATAATATGTGGTGGAAATGTCCCAAATTAAAGTTTGATTTCTGTTCTTCCTTCTGAATGCTAGCATCCAGAAGAGTTATTAACAACAACAAATAGCAAACCAGTTAAATTAGAAGCGTCAAAATTAGCCGTCAATCGAAAACCAGCTTTCGAGAAAAGTCCACTTCATCAAACTTCTCCGTTTTCACAACTTTAATTTCTGCAACTTTTTCATCCAAAAATTCTAAAGGGAGTACGCAACAAAAAACTTTTCATAGCTGAATTCTTAAAAACAACGACAAGCTCTACAAACAAAAACAGTGTTTATAAAGGAGTGAGACAAGGAAACCAAACGAACAAACGTAGAGCTTGGAGATGATTTTTATGCTTTGATCTTTTAATCAAAAAAAAAAATGTATCAATTCGAGATATAAGGATTCTAATTTTTTGAGTCGAGATTTTATATAATGGTAAATTATGGTTAATCTAATGCTCCCACACAAAATCAAGCATAGGATATTTCAAGGGAGCATCCACAGACATCTCCAAGAAACATTTCGACTGTAGCACTTCATTTCACTGAATATTTCGGCAATTTGACAAGATGAGTGCAAAAAACTACCGGGACCATTCCTAAAATAAGGTATATTTACAATAACATTATTCAAATGATAATTTCAAAGTTCTGAAGCTCCTCATCCGATGGAAGAACAATTTTGTCTGGTCGAATCAAGTCTTTGCTGATGTATGGTAATCCTGCTTTTTCCCTTCGTGCCATCTCCAAATGAGCTTCTCGATATGCCCAATCCCTTGCTTGTGGCCTGTAATAAACTACTTATCAGAAAAAGATACGGCTCTTTTGAGAGGCTTGCAAAATACTTCCATATCACAAAAAACTTTTTGTGAAATATTTCAAAAATCTGTATATGATGATGTAAGCTTGTCTGGACTCAAATTTTTCACAAATAGATTACTAACACCTTTATGAACAATAATAGCAATAGATATATCAGCAAACGAGGATTGCTGTTTTATAAAAAGTAAATTAGAGTTCTTTTTAATACTTGAAGTAAGAGGTAAGAGTAGAGCAGACTAAAGTATGCTGACATAATGAATTAGTTCAGAAAAGGTTTTGAAAAGAAAAAAAGAAAAAAGAAAAACAAACCAATCGGGAGCAGCGTATAGGATGTACAGCGTCACCCAACTAACCATTACTGTTAACAAAACAAACATGTACTGATGAAATTTCAACCAATCTGCATGTTCATCATAGGGTGATAAACCAAACCAAATCCAGTTGCGACGCTATAAATTAAGGCAAGACATCCACAAAAAAAATTTCGAAGTTTTATTTCCTGATTCAAAAGAAAAGCACCATTATTTGAAATCAAGAAATTATCAGAACGAACGATCTGGCCGCCCTGATCTTTTGCCAGTGGTCTTCTCCAGCCATCACCAAATAGCCAATCCAGACGACTACCATTTAATTTCGGCCACGGATTTTCATATGCATAAGAGTCTGAACCAGGTCTAAAATAATGCATATTGGGAAGCGTTCCTACGCTAAAACAGCCACAAAATATCAACAGAAGAACCTCTTATATTACTACCTAAGAATAATTTTCACACGAAATGATTTTTGCGAGCAGTGTATTCCTTTAATGAAGAGCATTTTTGATTTTGCTTGCAACCAATTAAATTTAAAAAATCTACAAGCCTACTCGGCAAACCTCCAGAATCACACATTAATCGTCACTAAACTGTATCTCATTCTTTTAGTACACAGCCAAAGATTGCAATTTGATCTTCATAATTTTTTCCCTTCGTTCGAATTTTTAGTTTTATGTGAAGTATTTTTGGTCAGCAACACATTTGCAACGAAGCAAACAAATAAGACAATATAATACCATATCCATTATAAAATTTTATAACAAAAGAGTACTATTCTTCTCTATTCTGGGATTGATTTGGATATTTTATAACTGTCTTAACAGAGAAGTAACCAAGTGTATAACTAGATGAGATCCTTTTTGAACTTGAACAGTGATTCCCGAGTGGTATGAAATACTACAAAATAAGACCTATCGAAGTTTCCTGCATTCTGCGGTGCTAACAAATGATAAAGTATGAAAGTCTTGATGAACTGACCTGTAATTTGCTGGCTTCATTTCAATATTCTCTTCACCGTTAGCTCCCTGCGAAACTGCCGACGATAGCCTCAGGAAAGTAACAGAGATGGTACGACGATAAAGTGGTAGAAACAGCAACATCCCAGCCAAAAATTATTTGAAAAGAAGCTGAAAACTGCAATTTGTAGAGGAAGCCCACATTATGCTAGCAGCTACGACACGTCTTATCACTCATTAAGACGTCATAGCATTCAAAATTATGAACAGCGTACAAGTTCCTCAATTCGCAGAATGACGCAGTCTTAAGGAAACACAGCTGGTGCGCAGGGAAGAACCACGCATGAAATCAAAAGACGAAACCCGATAAGAACCATTCGAGGTACGTCCAGGGGCTATCTCGTACGGGCCGTATTTCTCTACCTCGGCTATTTAGAGGCATGCTTCAAAGGCTGGTCGTTATATATCGTTGTTCCATTCAGGAGATGGGCTGATTCAAGCTGACAGTGAACAATGCCAGGGAGCAAACTCGCGGCTCATTTAAAATAAGGAGGGGAGCATCGCCTAGGCTAGAATTTAGAAATGGAAGAAAAGTTTAGTTAATCATTATAAGTTCACGGTGGGCGCAAAATGAAATAAGATTCGAAGGAGTAAGTAAGAGGTAACACAATTTTATTTTACTATGAATTGGGTAAGCTGAGTCGGGAACTGTTAGATAATGCGACGATCAAAACTACTGAGAATCAGATTGGTAATTGGATTAGAATTAGTCAACTGCTACATTAGTAAGAGACTAATGCTTAGAGGGAAATTTGCCATGCTGTTTTTATGTCCACTTATGATGTTGAGCTCTATACATTTCTAATATATTTGGTAAATATAAATATGATCTGTGCTTCATGTAAATTTCATTTCACTTAAAGTTATCGATTGTTATGAAAGTCAAGTATTAATGGAATTTAGTTATAATCATACTTTGGAAACTTGAGCAGTTGGAAAAGAGATGTTTTTTGCCCAATTGTCCAACTAATTGACATTATAACAATATGGTCGACGGCTGAAGAGGGTGGTGATTTGTCACTATTTCCACTAATAGACGATATGCTTGTTTCCATACTTCATACTATTCAGAACGCGTAAATACCTTATCCTCTCTAACTTATACGTAGTTCTATCAACTTAAGTGATTCTATGAGTTTCATTTTTTATTTCTTGGTGATGACATGTCATCGCCAAGAAATATAAAGACGCTCTTTCGGTAGGTATTAGTATAGTGATATATGTAAATTAGAATAGTATTAATTTAAATATATTAGTAGAGAAATGTGTAGAAATATTAGTGTAGGTATAGAGACAAATCATATGTAAAGAATTGAAATAAAGCTTGAGGCTTCAAACTATTCAGCTGTCCGTTGGGCTGTATTCGTTATTCGTCATCATTAATAAATGGCAGGCCTAGCTTAATTGGTTTTTGATTTAGAAGAGTTTGCATACATTGGAACCGATCATTTTTTATTTTTGCAATATTTTATTGCTTTCATTCATTCATTTTTTTTCAACATTAATCTTATTTTGTTGTTAGTTCACAATGCAACTTTTATTTAATTAGCAATATAAATCAAGTTGAAGGATTTTCGACGAATTTTAGATATCAAATGGATGAGAAAGAAATGCAGGATTTGGAGCTGGACAGCGCGCAAGAAAATTATGTACCACCTCCGCAGAAGTCTGTCTCAGAAATTATTGCAATTGACGCTAATGATGAAAGTTTGAATCGGTGAGTGATTACCGGGTTTGAAAACCATTCCATTCTTCTCGAAGAACGAAGCACTTCATCAGTGATGTAGTTCAAAGCTGAATAATATCTCGATACTGCAGTCTTTTATATTATGGCCGAAGTAATATATGTGTCAACTTGAAATGGCCAAAAACTGAATATAGAACAGTGGAAACCTTTGTGCCTTATTTTGTGGGTTATTTTTAGTTTTTCAAATTCTCAAGGACCACAGTTCTATGTTTGAAGAATAGGTCTTATTTACTGATTTACAGTTACAAACAAACACTTCTGGGTCAAGCGAAATCTGGGCAAGTGATTGTTGATGCAACCGATCCTCGCAACGTTCTTGTGCGTTCGATCACGTTAGTTGTCGAGGGTCGTCCGGATATCACAATGCATCTTGATAGAGGTTTTTGCCGTTTTGTAATGGTTGTTCCTATACTTTTTCTTTTTTTTTATTTAGGACGGACAACCATCGCGCTTTGTTTGAAATACCTGCCTTACTACAGCATTACCAACAAATTGATTTTCGAAGTCTCGCTAAGTATTTTCTATTTAAACGAAGGAATTCAAAGCTTTGCATGAAATTGCAGAACATTTGAACAATGCATCATTCATAATAAAGGAAGGAGCTGCATATAGGATTCGTTTTGATTTTCATGTACAAAGAGAGATTTGTACTGGTTTGAAATATGTGCAGAAGGTCACACGTCATTCTATAACAGGTGTGAGGATTTCCTGTTTTGCATAAATATATTCCGAAGTTGCTTGCTGAAAATGATACAAATGAAGTTGCGGGACTTTGCTTCGCAATTTGTTATATTATTTACAAGTGAAAAGTCTTCTAATATTCCTATTAATAGATAGGTACCCTTAAAAAATGGAACTTTTCAAATATTGGTATAATGTTATGCTTTTTGCTTTTTATTAATCTTTTCAGTTGATAAAGAAACGTTTATGATGGGTTCATATGCGCCAAAAATGGAAATTCAGTCATTTATTACACCATCAGACGAAGCCCCATCTGGTTAATTTTTTTATATTTCCAAGAGTTGAGAGATAGGTGTCAAGTTTCTTCATCTGCATAACTTTGAATGTTCACTTAATTTTATAAAAGTTGTTCTCTCACGATATTTTGTTTCAGTAAATTATAGCATTGCATTTCCAGGCATACTGCATCGTGGAACTTACAAAGTGAAATCGCAGGTATGCGATGATGATAACCATGACTGGTTGTCTTGGACGTGGAGCTTAGAAATTGCAAAAGATTGGGAAGAATAAGTAGCTTTTTTTTTCTGCACGATTTTTCACAGCTAACTTAACTGCCTTTTATTACTAACCTCCTCACTTTCATGATTGGGTTTTTTTTTTTTTTTTGCTAAAGATATGTAATATAATAGTAGCTTTTCGGTGTATTCTGTTGTATTTAGTCTTACGTCAATGGTTTCACTTCGTCAATTCTTTTCTTCCAATTAATGCTAATTAATTAACTGATGTTGCATTCTATTACTTTGAATGTGTTTATCAAGTTTTCTTGTTGATAAGCTGCTTTATTGCATTAGTTCATTGCTCCACTTTCATATTTTCTGTTCATTTTGCAATTATATAATGTACAAGCTAATGTTATTAATAGTTTTTTGCTTTTGATTTATAGCAGTTTTCTTTTCTGTTCAGGTCATTTGCGGAAACGGAATTTGCTACATTAACAGTGTCTTACCACAAATATTTTTTTTCTTATCATCTAGTATTTCCAGTGCTTTAGATGCTTGTGGCCGTGGTGTATTTGACACGCTTTGTTGCAAATTCTATCTAAGACTTGGTGAGTTTGATGAATTTATTAATATTCTTCAAAGTGTCCGAGTGTAAACACAGTTGTTACTTTTGAATTAAACAAAAAAAAAAGAAAAAAATTGCATGGATCAATCAAAAAGTCCCTTCAGTGCACATTAAGACACATTCGCTCCAAAGACATACTTTCTGAAATTCTCGATTTCCTTGAAGAAATTCGGAGTCCTGAGATAAAATTAGTTCGTAGACGCTTTTCGCGGATAATCATTATCTCCGCTTTTATTTTGTTCAGTTCCACCATTTAGTTTTTCATCTGTATGTTGGGTTCATTAGACATACGAAGTATTTGTATATGAAGGTAGTGTATTTGTGTTCACTGTCTGGTACATAACGTCAAATGTCAATTTCAACTTCGGGAACATACTTAATCATAAACACGATAGATTTACAGAATTGCTTAAAGACCTATTTGCGAGATGTCGTTGATGTTTCTGACGGTACAGCAGTCACTCAGTAGTGGCACCAGTTATGGTGCCGCATGGATTCGTGAAGTCTGGCATGGCCCGCTTTCCATACAGCAGGGTAGCGGAGTACAGAGACTGCCCACTTCTACTCCCAAGCAGATAGTTGCAGTTTAGGTTTGATGAACCACTAAAGACCAGTTATGCTTCCCTCCACCATGTTTTGGGAACTTAGTATGTTGCAGCATTTCCCACACCCTTCTATCTCTTTACTGATTCAAGAAATTTATAAGACTTCATTGGTAAGAATGACGAGTCGGAACGATTCCTTCCGACAAGTGCTACATTGTCACACGCAACTACATTGTGGACATTAAAACGCTCCAACCAATCCACTATAGAATTATAACTGCTCTGATACAACCAGTAAAAATGGTCAATAAAACGGAAATGCAGGTTCTCCACATTGGATCACAGAAATTAGAAATTTACAACCTTAAATTCATATATCAAAAGCAGAGAGGTGTGTCAAACCATGTTTCTTTACAAACGATTCTAATTTTTTAATTTTATAGTCTTAAGCATTTTTAAATCGCATATCGCAGTTCTGGGCATAAACAGTGGAAAAATTAACAGAAGACATGCCAACTTTTATAAAATCCAACAATTACAATAATTAACCATAATAACAGAAATAATACTCCCTTTCAAAATGATAACAAAATATATTTAAAGAAAAAAAAAAAAAAAAAAAAAACGAGAAAGGATAGGAATTTTTCAAATTCATTATTTTTATCTTCGTAGTCACCATCAAAAGTAACAACGCGGATGCAAAATGTGCTCCCTAGAAAAAAGTAGCTAGGAATGAACTACCATCGGACAGTAAACGATTACATAATACTAGAACGTCATTCTTTCACGATCTCATAATCTCTCAACTATAATTGGAATAGGACTCTATTTTGATCAAGTGATGACTTTCTCCATCTAACAGCATTATTCAGTAATGAAGTTTCCAAGCCAGGATCACAATTCAGTATGCTGTGCTTCTTCATCTTCATTTTCTGCTTCGGCTTCTGCCTTCTCTTGATCTGATAAACCAGCACCATCCTTACCTCCACTTTCCAAAAATTTCGTCAGCCCTTCCAATGTCCTTTCACCGGTAAAATCAATTATCTAAAATAAATACAAGAAAGTTTACTTCATTACTGTACCCTTCAAATGAAACATAAAAACCAGTACAAAAGCTTTCTTTTGTGGGTATCTACGAAAACACATTCACAGATGTGCGCACTAAGACGAATGCACAGAATTCATCGATCCCACGACTGCATGATTTGTTTCAGTTTTTGCCGCTGTAGTACTAGGTTATTTAGCAAATTTTAGTTTTGAATAACAGTGTGGGGAAAATTCATTTGCTGATAGTACTCAGACTGGCAAATTCTTTGCATTCATAATAGCACAGACCTTTCCTTCATTTTAAAGTAGCAAAAAGCTCAGGGAAACCTAAAAAATTGAGAAACAACCTGCCTTATTAGAACTGGCAGGGAAGAACTTAATTGTTGGGAATGACTGCACTTTAACATCTTCCACTTCATTTGCTGTTGCATCCATCTTAGCAATCAGTATAGTATCATGATCCTTATATTTTTCACCCAACTTATCCCATGTTGGCATAAGTTGTTTGCAGTGTCCACACCATGGAGCGTCTGCAACCTTCTGCTTATATAAAAACTGTGTATAGTAAACTCTAATCACCAGGAAATCACAACAGTAATTACGAGACATACAGATCAAAAAATTCCAATTTATAAAATTCCGCTACATTACCGAAAATTTCATCCGCAATGAAGTGAAAAGCAAAGATATGCAGTAATTCATGACTCTTCATACTGCTGCCTTCAACTAGCGTTCAGACCCTACCAATAAGTCAAGAATTCTCGAATTAGCGGTGGAAATAGAACACCCTTCTTGATATCAAGATAATAAAACACTTACAGAATAGCACAATGACGTTTTTCTTGGAATCCTTTGCGACATCGTCAAAGTTCTTCCCAACTAGTACCTTTACTGGATTCTTATCCCAGTCACTGGGAATATCCTGAGTCATTAGATGTGATTTCAATTTACCAGCAAGATACATTTCTGTAAACTGTATAATATTTTCTGCTGTAATTTCTTTGAATTCGGGTTTGTATTTAGTCATATCCTCCTCTAGACTGATCAATCTCAGTGCTGCCAAATCTTCCTTTTTGAGACCAAAGAATTCCAGAATACGAGCATTGTCTTCCACGTCCGTATTAATGATGACAAAAAGAACCTACAAAAGAACTCCTTTACATGAGTTATTTACACCTATCAAAATATATTTGGAAATGTAATTACACAGTGCCGGAAAGCCACTCCAAGTCCATGAAAATTCAACATCAGAGTCATGAAAAAATCACCTTGCCCTTGAATTTCTTCGCAGCTGCGCGGAACTCTTTCTCTAGTTTCTCAAATTCAGAGCTTTCTTTTGAAATGAATAGGAGATTGTGTGATTTAATATCACCACCGAAGATAATTGGTGCAGTATCTTGTGTGAATTCACTCACAAGCGGTAATCTTTGAGCCTGAAAATGAGTTTATGAATCAAAGTGAGTGATCGAAAGGTACAGTTTAGTATCGCCTCTTCCAAGATCATTGGCAGTTTAATTTATTTTATTACATATATTACTGATGAAGTGCGTGCATACATGAATTCTACTTTAAATGCATGGAACTATATTTTTAACGAATTTTTGTTTTTTAATAGATTATGGTATCAGCAATAAACACGCTGAAGACAATGAAACAAAAATTTAAGGTAAGCAGTGATCTAAACTGAAGATTTTGTTTTGAGGAAGTCATGAGGGCGCCAAGAGCAGCATTTAATGTGCATGTAACTATGTAAATACGAACTAGGAAAAAGTACACAAAATAAGAGATGGGTTTACACAGCGGTACACTTGCAAAAGACACTAGGCAGAAAACAGTGCTGGTCCTTGTTTGAACTATTACATGTTGTGCTTTAATGATGAAAGCATGAGAAACCATTCTAATCAACAGAGAATCCAAAAAGTACCTGAATCCAAGTCTTAAGTTGATCAGCTACTAATTTCTCACTAAATTCGGCTCGTCCCTCATCGAATTTCTTTAACAACACAACGCCTTCACTTTCCAATTCTATTTGTCTTGCTGCATCATTTTCCGTGGTGATACCGAATGGTATATCATCGAATCCAGCAGCCACTTCCAGAAAAACTTTTGCATTCATGCTTTCAGTATCCTGAAAAGTGTCTTGAACACAGCATATCAAAATGGTTAACAGTAATATTTTCTCAAATAAGGGAGAACATTTTAAACAAGAAATACCTTAAAGTAGCCAATGACGCACACTTCATTGTTTTCCTGGAAGTCTTTTACATCGTCAGCTGAGAGTATGGTTTTAGCTGCTGGACCTGTCTTCTTTTTTAGCCAAGCGACGATGGACGCTGCATCTCGTCCACCACCATATTCCTGTGGTTTACCAGAACGGAATAACTTCAGAGTCGGATAACCACGCACCTAAAATGCCAACTTATGTGATTCAATACAATAAATTTGTAACTCAAAAAAGAAAAAAAAAACGAATTTTTTTAATTCATCCAAAACCCAGTCCACAGCACTTAGAGGTGATCTTTCGTATAAAACCTAAGAAATGCACGAAGATTTATTTATAAGAGCTTTAAACAAAAAATTATAAGAGCTTTAAACAAAAAATATAACATAAAAAGATGCAATGCCAAGTAAACGCAAAAATAAAATGTACTGAACAAATTGATTAACATACCTCGTACTTTGAAGCAAGTTCACCATGTACGGTCGCATCGCACTTTGCAAGCTTGATTGGACTCTCCTCTTTCTTTAGCAACTGCGCTGCTTTTGCATATTCAGGTGCCAAGGCCTTGCAATGTCCACACCATGGTGCATAGAACTCAACCAGAATAAACTCATGTGCTGCTACCGTGTCGTCAAAATTATCCTAAAAATTCATCTTGAAAATGAAAAGTTTCGGACCGTAATTAATAGAAACTTCAATCAAAAATAAAAGGAAATATGCTCAAGCAAATTCCGAATTCAGGTACAGAAAAAGTCAACGAACATACGAAAATTTTTCTGAATCGCAGTTCCCTACTACTGTCCTTCTAATTCTTTCAATGAACTCTCTAAGATATTTCTCTGCATTTCATTGATTGGTGTGGGAAAGCGTGGAAAGAGAAAGAGATAATGACTTAGTTTTTTACACATATCATAAATTTTCAAAAATGATACCAATCAGTAGAAAATGTATGTGTTCAGTAGGTCTGATTTCAAAAAGTAATACAACCATTTTGAACAAGTGAAGATAGTTCTTATTATGTGAGTTGGGACATATGTCATATGAGAAACGAAGGTTTACTGGGGATCCCTATCAGATAATACGTGTGCAAAAAATAACCTTTGTAAGTACAAGAACTCCTTCATCCTCCTCTACACTTGCATCATGGGCAACCGGGTGTAGTGCAAACTGAAGCAACAGGCTAAGGGTGACGACCAACCTGAACATAACCTGAAACAGCGAATGACTTCAGCACGCTTCGACACGACACCTAATCATGGCAGCCATGCCATCCATCGTCGCTTTGATAACAGCACACCCTCCCATCTTTCCCACTCCCCTCCCCATCCCCGGCGCACAGTGCATTGTGTGTTGTTCGCCCATTGGATAACGAGCATGACACACCCCCGCGAAACCATTGGTTGTGCTCTACTGGACGAGATTTGCGTGAGGGCCGTTACGCACTCCCTGCTTGCAGTATCTTCATTCTTGCAGTATTGAGAGTTCACGTTCGTCATTCTGGGAGATTAGGGACTGTAGACATAAGTTGATTGTTGAGGGATAAGAACCCTTCATTTTCACATGATTTCATGACGCCTGAACAGTTTCTTTATCGGAAACTATGCTATGGAACAGATTGAACATGGCGAATTCACAAAACTTTCGCAAATTTTTAACTGATCAAAACCCAGCATGGCTGCTTCACCTGATTAAAATAGGCTCCTCTGCGTCTTGTTCTTCTCTGTAATGAAACTTGAAATACATCATGCAAAAATAATGCTTCGTAAAAGTGAAATCTTTAAACCACTGAGATGGACATCTGCGCCTAAATACGTAATGGAAGCATTGGAAATGTTACACAGAAGCAAATCGGATTTTCTCGTCACAGTTTAGCTTGTCGTAAATTTTTTACTGCAGTTTTTTTTTTTTTTTTTTTTTTTCAGAACTTTGTGTGTGCCGACGAGCTCAAAACTTGTTATTTCTCTTGTATCTCATCAGTATAAGAAATAATCAAAACTACAACATTAATCCATCCACTTGTGCATGTTTTTGCTTTTTCCTCAAGATCGATCAGTGGAAAAGAAAAATAGGTCATTCTGTACCAATCTCACCAACAAAATCTCCGTAATTCGGCATGTGACATTTTCAAACGAACCGTCATTATTTACTGTTGAAAATATCCGTTGTTATTCCATTAAGTTATAGATTGACTCCAACATTTCAAGAAACCAGCAGACACAGTTTCTTGCAGTTATCGACAAAAAACATTTATTCAGTAAGGAATAAGTTATGAACTTTCATACCGTCGCTTTTTCTATCAAGTTTGGACGAAATATCATTCTACGAATTGAAATCAAATTTCTGCACTTTAAAAAAAATTAAAATTCTTACAAATCTTTTAGCAAGTGATCTACTATGCATTTTTCTGAAAGATTACATGAGAACATGTTCTGCTCATGATATTCTAAAATTGGAAAGTGAGTTTTACCGAATATTATTCTACTCGGGAAGGTTCATTATACTGACTGTTAAATATAACGTTTAATTCGATTGTGGAGCTCTAGATAAGCAGTCTTTCTGGTTCTTTTTGGCAATAGCAGTTGTTTGAAACTTTCGGGAATTTGCAGCTTCTGCTCATAACTGATACTAGGGAAGGTGAATTTCAGTGCATATCACTTAGCATTTTAATGAAATTATATGATTTTATCTAATCTGTTACATTAAAAATTAATATTCGTCTAAAATTATTATACTAATCAAATTGTCAGGCATTAGGTAGAAAAAAGAAGGAAGAAATTATACAATGGGGAAGATGAATGACGAGAAGTTGCAATTGTAACTTGATTTATAAAAGATATGTTATACTAAAAAAATTCTCATAATCGAAATCGATTTTTCCATTCAAATGATCTGAATATAACGCAATATTCAAAGCAAACAAGAAACGCTACTAACTCCCTTTTATCATTCCTCACTTTGCGAATATTTCTATTACCATAATTCCTGTGATGAAAACTTGAGACGAGCTGAAACAACAAAATTTAGAAAGTAAATAATGGTAAGTATCCGTTTCATATCGAAGCTCACACGTGAGCCAAGGACCGCTCTGTGCAATCTAAAGAGGGTGGGGTTACGTTGAAGATTTAAACTATGTTTTGTGGAGGGCAAACCACTGATTTGGGAAGCAGAGTGGTATCTTCACCTTGCCTCGTGTTGGATTCATAATTTATAGTTGTGCCTTAAACTGTTTATAAGAACTTCAAGATATTCGTGATCACGTGATTGATAATTTAGTTTTTTATATTTCATTATTTGGAAGAGAATGATGGTTGGCGAGGATCTTATGGATATTAATAAGTTGCCTCCAACATTCGCTAATAAAGTAGTATCCAGCAGTTCAGATGGCAAGTTTCATTCATCATTCCAGATTTTAATGTTCGTCTTACAGGATTTTAATCAGGGAATATGCTGCTTCATTTTATTTGCAGCAGAAAACAAATTCCGTATCCTTAATGTGATTTTGAGGATTTTTACAGATGAATCAGTTGATATGGAAAGATGGGCTCCAGCTGGTGAGTCTTCGGACGAGCTACAAGCTGTGCACTTGTTAGTTTTCGCATTTCGACTATTATTTTAAAATGATTTTGATCTGTTCTTGGTAAATGAAGTGATTTAATGGTCATTTTCATGAGATACTTTATCTTTTGATTTTTTTTAGGAACATTTAAAGCTCTTTCAGTCTTTTCAAATCTTTGTTTCATAGTAGAGCAGGAAATTCTTTCATGTTTCATAATTTTGAGACTGTCATTGAAAATTAATTGATTTATCTCCTTTGATCGACCATTTCAGAGATGAACAAATTCGTTTTCGGGAACTTGAAGAGGAGCAGGAACGTCTTAATAGTTCACTGCTGTCTTTATCAACACATTTTGCACAAGTGCAGTTTCGTCTAAAGCAGATCAGCAAGGCAGATCCATCGGAAAGAGATGTAATTCAATTCTTGAATTCCAAGGCTATTTTTTTCTCTAAATTTCTTTTGCTCGAAAAAATTTTAAAAAAAATGGGTTTTTCACTTTTTTTTTGATCCCATAGTTTCGACATCAGCTTTTATTATACCTGCAAAAGAAAGTGTCTGTAAGTTTTTATCACCTGGTATTTACGTATTTCACTAACAGTAACTTATAGCGATTACTGAAAGAACTGGAAGATTTTGCATTCCGTGGTTGTACCGATCTGAAATTAGAGAAGCAGAAGTGCTCACTAACGATAGATAACGAAAGAGGTGATATGAATCAGCAAAAGGAACGGCAAAAGATACTTATCGCTCATTTGAAACAACAACTGGAAGATTTGGAGAAATATGCTTATGAAAGTGGTGAAGGTGACCTTCCAAGCGCTGAAGTCATGGCTAGACAAGTATGTTTTGCTACTTTTGTCAACTCATACTCGATAAATCTATTGAGTAGGACATATATATATATATATCTTGTTGACTGGGTTTTTAGACTTCATTTTCTTCCATTCTTGTGACACAGGATTTTTTTAATTGTTGTAGTGTTAGTGAGACAACTGGAATTATTTTGTTGTGAACTGAGAATTGTTCTATTTTAGAAAGCAGTTATTGACAAACTTCACGAAAAAGTGCAGTTAGATCTGGAACTGGACAGAATGTCCCAATGCGATTTACAAAAGAAGGTTGATGAAGCATTGAAGAAGGTACTTTATTCAAGTAATGCGAAGATTGGTGTTCATGGATTCGAGAATTTAGGACTGACTGAAAAAAGTGTTGGAGTTATCCTGTATGTTTTAATTAAATTTTTATCTGCAGCACATTGCATCGATATGGTTTTAGCTTGTGAACCCCATTAAAGCGAAAGAGCAGTTAGTGGAGCAGTTGCAAGCACAAATTGTCGATCTTGAGCGATTTATTGGTTTTCTGCAGACGGAAGTCAACGATCGTCTATCTAATTCAGTTGTCTCGCTACCTATTGTACCGGCAAAGAAGGGTTCATTCATGAATTTAATCAAGTTTAACCAGAAATTCGAGCGTAATCAGCTGAAGCAAACACTACAAGGAAGCCATTATGGGCAGGTGTTTTCAAAGCTATATAGATTCTTAATGTTCTTTTTTCTATAAAGTAAAGTGATATGAAAATTTTAGTGATGAGCGAGCACGGATAGAGCTAGCAGTTGATGCAGCAACTGAAGTGATGGAAAAATATCTCCTGCTTTCGGTGGATATAGATATCTCTCATTCTGAATCGTTTAGTAAATCATATGATGAGGTTGTTTACTTGGTGTCACTTTTCTTTCTAAAAGCCATTTATGATTTTTTGAGAAAAGAGGAGCTTATGGCTTATAGTTCTTGGGATGTTTTAGAATAACTGAGAGGCGGTAAACTACTGTTTGCTTGCAATTTTTTTTTTTTTTTAAGGCTTGGTGAATTGGCAATGAAAGTAACACCGTATTATCTTCCAAGTTAAGATAATCTCTTAACTGCTACTGTTGCGCTACTTATTATTTTATCATTCTCAATATAATATTTCTAAGACTCCCTTTTGGATGTAGAGATATATGCTGATGTAATTTTTTGCCCGATGTAATTTTTTAACTTGAGATTTTCAAACGCAGCGAAGAGGAGGTAGTTACTGTCATTAGAAAGCAACTGTGTCCTGCTATGCGTGATCTTTTGAAACATGGTATGAACAACGTTGTCAAACACTTTGTTAATTTTGCACCTTTGGGTTGCTATCCTGGAAGTTCGCGCTCTGCTAGAAGTACTAGTGGTAAGTTTTTACAGTGCTTGGTATTACTTTTTAAGGCACATATTCTTCGTAATTAATTCACTGAATCCTTTGAATTCGATTTACTTGGTAGGACACTTCGGTTAAGAAAATTTAGTACGAAAGCTGGAACACGTTTGGGATGTCGTGATGTATTATTACGATTCGAAGTGCGGTCGTGAATATTGCGATGCACCTATTCGCCGTCTTTCACAGAGTTACCAGCTCGATATCATTGCAGGTCGGAGTGTCACATCAAAACAGGTTGGAATTTCACATCCCTTGAACTCCAAAGTGGATGCTGTATTTTACTAAAACTGAAATCTGAGCGTAGTCTAGAATCAGTGACTCATTTCTTCACTTATAGTTCTGGTCTCAGCTTAGATCGAACTTAATGTTTACTCGTGCTTTATAGCTTTTACTATCAACTATCGAAAATATTACGTCAACACATACTCGACTGAAACGTTCCCCTGATTCGATGTGGAAGGCTCTGGTATCTGCAGCACTGAATGAAAAAAAATTGCCGTCATGGATACGAACCATTTTCTGCACAGAGCAGATTGTTGAGCAGTGTTTTGCATCGTGGTCTTATGTAGTCAGAACAGGTATATTGACTTGATCTTTTCAAAATTTTTAAAGTTTAAGAAGTCAACAGAAAACCAAATAGATTCTCACGAATTTCAAGTGGACCTCACGTCTTCAAATTAAAGTAGCAGAACCTAGGTAGTATCGAAACACAGTAGCATGTATTTCCAGGAGTTTAAGGCTACGACAACACTGCTTGATTAGGTAAAAATCGGTCAGAATAGTTGGTAATCCAGCAGATGAATAAGCGGAATAGATTGATGGCTGACAAGTGGATGTTGTTCTGAAAAGTGCTTGGAAGTCCAGCTTGATGTGCTTTCTCGTTGATACCAAAAGAATGTTGCCGTAGATGCTCTGACGATTCTGATAATGGCATGGGTTTGGATCTGAAAATCTCAAACTTTATATTATTTAAATATCAATGAACTGAATAATTTACAGGCTGTGAGGATATTTACCAATTGCTGGAACGTCTTCATAAGTATAATTTTCATCTACCGGTGGATTTGGCTGTGCGCCCCTTTCATCAAATGAAGGATGCGTTTTGAAAAATTTTTTTAACTCATGCTGCTTTTTCTATATCTTTGAAAGATTATGCTTTGATATACCAAATAGAGCGTATTATTTCCTGTCTTTATTTCTCAATTAATTTATACCAAATCTGGGTTTTATGATCATTCCATTTTAATGTTTCTAGTATTGTCTTTCTTCACTTGGCATTATATCCTCATTCATATGGGTTCTTTTCGCTTTATATTTTTGTTTCATTTGGGATTTTGAATTTCTTATTCTAGTTTTTCCAGTCTCATTTTTCGCCATTTTTCGTTTCGTGTTGTAATATTTTTACCCTTTAGTATGGGTGAAGTAAGAAAAATTTTGCGATTTCCATAAATAGTGAACTTTGTAGATATTTTCAAGTGTGACTCAGTTAATAACATACAGTGGACTTGCACTCTGTTGTATGTGTATTATTAATTATGAGCAGGTGTAACAAGGATCTGAAGTTAAGTTCTATTTTAAATGTGTTATTTGAAGACTTTTTATGCTAAATATTATATGCTTCAATGTTTCTCATGTTTCATTTCCAGTCTTGTTTTCTTTTAATTTGTTCTCTTTCCCTATGGTTGTGTTTTAAATAAAATTTTCTATATATAGTTATATATGAACTTCATACGGCTCTTTCGTGGATGAGTATTTCGCGTGATTGCATATTGATCTTCATATCGAAGCTCATATTACATAATTTTCAGTAATTCCTTCATAGTTCCGATATGGTGGACGAGTATTATCGATTGACCGATGTTTTTGAAACATTTTCATTTCTTGCACCGAATGAACAGGTTTGCAGTTAAATGTCGAGATGCGTATCGTATACATGTAATATTGCCACCATATTGTTTGTACTGATATTAGGTGACGTGTGTTGATGGAACATCAAGAACGCTATTTGTTGGTACTTCACAAGGACGCATTTTGCTTGTGGATCTTCCTGCAAAGGATGTGCTTAATGCATTGCAACTTTCAGTGGTAATTTTCAGAAATTTCTGAGATCTTAAAAAGATGCGAGGATGTTTTCAAGAAGACTGAAGTTTTAAATGTTGGTTTTAGAATGCTCCCATTGTACGAATAGTGGCTGCCACAGCGCTTGATTATCTTGTTGTTCTGTCAGCGTCCACCATCTTTAATATAGAAATAAAGACATTAAAGGTAAATATTAAAGATAAGCCTACACTTTTTCCTTAACTGAAAACTCTCGAAAAATTCTATTTCGGACGTGGGCTTTGAATTTTTGTTAATATAATTATTAATAAGCACCTAACGTGCTTTGCAGATTTCAAACAGGAATATTTTTTGGACTTTTCAATTAAGGTTGACTAAAGCTGTTGTTAAGTTTCGTAGTTTAGACAGTTTTACTATATCTGTAAGGCACTCGTTGTTCTGCATACTTAGTAATTGCAAGATTTCGCTTTGTATCTGTCACAGAAGTATTGAACTGAATTCAGTTTCATTCAGTTGAGTTGAATTTAATTATTTGATTTAATTATTTTCAGCCAATTAGCTCAAGTGCGATGTCGAACATAGCTCATTTGGCGCTGAATAAAGATCCAGTGGTAGCAGATCCATTTGCTTTACAGTTTGCTTTAGTTGCGAACAATCGCTACATTCTAATCTGTGAAATTAAAGCTGATAATTTGGTAATCCAGCAAGAGATACGAACTGATGACAATGTGGTTGCTTTATCGTACAATAAATATTGCATATGCTATGCTCTGCCTAATGCTTATTTTGTTCATAATATCTTGGAAAATAAAACTCTATCGTTGTTCCCGTACGACTCACAAGCTATACGTCCTATAATTATAAACACAGATGCGGTTAGTTAATTCTTGTTTCAAGTCGTCTTATAAAAGATAAAAGTTCCCTAAAGGGAATCAATGGTCATCTTTCAAATTATACAAAACGGTTTCAGGAAGAATTTCTGGTGAATAGTATGCAAGGTTTAGGCGTTTTTGCAACTTCAGAAGGTGTTTCATCGCGACCTCCGCTGTTCTGGGGTCTGACTTCTATCGTGTCATTTGCTTATCGTTCACCACATGTCTTTGTTCTAACAGCGTCATCTGTTACCGTTTACAGGTTTTTTTTCTTTTGTGGATTCAGCTTGATGAAAGTAGATTTTTAATAGTTCATTTAACAGTTATTTAAATACTAAATTCTTGATAGGCTTGCAAATATTTTCAGTTCCGAACAATCAGTTGTACTCCAGAGGTGGCCCTTTACAACTGGGACCTTGTTAGAGTGTATTAATGGGCAAATGTATATTTGTAGTAGCAAGAATATCAGTTATTTAGAACAAATATCGTGGCTTGATAGGGTATGTAAATTGAGTTTGCTTAGAAATTTTTGTTTTTGTTATTAAGCTGAAGGTTATTACTTGTTTTAGCTAAAGTTGTCGTGAGTTGAAATCCAAACAAAATGTTTAAAAAACGAAATTTATCAAGATATTTTATTGAGGCAAAGGCTCTTGCTGATAATGGAGAATTGGATGAAGCATTGCGATTTGCCGAAAATGCTGTTTCCAATGGTCAGTATGACGAAGACGAAATACTGGTAAAGCTGAAACGTTCAATGAATAATTTTCTCACCAGAGAAACTTCTTGTTACACTTTTTTGATGGAACAAGAAATATTGAACAATACTTCCAGAAATTCAATGAATTAAAACAGAAAGTGGCCTTAGTGCTTTTCAAACGCGAAGAATTTGAAAAATTTTACGAAGTGGCCGTATCATCTGAATTAGATCCTCGTGCGGTAATGAGTTCCAGATTTTTATCCGAAAATTTTTTTATTTTTCATAGTTTTTCTCTGTTCCTGTTCTATGTATGACAGTTTCTAATTTTCAGGTTTTGATATCATTTGCATTTTTACTTCCGTTTCCATCAGGGTTTCAATCAGAGCTAAGCAAAGAGTCCACAGAAACATTAGAAAAAACCTTTGATGATTTCGTTGCAGAAGGATCCATTGAACTTATAAGTTTTTTGGAGCATTATTTGAGAAGAATAAGAAAACTTCATTGGACTGCTGGATTTCGTCGGGTACTCTCTTAATGAATTTTTCAGAGTAACGTCAGCACACTTCGTTTCATTTGAATTGCTATTTATGTCATTTAGGGTTAAAGTCGAGATTCCATTTCTTTGGGTAGCTACTAGTTCTTCTTTATGTGATATAGCGGAACTAAAATATCATTTCAAGAAACTTGACATCGAAAACTGGATATTAATTTTAAGCATAAAATTATGTAGTTACTGTTAGTTTCCTGTTAATTTAATGAAAGGTTGTATGCTTTGTATTTCACTATATTTTCTACATGAGCAAAACAGTTTTAAATATTTGATAGTTTTTTAAAATCCGAAAGGAACTACTTATTGAGTCTTCTGATTTCACAGATCAACTCTAGTAAAAATAACGGTTTGTCCATTCAAAGATTTGATTTCTAATAAAATGATGGTCAATGATGATAATAAACTTAAATCTTGGCGTAGTGACTTCAGATTTTCCTGTAACTATTACACTTTTTATTTAAAATTTGTGTGTAAGATTTTCAGGATATTGACACTGTATTATTAAGATTGATATCACTACGAAAGGATGAACTGGGTGCTGAGGACATGTTACTAAATTTTCATTGCACTTTTGATGATTGCAATGAATGGATGCGAAAACATAAACGTCGGAAATTCCTTATTACCATAGCATTTTGCCTCTCAAATTTCGATAAAGCACTTGCAATAAGTCGAGAATTATATGATGAGAATCTTTGGGATGATGGGATTGTCAGATTATGTCTACAGTTCTTCCCAAGGTAACTGATTAACCTAGTATGCAATTAGAATAAATCTGTAATGATGAGTGCATAACTTTAAAGCGAATCCCTCCATCAGTTCTGATGGTATCAGCCTCCATGAAAGGCTAAATATTTTTTTCGCTGATTCGAACATTCTTAAACATCTTAAAGTGAAAAAATTCCACTGAATTTGCAGGTTTTATTCAGAACAAACAATATTAGGTTGGGTTGAATTTCTGCTCAAAATTCGCCAAGATGATGCAATCAGTGGTTTGAAAAGAAGTTCGATCGAATTAGATCACTGGAAAATTGTACGAATCTTGCAACAGGATCGAAGTACACTGATCAAATACCTTGAAGGAATTAAATCTCTCCAAGTACTTACCCCCACCTTAAAAATAATTTTGCACAGTCCCTAACCTAATTGATCCTCCGCTAGCATTCTCGTAACTTTGAATATTTCACATCAGAATTCTACAAATTTTTAGATGATTGGACATTTTCTTTTGTACATATAGTACTAAACTTCCTCATCAGTTAAAAACAGACAGAGAGGTAAAGGGTTCGTGAAATTACTATGATGATGCACTGAAATCCTTCTTCAGATCGCCGAATTCCATTCAATGTTATTTTCTATGTACGCAGACGAAATCAACAACTTGTTAGGCGAAGATCGAAGAAGGGAAAAATTATACAGGAAAGAGCTACGTACTTTCCTTCTTCAACCAAACAAGCTAAATTTGTCAGACATGCGTGCAGTTCTCGAAATTTGGCCTCACTTTGCTGTCGAACTAACCTTGCTTGAGGGTGTCAAAGTAAACTTAATGACTTAAATTGCTTTGATCACTAGCAGTATTGATTTAAAAAAAAAAAAAAAAAAAAGTTAAGTGGTAAGCCTGTTTCTCGTGCGTATGCTCCAACGCATTGCTTTTTTTTTTTAAATGAATGACCTATCCGGTAAGATTTTTCAAATTTTTGGTTGATTGTACATATGTTTTGTCTGAGAAGTTTCAAATGGATGGAAAGTCCTCAATTTCTTTGAAGAAAAACTGTCAGGAAAATGGCTCTGTTGCATGCCTCGAAAAATTACTCAATGATCACAGAGACTATGATGCAGCCGAATTATTCTGTATTTATACAGATACATCGGAACATGTTTTACAATTGACACTTCTGAAGTTCTATCTGCAAAATGTCACGTAAGCTTCAGTTCATAACTACATACTGTTGCAAAAATTTGTTCTTGCTTTATTCTTGAGCTCGTTTTCTTTTTCCTTTTCTTCTACAGGTCTCAACCGGAATTCGGACCACGTATAATTGGTTTACTTAACACATCTGGTTTAACCTCAAATAAAACTGAGATACTACAAGATATCCCGAAGGAATGGCCACTATCGTCGGTTCTTTATTTCGCAGAAGGCACTATATTATCAGCGAAAGATCGATCTCATCGTCAGCAACTGAAAAAAAAGGTATTTATCAATATTTTGGTGCAGAGCAATATGCTTCCAAAGTTTAATTGACTGAATCCGAACGAAAATTTCAAACTTGTGAGCGACATTTTTTCGGTTACGACACAAGCGCTAAAAACACTCTCGAGAGAAGCGCTGAGAGCTGCTCACCTATACATTCAAATTGATGAAAAAACAACTTGTAACACATGTGGAGCACCAATCAGTAACGAAGACGCCGCATGCCAACCACGTTCACGCCAAATATTTCATCGAAGATGTTTGAAGAGTTGAAGTGACCACACATGAATACTAAATTTGTGCTAAATGCGTGAAAAAAAAAAATGTATTCTTGTCTTTGAAATAAATCTCCTTCGGTTATCATAACTTACTGTTAGTTTTACACCTTGCGGTAGTCGACTGGGCGCCTATATTGACATGATGGTCAGAGGTCGATAAATACCACCAAAGATTTAGAATTCGAGTGTTTCGTAAATGCATGTGCAAATCAGACAGAACCCGTTGAGTTTCTGGGGATAATGATCTTTTAACCTGGAGACAGTGTACTGAACCCGCGATATTTCCAGTATTCATTCCTGAACAGCATTCACAAGGTAGGATTTCTTAATACGAAAATTTCCATGCATTTTTCTTAGACAAAATAGTTACGAAATAAGTACTATTATGATCAGATCACTGCACAAGACTTTTCACATTATACGAATGAATGGGCTACAATAAGATACACTGAAATAAATAAAACAGTATCACGGAGTATGGAACTCGTAATTACATAAGGTTTACTAACAGTCTTTCTTCAGAAAGAATGCATTAAATTAAAATAGTTAAGATATTTTCGCTTTATCTTCCGGTGTTGATTGGTCATGCAGGAGCACTTCACACTCTGAGGAAGACCCTAAAAATTAAAACATTTAAAGCGAAAACAAGACTCAACAGTGTAAATTGGAGAGAATTCATCAGAACGTAAATAGTGGGAATTGGTACGTCAAAGCTTATAATGGTAACAGTAACGACATACCACTTGCAATCGTTACAGTAGAAGCGACAGCAGTTTCTTTCTTGCCTTCTTGAGCTTTTAACCATTCCGCCATTTCGGCTTCCTCATCGCTAACTGGGGCATTCCTGTTTTTTATCGCTCCCGATTGACTGATACTAGTTTGTTCTAGTACACCGGAAGTTTTCGTCCTTCAAAACATTTTCGTACGACTCCAGAACATAAATTTATATTTTCTTAAATTATTGTAAACTACGTCATCGTCAAACGAGAAGTTATTTTGTGCAACAAAGCCAATGACTTAAAGTTACTAGTTTATGTCAACGAAGTCATCGGAATAATTATGTTAAGCGTATCCCGAGGTGAAACAATAGTTGCTCAGAATACCCTTTGAAAATATGTTTAAACGTACAAGGTATGACCAAGATTCAAATACATCTAAACTACCAAGAAGCACGATTCTACACAAAGCTCTGAGCATACATCGTATAGTAGTCCAATGTTTAGTCATCCCACTTGTAACAATCATAAATATTTTCATCGAATTCCGAGAAAAGTAATGAAGAGATAGAAATTTACTTAGTCTCTAATCTAAAAAAAAAAAGCACTACGAAGCAAAATTAGAAGCATCAGAAGTTTTCAGTGCAGCAAACTGTTGATTCAGTGTCTGATCATCAAATTCAATCAAGTTGCTCTCCGAATCCGTATTTTCTTTCGTGTCATATGCACGACTAATCATGTAACGATTATATTTTTCAAAAAGATTGTTGCAATCATCGTTTACCATTAGCAATTCGTCTAAAATTTTTATTTAGAAATTACCCATACAAAAATCCATCTTATTATCAGCACCTACCTCAACCTACTCTTAATCCCACTGAGTTTTTGCCTCATCATAATACAAAGCATAACTATAATAAATATACCTATTGCTCAATTAAAACATTTTAAAACTTCCACACAGTAGCCAAAGTAGAACCACCTAAAATGCAGAGTATATCAAATTACCTAAGCTTTAAATATACAAATTAGCCTTTTCTTTACAGCTATACACAAATATGCTATCCGCAAACAACGCGAGAAAGACCAAGATTTGTAGAACTTACTTTTTATGTCTCGATACTTCGTAACCGAACGATTATAGCTCCCTAGATTTGTGTTCATTTGAAAAAGATTTGTATTCATTTGAAGAGGAACTTACAGATGACTTCATCATTCTGAACGGAACGAATAAGGTCTTGAATTCTCATATGCATCTGCTTTACAACAACATACAGTTCTTCCAATAACTGCACGTCGTCCGAAGTCTCTTTTCCCGAAACCATTTCAAATAACATTTCTCGCATAACCTTAAATAAAATAAAAACTTAGCACTAAAAATTCTTACCAAAGCTGGTAAGAAATATAAGCATTCAAAATGCATCCCATTCTGGTTCCAGAGAAGGTATACATTAAAAAAGCATACCAATCCTACAAAGAAATGACAGCTTCGAGCCTACTTGAATTTCATAAAGTTTATGGGAACCCCATTTCTCAATTTTCATGAATTTCGAATTTCTCAAACCTTAATATACGTGAACTTTCAATATATAGTACCTTCAAATTGCCGTTAACTACATCAAGTTCCTTGCGTAATTTCTCCTGTTGCTCTGGTGTGGGCTGCATAAACTGCGACAGTCCAGCGTAATTATGTGACCCGGAAGTCTGTAAGGTAAATTATCGATGAAATTAAAGGGATTATGGAAATGCAGCTGCAAAAAGTTCTTTACTTTTAATAATTTTAAAAAACTAGTTGAGATAAATTTCCGTAATTCAGAGAACAATGCACATAAAGCCTATCCATAATGTTTTGTCTACTGTGTCAGCACAGAAAAAATGTATTAAAGTGAGACGATTACAAAATCAGAAGTTTCTTGCATTTCATGTCAACGAGACTTCAGCAGAAGTCTAGTTGCTTTATATCAACTTCAGCTGGAGAGAACAAAGAAATAATTAACCAATTAACCAGACCCATAAGAAGTGATTTATAAAATCTACCCAGACAGACTTATTCATAGTTCCTTAATCATAACTTGAAAGAGAGAATGAAAATCCACTCGAAATGCTGTTTAAAAAAGTAAGTTGACATAAATCAATAGCTGATTATTCATTTCCGTACTGGTAATTATAGACACATCCACTACAAAAATGCTTATAAAGTAAACAACATTTTATAAATGTAAGCAGAATCGTAATAACAGGGATGTGTGGTTAATGCAAAGTATGTGTCAATCTCAAACATCAATGAAAACTTCAAAGCATTAAACCTTCAAACCTTTTCTTTTTCCTGAAAAGGACGGCAAAATTCATCCAGCCCCCGTCCTGAGCACGATAATCATCAAAAACATCATTGAAGTTGAAAAACAAACGACAATGCTAAGTATCTTTTTTAGCAATGCAGTATAACATAACAGCATATGAATACTTCACAAACAAGTATTGCTTCCCTCACTGAGAAACGGTGAGTCTTGTGTATGTTTTAATAATGCTACGATTTAAACAGTGGACTTTGTATATATTTCGTAATAAACGACTAGCCGAAAATAGCCAAATTTTTGAATGAATAGAAAATGAGGAGAGTAGAAATTATACAAAATTGAGAACTTCTGTCTTTTGCTATCGTCAGACTGTACCTAATCTCTCTAAAAATTGAAACAATCATGTGATTGGGTGATCATGCATATCGCAGCATTAACATTAAAAATCAAGTTAAGGAAGAAGTACTTCAACATACCAACATCTCCTGTCCGATAGTATCTTCCTGAACACTAGTAGTTGCAGGAATTCCTCTGATCGGAAACACAGTCTAAAATGAACACTGAGTCAACAAATTTCATATTTAACTATTCAAAATTAATTAAAACAATTCGTGTCTATCCGACTGATTTTCAGAGTGCATATGCAATAATTATAGATAAACACACATTGGACAGAAAAGCATAAACATGCATGACATTATTTAATGATAAAAAGTTGTATTCTTCCAAAAGAATATCATCAGCGCAACTATAATAAACCTACTCTTTCGGGGGTCAATATTGGTGCCATCGAACCAGGATCTACAACAGGAAACTGAACATTTTTCGCTTTCAGCTCATTGTAAATTTGACAAACACCTTGCAAACGTGGATCATTTTTAAATACATCGTTCCATGACTAGAATTTTCTTACGTAATTTCTGATCGGGGTTTTCAACAGTATGAATCAAAACCTTCTCTCGTTAATATTTATTACCATAAGATGAATAAAAAAGTGACGGATGTTGTATTTACATTTACTTCTGCTTGAATTGATGAAAAATGATTTTTCTTAAAACTTTCCCTACAAAACAAGTAAAAACAGTAAGCAATCAAAGATCAGCCATAATCGAAAAATGAACGTCGTATAAATCAAGCAGTGAATGCAAAAAATTTTTTCGAATAACTAACCTGAATTAAGCCGAGAACATGTTCTTGTATTACTTGGGGTGCATCGAATTTGGGATCGAGAAGTTTTACAAGTTCGTTTATAAAATCTTTTTGACAAACTAGTTCATGAAATCGAGTATCACAATTTTTTACACATGTTTCCAACACTGTTAGTGTATAATTAACAACTGCATTATTTTTCGACATTTGTGAGTGTAGTCGTTTACGAATTGCGCGCATCGCATCACGTCCGCTGTAACAATCGGTTGCATGGTCTAATGAATTTTTAATCTCGCAGAAATTAGAAAAGCCAATCTTCTATCTCTACTGTCCATCAAATTTTAGGAGAAAAGGAAGAAGAAAGAGTACACAAACCCTTCTGCCGTGTTGTTAATGAAATCACAAATTTCCATATTTAATCCCCAATTTTCAGTTGCCAAAACAGTTGCATCGGTTGCCATTTCTACAACAAATGTTTCTCAAAATAGAAACTGCAGAACGAAATAATAAAAGAATATAGTAGGAATTAACATCAACATTTCACTGCAATAACGAACGAGACACAAAAATAAATGCGAAGAAATTCGTCTGCCGAACTAATCTTGCTCTTCCATCTTATCTACAATTCTTTGGACAACATTATATTACGTCACCCAATCCCATGTGTAATATGCAAAGCTGCAAATATCACGATAACGTCACCTATTTTGCGTCCAACTGGCGTAGCAAACGGATTGCCCTGAAAGAAGTCACTAACGCGTTCAGTGACTGATGCCGCCGCTTCCTTAGCACTTTCCATTGCATTATTAACCTGCTCTTGCATTTCAGTTGACGCTGAAAGACGACCAGCCATTTCAGAAACCTCAGTGAAGCTTAAATTTTCAACACAACAAAAGCGACAAAATATTTAGGCCACTATTGGTCTTATCTTAATATGGCCCATGTGATGAAAACAACCGAAATCAATAGAAAATTGTCAAACTATGTGCTCAAATAGGACAAGACAAGTTCAGTCTCATGCACTATCGTTTGTTTCCAGGTAGGATCTCTAAATAGATCTCCATTGAAAAATTACGAATATTTCCACTACACAGGTTACGTCGACAGTGTTACGTAAGCATTCCTATCGGTTAAACGAATACTAGGAAATTTGAACAAAGTGAAAACCATCTTGATATAACTCCCTTCACTTCAGCCAGTTTCCAGTTAACTCTGACAACCATTTTGATGCACTGAATATGAAAAGTAGATATACAGTAGACCGTCATTAAGGAAAAGAAAATTGGGATAGTTTAACATATTTCACTTGCTATATAAAAACGCATGGACAGAAAATATTTATATTCTACACTTCCTTATTCGAATTCACAAAGTAAGAAGCTAGAATAAAATTAAACTTCAAGGAGAAAACATAAAAAATAAAAAACTAGGATATAAAAACTAGGAATTACGTTTTACACGTAAGTTCGAAAGTTTCCAGCCATCCCAAACAATGTTATTTGCTTAAACAATTATTTGTCTAAATGACCGTGAACTGAACAGGTATGCTTGATATTCATTTAATAAGCCTATACAAAATGCAGAGTTTTAGTGGCCAAAATTCATCCTGACGTCACGAAATACACGGTGCTAAGTTCTCACATGTTTCTAGCACCAAAAATTTTAATTCACTGCAAAGAAACAGAACCAAAATGCATCTAAAAAGTTCCCTGCCTAGAGATAATTTTAAAAGTATATTAGGAAAATCAAGAAACACACAAATGAAGAAGTACGTTACAAAAAACGAAATGAAACAGTATGCTACAAACAATGAAAATCAAATGAATTCATCCTGTTATTGTACAGTCTGAAAGAGACTGTACAGTAGTGCCTGATATACTCGACACTGATCCATCCGCAGACGAGCTTTTCTCCGTCATTTTCGTCCGTATACGTTGGTATTCCTGAGTGTAACGTTTTAGATCAACCTCAACTTCAGGGCCACCTAATTCGAATATTTTCTAAAAACACAATAGAATATTATTTAGAAATTTTGTTTAAAAAGTTAATGCAAGTTAAACAGAAATAACAAAAAAAAAAACGACTGTTACAAGATTATAATAATCATTAAGCAAGTAAAGCAATTCGTGCAAAAAAAAAAAAAAAAAAATGAAAATAATAAATAATAAGACAATCGCATGATATCCCACCTCTGGTGCGATTTTGTCTAGGATAAGACGGCAACGAAACTCGCCAACTGAAGACCATAACAGATGCACAATACGTAGAAGATGATACTTCACACCAGGGTAGCGCTATAAATTTGATAATAATTTACATGGCAATACAAAGCAGATGTTCCACCAAATCACAAAATCATTCTGCAAAACATATTTAGAAGGAATTCTTCCAAGCATTAAATCAGCATATGAAGGTAATCATCAATTTTTTATTCGTGCTAAATTATAAACCCATGCAAAAATGGCTTACATCCAATCCTTTCAACAGATATTCTTCTATGATGAAATGTGATGCTTGCTCGGTTGATAAAAGATGGTCAAACGGTGCAGATTGTAGCAACCGATGAATTACCAGATGTATCCATGGATCACAAAAGGAAACCTAGAACTATTGGAAATCTTGTTGAACACACTTCTTAAGTGGTATCAAAACTATTTCCCTCTGAATTTCGCACCTTATATTTTAAGCGAGGTAGTGCTTTCAGGTATCGCATAATGCCTGGCAAATCTGAAACACGACGCTTGCTTGAAAGAACATCCAAAATATAATGAACCCAGAGTAACGCACACGTCATATCCGTCTTTAAGAAACCCAACATTTCTTCGGACGGATCAGAAAGAAAATCACTCGCAGGATTTTCGTCAATAATTTCATCTACAAAAGAGCCTAATAACAAACTGTGATCACTCCGAAATGTTATTGGTATAAGATAAAGATGATCAAACTTAGAACATTAGTCGCTTAAATACTAAAGAAAATTTTCTAGTTTACACCAAAATTCAAAATCTGGATCATTCTAGTAAAAATAATATCTGTAGATCAATCCACTCCGAAGCTGAACCAGTCTTTTTCAACTCCGCGATATTTAAACATGCTTTAATGATTCCCTGCATTTCTAACTATCTTGCATAGCTTCTAGCAAAACTACTGGTGATCTAGTTCACTTACCTGGCGCCCGACTGAGTTCATATCGTATTACGTCCTCTACAATAAATGTAGTAAAAGAAGCTAGAAATTTCGTAAAAACGACGGCGTCAACATTCTGCAAGGCAGTTATATCGTTAGTTGATAAGACGCTATGTGCAGAAGCTCCAAATGATAATAACCTGAAAGTATATATATATATATATATATATAAATAACAATTTATCTGAATGGAATCCAAGAGTTGTTCAAATCAAACCTCAGCAGAAGTTGCAAGGGAACTAATTCTCTCGGCAATTGACCAGTAGCATGCAAAGCTGAATCGCGCAATACTTTAATGGCCATTGAGCATAAGAAGTGTATAACATGTGCATCACCAGCAATCATTGCTAAATCCCCAATTACCTAACAGCAAAAAGAGTTAATCAGAAGATTTAAAAAATATATATATATATATATATATATATGAAATATACAAAGCACGGCAGCATTTATGGACACTCTTGAAACTGAACTAAACATATTTTTGAAGTTTTCAAGATGAGAAAAAATTTCGACTTAATATTGGATTAAGGAGTATGAACAATTCGGATATCGTAAGTCCAACCATCAAACTGACTGAAGCCCAAGGTTTAACGAATGACATCGTTATATTCGTTTACAAAGAGTGACTAGACCTAATGGAATATTAAATAAGTTTAAGGTTTAAAAAACAATGCACAACTTCCGCTTTAGTTTTTTTCGTTGACTCCAATATATTTTTCAGTTTGATTGTCTGTTGCGCATCCAAATGTTTGTCTCTGACACAAGCATCCAAACACCAAGCCAAGTCATGACATGGATCTAAAAGCTAATTTTTTCGAAAAATTTTTAAAAGTGTTCTCCATAACAACCTTGTAGTTTAAATATTATGATACAGAACCTGATCGGATCACAGATTCAATATTTAAATCATGAGCAGACATCACAAGCTCCATTCGCAATGAACAGTATATTGCATCAGCCGATTTCAGAAAACGTTCACGGATAACGTTGTTCAATCGTCGATATAACGGTTCCTGATGACCAACCATTGTCATTAGCTCTATAAATTACACTGCTGAAAGATTGTGATTAGTTTTATGATGGCTGAGTTTTTTAGGAATAGATCAGAAAACTGATGAGCTCAAATTTCAGCTTTGCATTAGAAAAAATCGATATCATTTACCTAAAATTTGCGACCATTGCCGTCTGGATTTAGTAGTTTCACATGTAAAATAGTTCGTTGGTGACTGGTCCACTGTCTGCATAACTTTCTGCTTTTCATCAATATAGGAATCTATAACCGGAAGTATTGCATCTATGTATAATGAATCGTTCTTCAGCCAAATCTGTTGTCGTACTGTAACCGCACAACTGTCGTAAAATTCCCGATCAGTCACAATGACTTTTAAGTACCTGATCAAATTCAACCCACTCAAGAAAATAAATGAAGTTTAAAGCAAAATAAAATTCAGGAAATTACGATCATTACCTGCATAAGTAATTGTTGAGAAGAATGTGTTATGCTCAAAAAGTTTGCAAAGTAAGGACACACATCTCTGTTGTATTTTTAACGACCATATATATGTATATACATGCAGTTCGATGCAGAAAATACGACCGACTTATTCATACCTCAACTAGTCACTAACAAAAAATCGGGGCATCCTAGAGACAGAAAACATTTACTATATTCTAAAGTTATAAACAAGAAGTTGTATGAGCACTGGACAGCTCAACAGTCCTTCCAGAGGAAGATGAAGGATGAAGGAAAAAGCTTTTACGAAAAACCGAATAACATTTGTAGATCTACGACTTCGGTTTCGGCCAGACTTCACTCTTATATCGAATGGTGTTTTTTCCGTCACATACAGAGGTAATGGGTATAGCTAATAAAAGTACTTTACTAATATAAGGTTTCAGAGAAAACGCAGCAAAATGAATAGCGAAATTTTAATAACATTTTCTGTACCTAAAAACGTTATTTTTTCATTTCCAAGGAATTTTTTACTTCCAAAAACGTCACTGATTAATACATACCGATCTGGAGCTTTTGGTAGTTGCTTCAGTGTTTCTAACACAAAAGGCCGAATGCTAGGGACTCGATACAGTTTGAAACTTTTCTCCAGCTGCTTTTCTAATAACTGCACTGATTCTATAGTTCTTGCCGCACCTAGACTTTTGATTTTTGCAAGCAGCAAGTCCGATATATTATTAGCTGCCTGGAAACATCCATTACGAAGGGAATGAAAAATGCATCACTTACAAGCATGCAAACCACTTGTGCCGCTTTCCAAATATAAAACAACTTACTTCTTCATGAAATTCTGTCCTGCGAATATTATGCAAATCGAGAAGTCGTAATGCAGGATTTAATGTCGGTAGCTGAAAATAACCGTGAAGTGATGTCAATAACTTCAGAAATTTTGAATTCTTAAGAGTAATAAATAAGGTCGTAATAGCTAGCTCAAAGACAATTTCACGAAAAATATCAAACATATTACAAATTAGAATTCAATCACCTAACAAGAATGCCGACAGCAAAATATGATTGCTGAAATAAAAGAGTAGCGACAAACACATACACACACATGCATACCATCCTTGTGGAAAAATGGCATGAACTGTTAAAAGGAAAAACACTTCATTAGTGTCGAACTCGGAATGGTAGTTTTACCATAATTTTTAGCATCAGATGGAATGGATATATAGCAGAGAAATATTGACAAGGACAGTAATTATTCAAATTTTATGCATCCATAAGTTCATATTAATAGCTTTTGAAATAACTATTCTCACAATAAAGCCCTGCATCAGAATGCCAAGATTTAACGAATACCTTAATACTATTTCGTTCCTGGAAATTTTTGATCGTTTCGATAGGATCCGCACATGTCATTAATAAATGTCGCAGCCTTCTAGAACCATCGATATTCTGATTTTCCAGATCCGTTACCCATCGTTTCTCCGCATCAAGAGATGACCCCATGGTCTTTTTGATTTGGAAAATATACGGCTAATTGAAGCAGTGAATATTAGATCATTTTTTCTCCAGAAAACCATGAGCAGTCATAGCCATGAGGAACCATGGGGAATAAAAGTATCCTTTAAAAACCTTTCACTTCCTGTAAAATAAAAGATATAACATAGTCTGTGCGATCAGAACCTACATGCCTATTGCAATTTAGTCCCAAAATAAAGCTTCGTTATCCAACAAGCCTGAAATACACGATGTCATCGTAAAGTACAAATCAAATGTTTTGGTAGAAACCACCCATAATGTTTATAACAATCATGAACCAGCCGCTGAATATTATCATTAGGTGGGACGAAAAGATGGGGTGGGGAGGCTTCTGTTTCTCGAGACGTAGTCAATTTCTCAGTGCGCGAAAGAGAGGGGGAAGCATACAGTTCTTGTGTTGTTCTAGGTTTTCACTGTAATTATAGAATGTTGAGGACAGGGACCAACAATTACCCGACGTGTTCGGGAATGAATAGAGCAAGTGCATCACACCTACACTTTTCGCGGTTATGTCTTGGCGGTGAGATTGTTCAAGTACCGACCGTCATTGTAGAACAGGTTCGTTATGCATTCATCCACATGCCTCTACCTAGATTAACTACCGAGTAAGTTCTGGTTGCTCAAAATGACTTAAAGTATTTCTAATTGTGTTATATTTCTAATTTAGGCGTGATTTAAAGTACGCTTTTTATATCAACATTCAATATATTCTTTCAGGAAACCGTATTCAGGGCTGTGGTAACTAAGCATGCATTTCGAAGTCTCGGTACCGACACGCAAAATTACTTAAAGGTTGTAATTCATAACTCTCGATCGTTCTTACTAGTGCATGCTTACACAGCATTTAATTATTTAGAAATAATTCGAAGACAGTATTTCAGCGTTTCTTACCCAAGTATGAAGGATCAAGTAAGGATGAAGAGCAAATTCTGGATATTGTGTTCACAGCAGATCCGAATTTGTATTTTGGAAACCCGTTGGGAAAACTACATTCAAAAATTCGATGTAAGCTTAGTTCGTTATTTCTTAATAAACATAATTTGTACAGCATGGTTGAAGATATACATCTTTGTCTTCCTTGATTAAATTTGCTAGATAGAACAATTCTCTACTTAAGTTGTTGGTTGTACATGGATATTAATCTATGTATTAAATCTTAATTTTATGTTTCTACAATAAAGCGAAACTTTCTGGATATTTTTAGGTGGTTGGTTTAATCCAGAAAGACCATCAGATCAAGTGCAGCTACGTGACAATCGCAGGGTTTTGTACGACCATTACATACGCCATTATTATATGACTGTTTTGAAATCACTTCTCATTTCCAGAAATGTAAGTGTTTTTAAACGCAGTTCAAGATAAATTCGATATGATATGTGATTACGATGAGAAGATGAATTTGAGAGGTGACGGTTGGTATAGACGAAAATGTCCTTTTCTTAAGACTAATTTGGCCGATTTCAAATGCATAATTATGGAATCATAATTATTTTCTGCGTTGTATATGTTTTGTTCTGTAGTATTGAATTTCAAGATTTAGTCATGTTTTGCCTCAGAAAATTGTTGACTTACCCACTTTGGCATGCGTTATATATCATTTCACTGTATATACAACAGTTTTAGAGGGAATTCGTTAAATATACTAATTCAAGTGTGTTTGAAGAACCTACAGCAAGGAGAGTGCTTACTCCTGGTTGTTTTCGTAAATCGAAAATATCAAAAAGAATTAAATGGCGTACTGCAGCTCGGCTGAAAATGTAAGTTTCAAAATAAATTTATTTTTTAAGTGGTATAAACTTTTCAACTGATATTTGTTTAAGTATTTGATGTATAATTCATACCCAGCTGTTTGTGATAGTCATGTACTGATGAGCGATGTTCAGTTTTTATTTAATAACAAAAATTCTGTTTATAATATAAATTTACACGATGATTATTTGTGTCCATTGCTGATTATTTTGCATAAAATTGCAGAATATTAGACCGGGTGAGAGAGGAAGTTGGGGAAAAAGCAGGCTTTTCTTCGGATGAAGAAGGTAGGCTTCCGTCAAGATATTTTGACTTTACGGTTGTTTTCTGAAATTGTACATATTGTTTTAATTTTTTATTCAAAGACTTTTCCACTGCACATTGTGGAAGCAAAAAAAAAAAAAAAAAAATGTGGATTTAAATAGGATTGCACTACGGAATGCTAATTTTTTCAAGAGGGATCGAGCTGTCAATAGTGTATAAATTTGGTTTCACTAGAACCAAATGAACACTTTTAAATACTTTATTCGTGAAAGTACTACACTTAATTAAATATCTTCTTAATGTGGTTTGTTTATATATTATTTCACTTTCAGAATTCGGTGATTTAAATAGAATTCCAATGGCTCGTGCTGGGCAGAGTACTCTTTTTTCCCCTTATTTTGTTGGTAAATTTTATAATTTAGAAAGTTTTGTGCAGGTTCAGTTTACTTTCTTGTGAAAATGTAATTACTAATTTCATGTTTCATAATATTTAGAAAATGCTTTGTTTATTCTGTGTTCTGTTTCTACTACTGACTTAAACTTCATTGAAGGAGATGTTGAACATATGTTTGGAATGGTTGGTTCCTAAAATCCCTTCTTTCAGATTATGATCTGCATCAACCAATTTACATGGATGATGTCAAACGGATGCTGAAAGATTATAGAAATCTAAAGGAACAGGAACCTGTATGTTACTTATAAAATTCAATTTTACTGAACTGAAAATTTTTAATACGTTTGTTTAGGACTCACCTTCTCTGGATATTTCGGACATTGGTATTGAAAACGTTTATGAAAGAGCCGGTGTGGCTTGCATTGCTGAAAGGAATTTGTCGGCTGAAGTTTCTGAGGCGATGAAAATGCCATTTAAATCTATAAAATAAATAAATTTGTTGTGGTGAATTTGTATCAGTATAACTTGCCTGGATTTTAGATATATATCATGATGCTTTTTAAAAGTGTATTATTTTACTCCTATGATGCTATATTTCTTTTAATCAATTTTGTCACCTAATTAAATTTGTGAGATTGATGTCGCAGGTATTATATAGCTTATACAACTTTTATTATATGCATAGCATAATAAACCATTCGACTAAATTACTTGTGTAGATAATTTTAAATGATGGCTATAACACCCAAGCTATCTAGATTTATCTTTGCTATTTCCATTTTAAATAAAAGATGGACATTAGTAAAATGAGAATAAATTTTTGTCGGATACTCGCAGTTGATTTCTTGAGTTTATTAGGTTCTTTTGCAAGCGGAGATTCAGGATCCTGGCGCAGGGTTTTCTTGGAATCAGATTTGGAGCGATCTGAGATCTTGGATAACGTAATATCTAATCGACTGTAGGGAATCGCGTTATCAATGTTTTAGTGGTAACGAAGCCGTTAAGTATAGTTGATAATCAGGTAACGAGATTTGTCGGGAGATTTTTCATATTCATCTTTGGACTTTCCACTTCATTTAATAGGAAGGTTTCTTTCATTTTCTGCATTGTACTTTTAAAAGATACATGTCAGTGTGATTTTTTACTTATTGGGATCGTTAAATAATATCGCTTGCTTAGACCATGGCTGGGAAAATGCTGCTTGCATTTTTTCGGCTCTTTTTCGCTGTGTGAAAATAATGTGTTCACAGCGTAAATGTTGAAATACTACAAGTTCTCCTACAGAACTTTGTTAATGAATTATAGATCTATTAAGTTAACATGAGTTAGAGATGAAATGCAGTTTAAGTCGACTATCTAGTAATTTATAAATCTTTGTGTGAATTGTTTGATTCCCTTACTCGTCATCTTATGAAAGACTCACAGAAGTAAAGTAATAAGTTATTGGTTGCAACTGATTCTCATTTGGAGTTCTAAATTTTGATAACCGCTAAATAATGTAATAAATATTCAGAGTTTTCTGTGTTTTAGGTTTCACGATGTTTTCTTAGATGATCCGTCACAGATTGCGTTGTTTAAATGCAATCATCGTTATCTTATTTGTAAGTTTTATGCTCATTTTTCTTTTGAGATTGTAGATTTATTTATTTATTTTTTCACTAAAATAATGAATCATTAATATAAGCACAAATAACCATAATAAATACATAATACGCAGCAATAATTAACAACCCTGCTCTATTGTGGTAGATATTACGTGCGGTAAAATACCATATGATGGTAACAATAGCTAGATTTAGGAAAGAACAATTGAGAAAATTAATCTGGGACCAAAATTTGGGTGTCACAAGACGCATTTAAATGCAGTAATAAGAAGCTTTTTTTTGACAGTTCCCATTTACTTTCCTTTCTCTTGTTTTTTGTTGACTGTGAGCTACCAGTGATAGTGAGCATACAGATATATTTTTCGTTATATACTGAATTTTTTAACTGCCATATAGTTGTAATAGTAATTTTGTTATAAACCCACAGGTGACGTAACCATGATGTTCTTGATATGGTGTATTTTCGTACATTTGGTTAAATGTGTCATTTTTCCACGCACAGTTGACATAGAAAACCTTTTTCTAGGTAGGGTTTTTTATGATTTATTTACAAACTCCATATCTAAGTGCTAGTGAAAACTTTGAACGTTCACGATACGATGCTCCAGAAAAAGATTCAGTCTCTGAACAAGATGATGTAAGTTTTTCTGCTAACATGTCATATATTTGGTTCTATATTTAGATTAAATTAGAAAATTTAATTGGATGAAACATCAGATTCTTGTTAGTGAAAGGACCACTTGCGTTTTGCGTTCTCTTTACCAATTTAACTACTTATTAGCTGGTGCAACTGAATGGTACCGATTATCTCCGGAATTAATTTCACATGCAGGACTCCGTTGTTAACATTCATAAATTTACGATACAATTCTTTCTTTTAGATCTTTTGTCTTGTTACAGCAAAAATTTGAATTGGGATGGACGTTTCGAACTACACCGTTACCTTTAAGTAAGGAAGAAATTATCCGTTCCATTGAGTTTCTTAACGCAAACTATGAGATTCTGAATACGGATAAGCATATTCAATTGCAGAGTGTAGAAATTGTACTGGTTGTTCAAGTAAGTTCCTTTAAAATTCCATTTATGTTAAAATATGATTTACGATGCGTTTTTTTTTTTTTTTTTGTTACTGTAAAATGTAGTTTTAAAAAACTGCTGGAATTTTGTTATGATTACATATCTTTTCCTGGAAGATGCTTTTTCAAATGCAATTATGTGACAAATACTACGGGGAACTTTTGCAGGTCCATAATCGTATCGAATATTTGAAAGAGTTGATTGCTACCCTCAAAGATGCCCGATATATTGAAACTACGTTGCTAATTTTTAGTCATGATTATTCGTCTGCCCTTATAAACAAACTAATTACAGGGATAGATTTCTGTTTAGTATGTTATTTACTGCAAAATGCAACTGGAATAATTCAGGAAAAAATATTTTCTTGTCAGATAATTCAAACTTCGGAATTGTTAGAGTCTATGAAATTAGAACTCTTAAATGATTAAAAGTTTTAAATTAGCTAATAACTTCATTACCGAGAAGTCCGTGATATCTGCAATGACTTTCTGTTTCAGGTTATGCAAATATTTTATCCATACAGTATTCAATTGTTTCCAGATGTTTTCCCTGGGCGGGATCCTTTGGATTGTCCAGAAAAGGCAAATAAGCAAGAGTAAATTTGATCTACTTTTGTATCGAATGATTTTTTTAATTTAAAATTTTTCTGAGAAATTTTATGACTTTCCGTGTATCTTTAGAGCAGCTTTTCTGAAATGTAATAATTGGAAAAATCCGGATAAATATGGACATTTTCGTGTTGCGAGGTTAACACAAATCAAACATCATTGGTGGTGGAAGGTTTGTTTTATTCTGAATTTTTTTTCTAATTATTGTTGTGGATTCATGTGCTAAAACGACTGTAATAAACTTCAAAGCGGTATATGGACTGTTTCTTTGTTATCTACGTAATTCTCTTTGAAAATAAATTTTCGATTACAGATGAATTACATATTCGATGGGATATTGAAGCAATATGCATTAACAAAGGCATGGGTAATATTACTGGAGGAAGACCATTATGTTTCGCCAGATTTCTTACATGTTATGCGCCTGATTGTGGACAATAAATCGAGGTGTTTTTTAATTTGGAATCTTGGCAATTAGCTACAAAATTTCGTGACTTCCAGCTAAGTCTTAAGGCATCTGAGTGACGATTTCAAGTCTTACGAACTTGATATACAGAAAGTCTTTTACGTGCTATTGTTTTGTTGTTTGAAATTTTTTTTTTTTTTGTTGAGTGAAATTTTTTTTGTTGTTTTTTTGCTGTACTAAGAATAGCATTATCTACAATGCTTTTTAGTTTCTGCGCGGAATGTCAAGTGATAAGCCTTGGATTATATCTTAAGCAGTACAATAATTTTAAGACCAATTTGAATCGGCTAGGTATTCATCCGTGGTTTAGTTCAAAACATAATATGGGAATGGCTATCAATGTAGACACATGGGAACTTATCAAAAATTGCACAGAAGTAAGTTTCTGTTTTGTTCTTTAATAAAGTGGAAATTTTTCTTCTGGCTTAAGATTTGTTATGTTTTTAGTTGTTCTGTAAATACGATGACTACAACTGGGATTGGTCGCTATTGCGCGTTAGCATGAAGTGCTTGCCTGCAAGATTGAAAGTTATTGCTGTTAAATCTCCTCGTGTTATACATATTGGTGATTGTGGTATACATACTCACCGTTGCGCCGTCCATAATGCTGCTGCATTGGTTTGTTGATCCTTTGATTACAGAGTAAATTTTATGTCAAGATTGATGAGCTTGGAAAGCTAAAAATGCCATGAAATTTTTAGGCTGCGGAACTTTTTAGTAGTTCGGCGGACTCATTGTTTCCGAAAAAAATGATAGTGGCAGAGAATCTGAAGCGAACATTAAAACCTTCGAGGGAGAACGGTGGTTGGGGTGATATACGAGACCATGAATTATGTCTCAATAATTCGCATGTACCTGATCTTTCTGCTTACGACTTTTATTTAAATAATCTGGCAGGCAACAATAATTATACGTATATCAGCCATCCTCTCATTTTTCCTGTCTAAGATTCAAGGTAATATTTTGTATGAGCACAAGTATCACTTCATATTTTATATCAACTTGCTTTGTACTTTTTTTTGCGAAGTGTTAATTTCAATAATTTATATTCAGACAAGTTAAGTCAGTATGTTTATACAGTTTTCCAATATTGTTCATAATTTTTCGCTTCATTTCGTTTTAAACAACGTTTTATTCGGATTTCTGAAATCTAATATTAATTTTGAGTCGCACATGAATGTATATTGTCTTCATTATTTATAAGCTCCCTTGAGCCAACATCATCTTCCATGTTCTTTTATCGAAGTTTATTTAGAAGCATTCAGTGGAAAACATTTCCAACACAAGAACATCTTTTAGGTGCAAAACTTTTGAACATGTTTTGCAATATTGGCTAGCGTGACATATTTTTTTTTTGTATTGGATGAACTAGGAAGACAACATATACGGAGCGTGTGTATCATTTTTGTTACATTGTCGTATCTTGTTTCAAATTCTGCAAAGAATTTTATGGTCGACTAAAATTTCAAAAAATGGTCTTTCATTCCCTTTTTTCTTGACTGCTGTGAAATATACTTGTGAAATATCAGGAAAGTGGTCACTCGTTATATCATTCTAAATCTGCCCTTTATGGAAAATTGAAGTCGGGCTATCTTTTTTGGAGAAATTGTCGATTAAGACGGTATCAGTGTATCACTTACCTTTCGTGAAGTGCATGATTAAACAGCATTTTCATTTTCAATGTTTATTTTTCAAATGTATTACAATTTGGTGGCCCAGTTTGTCACTACTGCTTCGGAAAAAAAAATTTTTTTTTTTTTTGAGGTGTGGTGGGAGAGTGCAGTAGCTGTACTGACTTATGTTTTGTATATTTACAGCACATAGCGCGGAGGCATATTTAATGTTACCATGAATAAGGAAGATCGGTGCACAATCTTGTCAGTTATGTTGGTGAAATAACTTCATTTCAGTTCTGAAGCACTTTAGAATTCAGTACACTTAACAATTTCATAATATATTTGGCACGATGCATATCCTATTAATTTAAAAACTTCTTGTGTTGGACATAGTTCAGCTTAGTTATCTGTACACTGTATGGTTAATTCTGTGACAAGTACAAGTTATACGGTCTTTTTTTTTTTGTATAGCATTGTCCTAAATTCCTTTTGGTCACATCACCTCATGTAGACAATCAATAACATTTTCGCCATTGCAGTGATTATCAATTGTTTCCAAAACTGAAGCACCTGAAATTCAACCGCTAGCTTCCCTCTTCATTGTATTCTTGAGCGCATCTCCAAGAAACCGATATCGGCCTGCGAATTAAGAGTGAAGTATAATTAAAGTAACCCGACTACCGTTCTCATGTTAACATGAATACTGGAAGTTGACAGCGCAAGAAACGTCCAGTACATTCACATAGTAAATGATAGACCTGCATACGTTGTAGCAAATATTACATTGAGATGAAGCAGTTTCCTAAGTTCAAATGAATTAATAACACATCCAATGAACCCACCATAAATCCGTAAATGTGCAAAGGGTTTTAGTGTGATTCGTTTGAGTTCACTATTATGATCCCACTTGAATGACTGATTGCCCAGAAAATGTTTCTTGCTAAATTTAAAGATTTCTTGTGGAATTAAACAACATAACGATTCCCGGACGACACATTACATATTTTTTTGCCGAACATCTAGAAATTCCAAATGCCTTTCATAATATTCCTAATTATAAAATACATTTATATTTTATACAGCGAATTATATGCAGATTATGAAAAAACTAAATAATTTTATTCACAAGATTTTTATACGGTGGATCATATACAATAATAAAAGCTTTCATTCTACGAAGTTACGTTTCTTCGTATGTGACCTAAAAGTCCCATTGGCAGATCGTTCGTATGTATATTATGATAAACATCGATCCAAGAATCAAAATGTACTGCGCTTCCAATCCAGAATAACAAACATGATAACAGGAAGTAGTAAAATGCACTGCCTAGTGAACACTGAAACAACCTTAAAGCTCAATGATGAAAACATGACAGAAGCAATATTACTGATGTGACTTTTAAAGCAAGAGTCAAAGTCCATAAAAAATAACTTACGTATTTCATGGTTTTAATAAACGGTTTTGAGCTATCTGCCATAACGATGAATATAGTGAATACATTAATGAAAACTGAAAGATAAACCTCTTAGGAGAAACCATCGAAAATGTCTTTAAAATTTTTTAAAAATAATATTACTGATGTTACTTTTAAAGCACATAAAAAAAGGAAGTGAAACAAGAATACAACCGCTAACCTAGCAATACAGTCACAGCACATAAGAGCTTCTGTACTTTCAGATTGCGTTTCACACAAATGAAAAATAAAGAGAAAATAACGAATAAATATAATAAAACGCCGAAAATCATGAGGACGCGTGCCAATCTCAGACCTGAAAGTGAGTAAAGATGACACTGAGCCAAGAAAATGCTTGGATACAGTAAATAAATTTAATTAGAAATTGGTCAGTTTTAAAACATATATTGAATCACCTGTGGAAGGTGGAACAACATCAGAAGCGGTAATATCCTGGCCATTGATAACGAAAGTACTATGTTCACCATCCAACCAACTTGTGCATCTAATTCCATCCCAAAATTCCCCACTTTTTACACAGTCATCTCCTAAACCACGCTGAAAACAAAAGAAGTTATAAAATTTCTTTGTGTTAAAAGGAAACTGGACAAATAAAAAATTTATCTATATTTACTGGTCCAGTTTTTATATAACCTGTACTGCATGTTCCCTTTCATTTCTGCGATTTCGCAGTGCATTGAGCTTTTGAAATGGAAAGGTACTTATTTCACACTTCACACGATGTGCTACAATATAAAATGAATGTCATAAATTACAATATCCTTCACATATTGGAGGCTGTCGATAAAAGTCTAGATTTGAGCTACAGTGGTTCATTAAATCATTAAACTGCTATTAGGACCGACAGTGGAATTCATACATTTCAAATGGACCAATATAATACAAGAAGCGACAAAAACTGTAAAAACCTGATAAATATATGAACCATTGGTGTGCACCAACCATGCATTGTTGAAAAAATGGAATGTTTGGAAAACAGCGGCAGAGACAACGAACATAAAAGCAACAATCAACTCCCAAAAGAAACGGTTATGGCGAATGGCAGGTCTTGCCATAGCAATTTTTGTTGATCCAAAGCTTCCTGAAATAATTTCCATCTCTTGAAGACTATGACAAAGAAATTCTTTTTTTCTCTATTTCCAAGCGGTTTTGAAGAAAATGTATTACTGTCATATAATGAAGGTAAAAAAATGAGTACCAGTTAACAGGCACAGATCAAAGACGATATGCCGCAGTTATGAATAAAATGGCAAACAGCAAAAGGCAATACCATTTCCTCTGTTAGTACCACGGTGCTTCTCTGAATGTGTGAGCTGTACATAACAGAGCAGATCAAACAACGCAACAATTTCCATTCAACCCCAATCTAAAGTCTGAAATGAATATTTCAATTTAAGAGAGCATATTATGCTCTGTCAACGTCAGACACGCATTAACTTTTGTACAATAAGAAAATAGGTCTGAATTCATTGTTGATTAGTATCTACATGGTTTAGAGCACAACAGCGTTGTTGAAAGACGGTAAGTCATAAGAAAGCAGGCATCTACAACGAGGCATTAATAATTCTTGTCAACGCAGTTTATGACAGCTAGACGAAACATTTGTAAGTGGGGGTTCACTTAATACTGGTGGAATAGTTCTATATAATCCATCAAGAGCTAAAATACCTAGCGCAAAATAAACTGACACCACCACTTCAGATGGATAGGCACAAAAGAACTAGTCGCGGTAAAATGATAACGGAATACTGCACATGAGATCACTGCGGCAGTTGTTATCTCTGAGGGGTGTGGGACATTGCTTGAACCGAAAAGGGGTTGTTAATAATTCTTTAAGATGTAAGGAATAAATATTTCAAATTATAAATACCGGAATAGGGATAAAGGTATTAAAAGTCAGATCATGGCAACGGCCCAGCTATATCATGTTTCTAAAAATTTTGAGTGTCGTCCATAAATAATTGGTACTATGAATTTATGCTGGAACAGAACGATCAGTCAGTCACAAAGGATGTTTCAAATTTCCATTTCGTGTCATATCGCTTGATTTCTTTGGTAAACCGGCTACAGTACATTCCCATCCTTGGTCCAGAAGATGTATCCGGAAGCGTTTGGATTTGTTTGGTAAAATGAGGAATAGAAGAGGATAGAAAGTATGCTAAACAATGTTATACTATCAGTTTCAGGTTAACTTCCGCTTTTCTCCGTTTGGTCAGTTGTCTCAGTTATTGAGTTAGGTTGCTGGGAATGCAAGTTTCATCAGTCATAATGTTATGAGACGTAGGTATATCATCATGCTGAACGCCAAAATTTGGCCGAAATTCAGGTATTCCTTGGATTCAGTTTATGGTTTCAAAGGAGGTTGTGAAGCGTTCGGAGTTGTATCGATAGTTCTTGTTAATTCGCACTTTACGCTTTATAAGCTGCCTGTATAAATATAAGAGTGTTAAGATTTTTTTGGAAATTGAGTGATTTCCATGAGACGCTGTTTTCAATAACTGTTGCCTACTCTGTCAGATTTAAGTTGTAATCGCTTTGATATTTCCTAAAAGATGTATTTGAAATAGTTTTATTCTATTAACTTTTTTTTGGCGACTAATTTTGAGCAAAACATTACTAATGATTTTTTTGTTGAATTTCTAGAACAATTTAAATCATTTTCTCAGGGACTGCAATGCAATCGCAACACTTTAAGAGGCAAAGTACTTTACTTCAGGCGATTTCCTAAGAATAAAAATATTCTTTTGGAAGTTCATTTTATATCATCGTTTACAAAGTTCTCCTGCGATTTTTCAGATATTTCTGAAAGTTGATAGCAGTTCAAGCTTTTTCTGACATTGCTGTTGGAGTTTCGTCATTTTCTTCAATGTAAATGGTTTGATTTCTTTCTTAATTGGTAACTTGGTTTCTTGTTCATTTCATGCAACTTAGAGTTGAAGGAAAGTTCTTAATCGGAAAGAAAGTCGACAAATTTCAGGTTGAATTGAAATTCTTTCAATTTTTTAAATGGTAAAGTTTATAAATTGCTTTCGTGTAATCTTTTAATTGTATAACTTTTGTGGTAATTATGTGGTGAGAGGTTAAACATTAAATGGTTGTGAAACTAATTAATTTTGTTTTTTATTTATGCTGTTTACCCTAATTCATTGCCTTCAGCATGCATTCCTTCTAGTATTTGGATTTGGAATTTCCTTTTTACTGTTTTCCCAAAACAAATTTTATATTGAAATGAAACTAAGGCTTGAACAATGAACTATCTGGCCTACTGCATTCAAATGTTTGCACAAAGTTTAGGTTATCAAATTTGATTGCTGTTTTTAATACTTGAATTTTAATTTATCGTAATATTATGCACAAAAATAATGGTGTAAGATGTCGCTATTATATGTATTAAATAAACATTATGGCATAATTTTCAACTTCTGCAATTTTTGGAGAGAAAAGATTTTTTAATTGAAATTTCAATCCAGTAATGAATTTCCTCAAAAACCTTAAAGGAATTTGTTTTATTACCCAGTCGCCTACACCATAAAATATTTTATTAATGTTCCTAATTCCAACAACAATGATTGACATCAATGTTGAATTGATGCAGCAATAGATGCGTTATTTTTGAAACTTTTTTGGTAATGAGATGATCAGAAAACTGAAACGAGAGCTGCACTAATAAATTACACTTCGGCTGGAAAATTGCATAGACTAGCAGTTTATAATTTGGTAATAATTGAATAATCCGTTTCTGGCAATAAATCTAGAAACGCGTTATGAAATGGTTGAAATAAGGTTCAGATAAAATTTCTCTGGTTAGAAAAAAAAATATTGGAAAAATTTTTATGGAAAAGCAAACCAAGTTAAAAATTTGCTAGTAAAATTAAATGTTGAGAATGGTTGATATGAATGAATTAGCAATATACGTTCATATAATTCAAAAACCAAAATAAAGCGTCTTAGCTTTCAACAAATAGTGTATAGGACGTGACACAGAATCTGTAACTGAGAATGTTTTTGGTTGGGAACAAAACAAGTTTATACCATGGTATTCCGTAGTTACTGCAAGCAAAAGAAATTTTTAGCATGATATCGTTGTTCACTGTCGCAAAATGGTCATTTGAAGCAGGAAGCTATATTTTTTATATTTTTAATATTCTCCAGTTTTTTCGTTGCTAACGTTTAAAGTTTGCTTAATGCATTACTGTGAATAATGAGCTATTGAAGAAGTGTTTATAACATAAATAATTTTAAATACACTATGTTTCAGATGTGTAGTAGGGATTATTCTAAGCACTCATTTGTCATTTGTTGAAATCAAGCTATTTGGATTTTAATTCATCGGAATTAGTTTTTGTTGTATTGTTGCGCTGTTCGTAACAAATTTTGCTGTGTATGATGCATAAAGAGATGACAATTTTCTTTACGTCTCAACTTGCTCTTTTAGCTTCAGACATGACGCTTGATGTCTGAATAGAATGAGTTCTTCTGAAGAAGCTGGGGCGACTGAGCCTGGAAGAAAAAGTAGCGATAATAGATTGTGAAGAGAATGCATCATTAGATAACGGACACTGCTCTATTAGAAATTTCAATGCGTATTACCACTAAAAACTTGGGAATTAAAGAAATGGGACTGATAACTTGTTTCATCAGTTCATATTCGTCGCAAGAGGCAAACTGAGTACGTATGTTGATTGCATGGTCCCGGCCAACACCTCTTGGGAAAGTTTACTAACTTAATGACATATCGACTTGGTGTCACAAGTTTTCTTATACGTCATCCGACCGACGTTCCTTGACTTGCATAATCTCTGATTGAGAGTCGAAGACATTTTGAAACTAATTTTGTTTGTGTGAACTATTGCAGCTCGTCATTTCCAGAATTGGACGTTATGATTGATTTAGGTGGCGATATTCATTGTGTTTTAATTCCAAACATTTCTTTCCGTATTCAGAGAGATTCTTATTCCGATTCAACATTAATGTCTTCCACACGAAATCCGCGCTCTCTTAAACGATTCAGACGTCGAGGGGTGGAGACTCGATTCTCGTTATGTCATCCTTCACATGCGTCTGCTGCTAGTAGCAGTTTGAGGCGTCCGTGTAACCGTATGAGTTCCGTACATGAAGGTTTGTAATTCCCTTTTGCTTCACTTCATTTTAAAAATCTTCTGATTTTCAAATGTTCCGCCAACATGCAGTATGTGGCAATTTTATATGATCAATTTTATACCGCTAAGCCAAGTTTTTCTAGGTGTCAAATCAGCAAAATTGACATTTTCTCAGACTAAAAGCGAATGAAGTGCAAAGTGAATGCACATATTGCTTGCACATAAGAAGAACTTTTAGCTCTTAATGCTATTTTGTTTGAAAGATAAATTAACAACTGATTGAAGACAGCATCTGCAGAAAAGCTGTTTTGAATGTATCAGTGTTTCTTTTTTAAAGTAACCATTGCAATTGTTAACATTTGTTTCAGGTGTCTCCTGTGATGGTTGTATGGCACCAAATTTTGCAGGAGATCGTTACAAATGTCTTCGATGTTATGATTTCGATTTATGTTCTCGATGCTATATGGAAGAGCGAACAGCAGAAGTCTCATCCGAAAATCGTTCTTTTCGTGAAACCAATGAAGAGCATTCTCCTTCTCATCCAATGCAGTGTATTATGACACAACAAGACTTTGGTATTTATGTATATTGCTTTATGGTCATATGCATAAAGGTGAAAGTACTAAGAGAGCGGTATAATTGAGTTTCTACAGTAATGAGCTTTTGCTGTACAGTGCCTATATAACGCTTCTACTGATTATTCAACCCACTGTTTCGGATGTGGAAAAGAATTTTTCGTGCATTGTTCTAGAGTGCATACTACTTTTTGAGCCAACTTTAAAATGTGTCATTTCGTTGCAGCGTGCTTTAAGTGATATTTTAAGAATTGGCATACCACGGCGACCAAATGCATAGCTGGGACCGTTTGCGAGTTGTAATTTTTACTTGTCCAGTTTGTGGTCTTCAAGGTTTTTCACGTGAACGCTTGGTTTCTCATGTCGTTGATGAACATTCGACTTCACCACGATCTCCAACGCAGCGGACTGAAATGGTTTTTTTTTTTGTTCTCTTACATTCTGTGCTATGCCTTAAATTTTTTAAGAGTTTTGGATGAAGGTTGCTTTAACTTTTGTTGACATCTTTCTAACTATGTGTGTTTAATTTACTCTTGATTATTCAGATGTAACACATTTTTTTTATTCTTAAGTTTGAACATGCATTTTTCAGGCTTGTCCAATTTGTATTTCCACCGATTTTTATCGTATTGGTTTTGGTGATTATATGCCTAATCATCTTTCTGATATAGTATTACACATGCAGGAACACCACATGCAGACACAATATGTGAATGTCTCTAATAATAGGTAGTGATTAGGTTCTTTTTTAATCTTTCAAATCTCAGTTTCGCAAATTATATCCATTCATGTAGCAGAGGACACTCATGTTCATTTCCCTGCTAATATGTGTTTCTCTCCAAGTCTTGTCTTTTATAGCAACAGTGGAGTATCAGACACTGCTAACGTGTTGTCCGAATTTCTACGCGACCGCGATCTGCGGCGTGTAGTTGTACATAACGTGCCTTTGGTCAACAATGATTCTGATGTCGAAGATTCAGCCACAGGTGGAATTCGTCGTAATACCACCAACCAACGAGATGGACCACTAAGAATTGATACAGTTTCACGCATTCGTCGTAGGCCTCTTGATAGTAGTGCAGCTGAGCTAAGTCAGTGCATGTTCATTCTAAATAATAGTTCATAAAACAAAGAATGGTACATTTGGTACATTATGTAAAAGGAAGGACAAAATAATTTAGAAAGAATTTAGAATTAGAAATATTTAGAAAAAAAAATCAGAATAATTTAGGAAAAAATGAATGTTTTATCGCTATTGTAGTAATATCTTTTATAACGAAAAGTGATATGAAATTCGGATACTATCCTAATTTAGATACATTTATTCATATTAATATATCTAAATTTTTAGATTGCAGTTCATGTTCGCTTATTATGCTCATATCTTTTCTTAGTATGTGACAAATTTAGTTTGACCCATTACATTTGATTCGTTCTGAGTTTGTTGACTAATCTCTTTCAGCCCGAGAAACTGGTGATTCTCTGATACAGCCAGCAGGTTTTTCACCGATACGCATGGGTGGCCAAATACCTACCGGACTTTCACCCAGTTCGGCTATGCAGCCTGCTGCTTTATCATCGGGCTTCTCCAATCGTCCAAGTATACAATCTGGTGGCTTTTCTTCTGCTCGTTTATCTGCTTCAAGAGTTTTGGTAAATTTTCCCGTGCATTTTTTCTATTCCTAAGATTTTGTATGCTTTATCTGTTCTTTAAACTCTAAAATTTATGAAACAAATTGTTTTAGCAACCTATTCGATCAACGAGAGATTCTACCGGTATAGGACATGCTGGAAACAACTCTTTATCTGCTAATTCTGCTCTAGAAGCTCCACTATCACCGTATGAACCTCACTCAGAATTCCTTAGTGATAGTGGTGCGACAATTCGAACCTTTCAGTACCCTATTACTGCGTATTCTCGTCCAACTGTTCCAAGTGAATATATATGTTTGAATCATCATTTAAGAGTGGTATCTGTTACAGCTATTACTATAATTTTTTCGAGCTTATGCACATTTTTTCTAGATCATGGTGTGCAGCGAAATCAAAGAATCTCTGCTGAAAGTAGCAGTCGAACAATGGGTTATGCTAGACGTTTCGTGGTGCGTGAACGAGACCAGTCGAGAAATGAAGCATTATTTGGTGCCCCTCCCGGTTTCAGAAGGCTGGAAAATGTCGAAGCTTCAAATGTAATTGAACTCCCTGTTGCCGGAGTTGCCGCATGTTCTGCTAGCAACTATAATGCTAATGCAGCAAATTTTTCAAATTCCGATACAGCAGATGCAACAGCTTCGAGTACTGATGTGCATCCTGTTCTAGATATAAGCGGTGGTGCATACACTACGCAGAGTAGTTCGCAGGAAGCTTTAGTCGAAAGTATTGAGGAACTAGAAAGACAAATGGAACGAAGTGGTAACAATGAAGCCAAAAAATCGCTGAAATACTGCACTTTGTTTACAGCTCTGGCTAAACCATCATGTTTGCCAGTGTTGAAAATCGAAAGGGTTAGGTCGACAAACGACGGTGAAACGAAGCAGTCATATGCACTGACTTCTGATGATGATGATGATTACAGAACCAGTGATGAAATTCCACCGCTTCGTTTAATTATGAGGATCGGTCGGTCTTTACGATGCACGTACAAGCAGCGTAACCAAAACATCGTACAACAGCAATCTTATCAGGTGGCAGATGACTTCAATGATTGGTGGTCGTCACGATTTAGTGAACATTTACTTGCAGAATCAGCAACACGTGCGAATCGAGCAAATATTGACGTTACACATGAGGTATTTAATTTTTATTGCTTTATCTGGTTTTTCCCTAAATATCTATATTTCATACAAAATAAATACGAGAACTTTTGGCATACGAATGTATTTTTTTATATTTAGTACTTCATTTTCTTTTTTTTTTTTTTTTTTAAATATCGTTGCAACTAAATCTATAATTTTGAAACTAAATAAATGCATAATCATAAGCCCAGTATTTCTTGAGATACTGGATACATCGCTCGTAACATCCGACCGATCGATAGTTTCACGTGGTGAAGTTGCTTTAAATCGTGCAATAGAAGCGTTACGAAGATTGGATTCACGTCATACTCACAGTAGCCGACTTCCTGTAGCGCATGATGTCATCACACAAACCAACAGTCCTGTTTATATGGTTCATTTTTGTGTTTCTTTTCTAAAGCCCTTAGTAGTTAGTTTCACATTAACTTCAAACTAGAACTTTTGACAGAAAAATCGGCACTCATTTTCTTTGATGCCACGCTGTCGGATGTCCGCGTAATCGTTAGAACTCAGTTTCAACAATTTCTTTTTACTCATGTCCAGCAGATTTTGGCCTTTTCCGCCAGAGAACTTTTCCAGTATTTACTTTGAAAGTGGGAAATGGGAAAAATTAGGCATTATGGAAGCATGAAGCGTATCTTAGAAGATTGAAGTAAGCCAAAAAAATGCTAGCGCATGTTGACAGGCATGGGCAATACTTCAATGGTAAGAATTACTGAAGTCAATTGAAAAGAACAATTTAACAAATTGGCATATGTTTATAAGAGACGATTTCCTCGGTTTCTCGGATGTAAAGATGCATTACTGAGTGGCACGACCGTGCTGCATATACAAAAACATTTTGATCTTCCATCTTTGTTTAGTTCTAGTCATTGTAATTTATAACATTTTTAGAGTGAAGATATCGTTCTTGCGTTCATAATAGGTTAGATATTTAGAGGATTCGGAAATTATTCATCACATATTGTGGTTCAGTTTGTTTGGCTTATATACGGGTGTCCTCATGCAGATTCTTAGTTCACTAAGCAGTACCTTTTTTTCGTCCTCTGATTCTGGGCGGATGTGATTGCACAGGAAGTTGCTGTTTTCATTGAAGCGTCTAGTTTGAATATTAAGCAATTAAAGATGTTACTCGATTCGTGAAAATGTGTAAATGCATTATTCTTAAATGGAAAATTGATTGATGCTGACTTGTCATGAAAAAAACGTTGTTTTAGGGTTTGATTCGCCGAGAGGAACACATGACTCCAAATTCTCACTTGTCTTCCAATTCGCATTTTAACAGTCTTTCATCAGGTGGACGTTTGAGCAGTATTCCTACACCTAATATACTGAGCGAGATGAGAGCACGGAAATCTGTGAAAGTGCAAGTAAAAGGAAATGGACAACATGATGGTGATTGCAGTGATTTCATCAACGAAGTTTTCAAAGTATTTACATGCTATTAGTTTTTTAATTTTTCTGGCTACTGCTTGGAAATCATGTTTCCACTTTGATTTTTTTTTTCTGCGAGATTAGTCAAATTTTAAATGAATAGTAATGTGGCTTCTTGTTTGAGGCTCCAGAAATTGATGCATTGTTGGATGTCAAATATGTCGTAAAAAAGCGCTATTACAAACCATATGATCTGAAAACGGTAACTTTTTAATAAGTCTGATAGTTTATTATTTGACGAGTTTTTTTTAGAAGCTCCTTATGTTGACTGACATTAGGGGAATCAAGCAATTTACAGAAAAGTTACATGAAGAGTTTCCGATGTTCCTTCCATCAATCACATGTTCATTCTTATGAATGGCGACCCTGTTGTGTTGTTTACATATAGTTATCGCATTTGTAGGATGAGCAAAAGGAAGCGGTAATGATTCCATGGTTAGAAGAACAAGATGCGTTGGACCTTTCAGTAGATATGTCTGATGCAGAACTTGATGACGAAATAATTGACCTTCTTAGACAAATCCCGGAGTTTGCAGATGATGGTTTGTTTATTCCCAAGTTTTTAATATTTTTTTAAAATTCTAAATATACAGTTAACAGTGTTGCTTTAACTGCTTTAGAGATAAAAGAGAATGCAGTGGCTTATGTAGATCTTTCGAAGTTTGAATAATATTGTTCTATTGATTTATCAGTAATGCGATAATACTGAATAGTGATTTTGTGATTAAAGTAGGCTAATCTATTTCGAGTCCTTATTTGTCTTTTGACCAATTTAGTAAATCATTTGCAAAAAAAATTTAATTTCATTGTAGAATTGACTCTTGGTGGGAAACTTATAAAAGATGAATGCTATTCTGAAGTTGGATCAAACAGCGAAGCGACAATGTTTGATTCGGAAAAAGGATCTGATGAAGAACTGCTAATTAAGAAATGTGAAAGCGCTGATCTGAAGCGTCCGCAAGGAGTGTTCACTGTTACGTAAGTATCCTTCATATTCTATGTTGAGAATCAATTTATCAATATATGTAGTGATTGTCAGGAAAAAAATATTTTAAGAGGTATGTTTGGTGCCAGTTCAAATGAGCGGAACGAATTTGAAACGGATTACTGGAAAGATTATCGATTTCTTCGCAATCGTAGGAGTGTTTTTGTTTTAAAAAAGTATGCCTTTTTTCTTTACTATGAAGTTTTTCCACTGTAAGGTATTCATAGAAATTAAGTAAAAATTTTGGTAATCGACGTGGTTGTGATTTTTTTTTTATGTTATATCTAGGAAATTTAATTCACTTTCAGTTATAGGACTATTGATATATTACCGGAGTGTACGCTTGCACCCATGGATCACCGTTTGATAAAGCAGTTGATATTCGGGAGGCTGGATATTCCAATATCAGTTTTTAACAGGGCACATTATCTTCCTGAAATTTTCATGCGTATTATGCGTACCAATCTTCGCATCCTTTATTTGTCACGGGAAAGAGAAGAATTTCTGGAAGAAAATATGGGAAGGAAATTTCTGTTTACAAATAGAAAGGAAAACGATATTTAATTCAAATTCCGATCAGAATGCAGGACATCCTTTTTAGAAAAGCAGTATAGACTTTTTTCTTTAAAGTTATATCATTAGTAAAACGAGTGATTTTTATCTGTAATGGGACTAACATTTAAATTTTCAGGAAGAGGTTGTACCAGCATCGGAGAATGAGGTAAATGTGCAGTACGATACATGGATCGTTAAAGATGAATGCGATGACATGAACACACCACTTGAAATTCCTCCTGAACTATGGTATTTCCTTGATCTAGCTAGCTTTTTTGATCCATAATTGTCCTTCATGAACAAAACAACTGGTTTTATCTATAATGCTTTAATTCATTTCTGAATCCTCAGCTGTGTCCACTTTCGCTGATAAGTTTTTAAATGATTTTAACTGACATTTTTTTTCGAAAACTTTAATCCTCTTGAAGTTATTGTTATTTGTAACGTATTACGAAAGGCTACTGACTTTTGAAGGGGGACCTTGCAATTCTAGAAGTTTTTGATCAAGTTCTTCATATTTTCTGTAATATATATATATATATATATATATACCTAATTATGCTTGTGATTGATGCGTTGTCTTTAAAGTACCATATACTTCAGCTTAACCGCTTCTCAACTTATCAATTTGTATTTATTGCTGTAATCAAAATCTGCCTATAAATTCTTTTTACGCCTTGATTAATAATGGCAGTCCATAAATTATCTGGAGTTTTTTAGTTTTTTTTTTTCCTAGCTGGACTAGGAAAAGTATTTTAGAAATGTATATGTCTGCAACAGTATTTTGGCAGTCAGTTGTTATTCGGAATCCCGGAATAATATGAACTTCGTAGTATAGTATTCGTAGTTATCGATAAGATTCGTCGTCCTAACTTAGTGCGATGTGACACTAAATACTGAAGTGTGAGTGTTACTTCGCTACTGGCTTAAGAAATTTTATTCAAAGTAGGTCAAGAAATATTTAATACTGCTGGTCTTAGAATGTACATTTTAGATTATGAATTAGAGAGGGGCATTGTTGTCGAGGTAAAAGAAAGCTTTACAACAAATGCACCTACTTGGAGTTGATAATGTTCGTATTCCTGACAAGTGCTTTTTGTCCCAAACTATCGGAATTATCACTTTTTGTCGTAAGTCATTATTAACTGTCCAGCTATTTTTTTCCAGGGATTGATTAGGTATTGATTAAAGCCGAACTGGATAGAATATTTGAGGTTTGGTGAGATTATCGCTGATCGTTAATTTTTCGGTCTTGAAATTGTAACTTTATTTTCAGATCAAATCACCGCCATACTATCTCTTATAAGCTGCTTGCAAAGAGAAAAGTAGCTTGAACAAGTTAATTTGAAGGCTATACCATGAATGGTAGAGTTTTTCCGAAATGCTGTTGTGTTATCGAGATGTGTATCAAAATCTCGAGCAAATTCGATAAGTCCCTCTCTAAGAAAAATATAATAGTGATTCTTTTGGTATTGAGCAGTTCAGAACAATTTACACATATTTTGTCCCGCCAAACTTTGTACGGTGTTTGTGAACAAAACACTAATTACTCATCGTATTTCGTGTCCTTATTTTTGCTAACATGTGTTTCATCTATTGGATTCATTTATATCATGCTTTATTTTCACCTCCATAACAGGAAGCTTTTTTCCGATATTATGTGAACCATTTTAGACGAAATTCGCATAACATTAAAAATTGTACTAACTCGTGTATATGAAGAAATGGGAAAATGAGCTTAGTGGGCACAGAGATCTTCAGGAACTTGTAGCAAAACCAGAAAGGTTAATGAAAACAAAGCTGGGTCGAAATGAATAGAAACACATAAAATGCTCATCTTAATCTGAAGAAATAAACATTACCATTCTTGAATTATACATCTACTCATTACAGTAATGATTTCGTGAAAATAGGTTCCAGTTACTGTGCTTGGTAAGGCTAATTTGCGGTAAAAACGACGTTAATTAAATCCGCTTTTTTTAAAAAGGTCGACGCTTTTCCCCTTTAGGTTTCTCACTTTTCGCATAGTATGAGTTCAAAACTAGTCAAATAAAATAACCAATATGAAGAGGTAAATAATATATACTTAGGTCAATTCTGATGTTTACGATTCTGAAGCTACTTTGATGTGTCCTGTTTTCTTTCAAAACTTCGTATACGGAATTTCGAAATTCAGCAATGTCGTACAAAATGGAATTCCTTCCAGGAGTCGTCCCTACCGATTCTTTTGCTCCTGAATCACTGTGATCAGGATTCAGGAATCACGGCAAAACAGTGCTGCTTACTTCTCTTCCCACATCGACAATGGTTACTTGAAATGGACCAGAATTTACTAGTATTTGACGCAGTTAAACATAAAATTATGCTTGATATTTGTCGCGCGATAGATCTAATAGTTCATATCGAAATTTGAAAGTAAAACTATACCAGAGAGATCAGTGGAATGAACATTTATCAAGGAAAATAGCAGGGAACTTCCAACCTTTCTCCTTTTTTCAAGCATTCATTAAAGCATCTAATGCATCGTTTGGTTCAATCTCATTCTTGTCCTTTCTCCAGTTAAACCACATGGGAATAAAAACTCAACAATTACCAATAATCAATTATAGGGCACTTACACGCGCACACGTGCATAGACATATATACATAAGTATAGAAAACCTATATCTGTGATAATGAAAATTTACCTGCACTTGTGTGAATAAAATACGTTTTTTTCAAAAAATAAAAATAAACACAGTGTTGGAAAGGAGGAAGAGTGAAAACAGACTGGCATATCTTCCCACATATAGAGAACCGGTTTGCTTGTACAAAATTGAGCAGAAATGAGAATGAAAATCGAGGACCACACGTTTACAATATGAACATCATGACGTCGTTATACATAGGAACAAAAGGATACAAGAGTAAATGACAGTGCGGAAAGTAAAAAACATTTTTTCTTCACAAGAAGTAATTTACAGCCATACAATACGAAATAATTTACACATAGACATATATTTTATATCGCCTCTCAGTGAAAGTAACACAAGAACATTACCCTATTGAATAAATCAATAAACAACTCTGTATGCTTTACAGATCCTTCTAAATGTCATATCAAGACTAAAAGTCAAATGTCAAAACGACGTCCGCGAAATCAACAAATTATTAAGTCAGGAAAAGGTTGAAGTAATCCTGAGGAATAGAATCGTTCTAAGTCACTAAAATACATGCAGCTCGTATGAAAAAACCTTAATACTAATATTCATTCGTCAACAAAGAGAGGAGAGATACTTTTTAAGGAGCAAGTATTACGAATTTTTGCAAGTATATCCACGTTAAGGAAGTGCCAAAAATGATAGATCTCTTTTTCTGGAGATGTGTAATGTGAAATAAAAAAAAAGATTTTAATATTTAGGAAAAACTACGAGAAAAAACGCCTTAAAACTTCCTTCGAGTAATGCAGTAGATTTAAAATGAAAGACATTGGCGCATAGTTCAGAAATGCCAGATGAAATCCAAAATGACTGAAATGACCTACATCCATAATTTTCGAAATACAATACGATCTATGAATAAGCACGGAGTTCAAAATTTAAAGAATTTTTGAGCACAAAATTCAATTCATAGTACTGAAATATCTTTTTATATAAATGAATCAGTTTATGGATGAAAAGCAAATAACACTGTCACAAATTGAACTTTTCTCCAACAATCAGTCTTTCTTAGCAATAGGTGAACGAGTTGGTGGAAGGGCTGGACGAGCAAACTGACCAAGACCTATATGTGCCAATTCCGCTGATTCGTTCTGAAATAAAACTTAAATTTTCAAGAAACTTCGAAAAAATGGAAAATGAGATAAAATTTATATCATACTATAATCACTGCTATCGAAATTCAAACTATCTGAGAGTGCTCAGATTAGTTTCTGAACATCGCACTAGCCAACTGTCATCTCAAAACTGTTGCAAAAAGATGCAAAAAATGAGTGGAATAAGCATCGTGCAAAATTTTTGCTTCCATATAATACTACTCTAGTATCACCCGTTTAAAACGGATTTACCCAAAAAAAAATCAATCGGTAGTACACACCGAATCTTCATTTGAAGCTGATGAAATCGAACCAGGATATGCCGATATTGTCTTCGTTGATTCTTCATTAGAACGCTCTCCATCTTCTAAAATAATAAACGGAACTTTTTTTGTAGAAAGCAGATTTTAAGTTTAATTCAGTAATTTAAAATATCATATCACTTACCATTTCGAGGAGAGAGGCGTTCATTAATGAAGAAATTTGCATCCATGTTCATATCACCATCTGTATCTGCCGCCTCCGAACCTTCTTCCATTCTATCACCTAAAAACATAAAGTATATGAATAACTTGATATAATATCCTGCTGAGTTTGTTCATAAAAATAATGTATGAGTATATCGGCAATCTTGTTAACACTTTATATTTTATTAGGAATAATAAATTATACCCTGTGAGTCCGAACGTCCAGATGACACACGCTCATTGTGCCAAGGGAATGGACAAACATCTGCATTTGGAATTGTGACAGCACTTGCTGTAACGTCTCTTATGAAATTTTAAGTATGAATAAACTAAGAAATGAATACTAATAGTCCTATCCAAAATAACTACAGACTGGGAACATTATGCCCAAACCAACTTACGACTAGAAGCATCTGTAGCATAAGTGGGTGTTGGTGTTATACTTTTCGGAACAGACATTCGGTTAAGAAGTGCCGCCATACAATTATCCTCATCGTTCTCACGTGTTGTTTCCGAAGCGGCGAATGCACTGCAGAAAATTATAGCACAGAAGTTACAAACATAACAGACCAAAAATGTTCAAAATTTAAAATATTCATATGAATTATGAGGGATACGGTCAACATGTTCATCTTGGTAAGCATGTTTTGTCCGAACGAAAAGGTTGCTCATCAAACTACTCCATCAACACTCATGCCTCTTCCTTTTCTTTCCTTATCCCTTTTTCCTCCTTTATATGAATCACTTTTTGAATTTTTTTTTTTTTTGGATATATTATAGAATCCTCTTACCGACAGGTTTCAAGACAACGTGCCAGATCAGTTTCCAAAGCCATACGTGAGCGACGATTATTGGCACGCGACTCAGCCGACTTCTCACGAATGGCCAACAAATCAGCAACGTCTAAAACAATATTTATGAATCATTCATTTTTTAATAGAATAGACTTTACATGTGTGACGGTCAGATACTTATACATTCTAGAATACACTGCAAATTAAGAAGAGCATTAGGACTGGAACGAACACTTTGTTTCTTGTGCACTCATTTGTTGTTGCAAATTGGAGATTGTTCCCTTGAGATTTGCGATAACGCTACGCTGGCGACTGCATTCTTCACGTAGTTTACGAGCTTCTGTTTCAGCCCTTGTCGAGCGACGCTCTCCAGTATCATTCATTCTATCAAATAAAATGAGTTAAGTAAAAATTTTCGCCATAATTCCTTTAAATAAAATAAATGGAAAAAGTTGAAACAAAAGATTAAGTAAACTCACTCGTGAGATGGAAACTCATTTGCTGAAGAGGATGGCGAATGATCGTCCGATAAACTAGCCTGATCCAAGCGAGCCTGCATACGTCTGGAAAAATAAATCGTTGAATGAAACCCTTTTTAAACTCTTCATGCTGTAAAATGCTGTAAAATCAGAAAAAAAAAAAAAAAAAAGGCTGGGAGAAATACGGACCTTTTTTCAGCCTCCAACTGATCCATCCGCTTACCCAAAGTGTTAAACAAAGATTCTTGTTCATGTTCAAGTGCATTTTCAAGATCGACTTTTTCGCGACGCAACTGCTCGAGTGCCTGCAATAAATATTATAATCCATCAGCTCCAAAGATAATACTGAACTAAAAATAATGCGTGAGTTAAAGACATGAGCTTTCGGAAATTTACCGTGTGGTTTGCACTAATTTCCGCTTCTAGTTTACGAATTTTCACAAGCAGTGTGTCGACGACCCAACTCTGCTCCGCTTCAACCTGCCCAGCCAGTTCATCTCGTTCATTTTGTAACTGAAATAGACATATTCAAGAGTGACTGGTGACCAAGGTTCTGTTCCAGAAATATTAGTCGGCACACATTCTGTATCACTTATAACCTGTGCTATAAAATTCGAAAACAATACTTCCACTTTTTCAGAAACACTTCAGTATATATAGGAAAGAGATAAGTATATAGGGTAGAGATATAAGTTCTTGCAACTCATCCGTTTCTCTTTAATTACCATACAGTGAAAAATCTTAAGCAATTTACTTATGTTACAAGAAAGATTTTTGCCCACTAGGAACTTAGAAATAACTCAGTAAATCAATTTGCTGTATAGTCAATTGATATTGAGAAATAACTCAGTAAATCAATTTGCTGTATAGTCAATTGATATTGCTTGTGTTAACTTGTCAAACAAATAAATTACACAACGTTACTTTGCATAAATGCTGAGACTATTTTCATGATGGAATGTTTTGCATAATATGAAATGAGTCTTCATTTATTTCTATAAAAAACTAACTTGAGAAAGTTTGCGCGTCAAGTCGTTTGTTAAAAATTCCTCCTCCTGTTCATACTTCAGAGCCAGAGCTTCCTTATCATTCTTCAATTTCTGAATGCGCTTCAGTAGCATGTTGGATATAAATTCCTCCTCCTGTTCAGCTTTGGCATGCTAGAAACTTCAAAGTTTAAGCGCACAGATGGGTTATACACAGGCAGATTCACACAGAGTAGTATCAAGAGCTGGCAGTAAAATTATTAAAAAAAAAAACATAAATAAAAAGAGAAAGGAACACGAACCAAGCGGACGCTTTTTTCTCTAATGGTTTTATTTAACTGCTGCAGCGATTCATTACGAGCACGCAGACCCAACACCTCTTCCTTAAACAAACTATTGTTAAAACGATTTTGAAATAAAAGCCCAAATGTTTCTAATGAACAAGATTATTTAATTTCAATACTTCAATCCCCAAAATTAAATTAGCCGAATCTGGACATGGTGATCAAATTAAATAAGCTGATTCATTACCAAAAAGATTTTAGAAGATAATTGTGAATTACTGTACTTCTCTGAATATTAATTGATTCATCTAGTTATTCTTTGCATTTTTCAAGTTTTAGAACCAATAATGCTCAAAAAGACTTCTTGAATTATTCAAATTTCTTCAACAGTAATTTGTTATATGTTTATTAATTTACTTCAATGCGAGTTTTTTCTCGCAAGAGAAAGACTGCTTTCCTCAACACATCATCGTATTTTACAGAAGAATGAGGAATGCGTTCTTCATAAAGAGAGATCAATTCCTGGTCGGAGATCAGATCAACCGTCACAACTTCCTGAATTGAATGATGATTAGTATTTAGTTGAAAAGTCCGACTTCTGATAGAAATCCAAAGTCACATAAGAAAAACAAAACTCGGAAAAATTTTGCAATTCAGAAAATTCAATAGAAGAAATTCAAGCTACTCACCACTGAAGAAGACAGCTGCGGTGAAAGCTTCGCGGTTACTTTAGCAAGTTCAGAATCTTCACGACCAGCTAGAAGATCTTAAATCTCAAAGCGAATAAAATTTAAGATGTCGTAAACTAGCCTAGTTATTAACAGTTTTGTCATTTAAGACAGTACACAAAAAAAAGAAGACGGACTTGGTTTATGTGCAACACGCATGGCCATAATTATTTCCTCACTGAGTAAGCCTAAATAAACAAAATATACCTTTTGAACAGCGAGCATGCTTATCACGCGAACCATCTGAATTGAAAGATGTGCGCTCTACGGAAACAGCAGATTGCAGCTTGAATGACTGACCATTTGTTAGACCCGTGCTACTAGACATCTGAATAAAAGTACAGATAATATGCTCGCAAAGTGAGTCAGAAAATTTATACTAAATACAAATAAATTTAGAGCAGTCAAGAATATCGAAAAATGTATCTGTTCAAGATAAAGGAAATGAGAGCAATTGAAAGATCACAGTCACCGAAAACTTCGACTAATAAACTTCATATAATTAGAGTGTGAATTAGAAAAAAAGCACATTATTTGCCTTAAATACATTTCAAAGCGGATGCTTTCACCATACTACTTATTAAATGAGTTTTGGATTGGCATGCAGACAGAAAACCACGTATTTCATCAAGCAAAAAGATCGTTTTCCTTTCAGAAAAGTTCCGCAAATACTGAGAGCAATTAAAGTGCATCCCAACAACATAATCTGTATAACTGCAAAATCTCTCGGAATTTTTTCTACGATCATTTGCCAGAAGCTTGGAATGGCTAATAAAAGTGATTCTCATATGCTTATTTTAAATTCATTATAAATAAGACCTCGAAAAAAAATTTGGGTCCTGGAAAATTTTATTATGGAAGAGATATAATCTGAAAGATTCTTCAGTTTTACACATCGTTTGAAGACCTGATTAATATCACTCATTTCCCTAGTACTCGATTCAGAACTTTTAGATAAAATTTATTAAACTAGTAATTATATCACGTTGGTAGCAAAGATCTTATTAAGTTGAACAATGACAACTTTGAACAACAGCATAACTTTAAATCAACCTTATTTTTTCCAAGAGTTTTTGTAACAATATAATTCAGCTACCTGAACAGAAAATTTAATTCTTGGGAGTTCTAAAACAAGAATTCTTACAAACAGAAGTCGATCTTTGAACGGAATATTTAGAATTATCAATTCCCAGATATTATAAAAGGAAAGCCTATAACCCGACAACCTCAACCTGCTTACCCGAAGTAGAGAATAAACAAAGACGCGAGTGCTCAAGAAGCTCTATCTAGAAACAGTGAACCGGTCACCAGGAAAAACATCAATTTAATATAGTACAGGTTCCGGACCAAACAAAATACATACCACTTTACATAATGTTTCATCGGCTAAATTAGTAACTAATTTTTCCGGAAATGAACTGCAAAAATACTAAAGTTTGTCTAAAATATCAACAGAAAAGTATTATACTCTTCCTGATGATCTGAAGATAACATGATCAGATACTATGGATAACCAATGTCAAGACTTACTCTCAACGTCTCCAACTAGTTCATATAATGTAGGCAGCGCAGCATTCGAAACTTGCCCTTTCTTGGACAATAATTAACCACCCAACTCTTTCAAAAATCGTCCACCAACGAACGAGGGATGAAGTTTCCGCTATTGGATGCTTCGTCCACACGTCCCCCAACACAAACCGGCTAGTAAGTTCTCATCTTTTTATGTGAGGAATAATTGGGCTTTGTGAAAGGATTCCGGCTGATCATTGCATCATGGACTACGCTGAAGTTTTATTTGTGTTATTAAAACCTTGATTTTGAATACTTAATAATGAATGTTGTCAAACAGATGCAGGATAATGAACAAATGATTATGTGACGTGTTGCCAACAGTGAAGCAAATAAAGAGCCCAATTTTTTGAGAAGTGAATAAAGAGAGGAATCATTATTGCTCGGAGCGCAAGCATTGCTACGTACCTTCACAATTTAATGTTAGGAGTTCTCTTGAATAAGGTTAGGACGATTTTCAAGACAATCAGAAGATTTTTCAGATTTCCAAAAGAAGTGTTATGCAAGAAAAAAAAAGCGTTGATTCTGGAAAATCCAACTTTTTTTTGGTCTAAAGTACCTAATTCACTTTTGAATTATCCTTTTCTTGGTTATTGTTCCTCAGTCCTTACATGCACTTTTGGGGATTTTATATAGTTAGACTTAATTTCCAATGTTAAAACATATGATTGCAGTGGAATCAACTTATTAAGCCTGTTGCACGCTAATTGAAAAAATTTTGTCTTGCGTCAAATAAATTATTTGTGCAAGATGGAAATTGCAGGTTGATGAATGACTTTTTCAGCTCTAATTGTAACAATTTCCACGGGTAAATTTTTTAAAGAACCCAGTTCCTTTTCCTGGTTACTGTTCCTCACCCCTTAGATAATGCAGAAGAAATGTGCAGGGTTGGGTGTTGTTTAGTTGATTCCATTTTGTTAGTAAGCAAAAATACTATAATTTTGTACGAGCATAGCGTTTCGGTGCACTTTGCGTATTTGAATTGGAAATTTCATGACTAACCAGCACTTTGCACATCACAGAATTGTATTCAATAAATGCTAAATGAACACAAGAAATGCTGGAATCAAAAATGTTTTGTTCTGCCTGTTCCAAAAACATCCCTGCTTCACACCAAGTCATCCCTAATGATACGCATTCATTTCATCGTTACTTTCACACTTCTCACTTTTTTAGATCGTTTCCAAGTCTAATTTCCTATTCTACTAGTAAAGTTAGAACATTAAACACTCTTTTGACAAATTTCCTAGTCTTAATTTTCTAAATAATTCCACGTTTATTTTTAATTACAAAATGGTGAACAGCTGAGGACTTTCAGCGGGTTAAAGATTTTTGTATGATTGTTGCCAATCGAGAAAAGCTGTTCGATTTGTTAAGAAATTCAGCATAATGTTACCGTACGCCAAATTACAAAATCATCCCATGCCTTCAAAGTAAATTCGGATTTCCTAAGAGTCTTATGAAACTTATATGTCGAATTGGTTGTCAACACATTCATTTATCTTTATATTACCCTTAAGATATCATTTTCTTTTCTAGATCTGACACACTAATTACATAGTGCATTTCCCATGTCAAGCTGATGGTAAAAGATCTCTAACAAATGTCCGAAAAATCGGATATTACTGGGAAAGCTAAATATTTTTCCGCTGCACAACAAGTAAGAGACAAGTTAAAACATCCAAAGATAAATAGAAGTAAGGGGATGACATATTTATATATTTGCTTTGATGAATGTTGAGAAAGCATTATTAGAGTGGAAAATGAAAGAAAGAAAGGAAGTGATAACACGAAAAATATGCAAACATAAGAGCAGGAAGTATTGCTTTCGAAGAGAGCCATTGAATATCGTTTGGAAATCGGGAAGCCAACAAAAGTATACCTCCTGAATTCGCTCTTTAATGAAATGTGCTTATGAATTGGAATGCTATCATGACTGTTGAATCGAGTTCTTGCAGCAAGTAAGCAAAGATTCACGCTATGTACTGCTTCATTGCTCGTTTCATCATTTTTTTCCTATTAATTTACATATTAGCTAGGAAATGCACATCTTGGGTACAACCACAAATCGGCATCTATCCTGGCTTTCTCGACCTCTACAGTGCTAACAGAAATTTTGGTTTGTTGCAATTTTTAATAAAATTTATTGCTCCTATGGATTTTACATGAAACTCAAATTACGGTTCAGTTTATAACTGGGATTCATAAATCAAAAGGTTTGGCTGTACCGATGAGCTCAGAAAGAAAATATTTTTTTTTTTTTTTTTCAAAAACTTTTTAGTGAAAACTTGTTTTTCAAAAGCAGTTAATTGGAATTTTTAGATGCAAATCAACTTTGAAAATCACTTTACTAATTTACATGGTTTTTAGACTGAGTGCCTCTGGATCTGGGTTCGATAACTGGTCCTCTAATTTTTAGCGTGCATCTGCTCAATTAGCTAACGAAAACGCCATTTTAATAGTTTGATATTTTATTGTCAATTATAAAAATTTCGTTTAATAGCTGAATTCTATTTCACTTTTAGTCAATAGCGGCGACTTAAGTACTGGGCAACCATATACACTTGGTATTCGTATGGCCAATACTGATCGGTACGATTACTTGATACAGTCCTGCACATATAATGATAAATACCATTTTATCGATGAGAATAGGTAATTAAGGTCACATTTGAATTTAAACTTTTCCAGATTTTCTTCTTAAGTTTTGAAATTCTTCTAATAATCTGGTTACATCTAAAATATTGATATCACATTCTTTCAAATAGGGTTTTTTTTCTTCCTTTTTTAAAAAAAATAGAAGTCAAACTTAATAAAATTATATCTTGCTGAAAAATTTCAGGCCAAATTACAGTGTAATCGTTTCGACTTTTTCATATTACTTTTAGACAAGTTGCAGCTGTCTGGTTTGCGACAAATTTTTCCTGCAGATGTGGGAAAATGATATGTACTGGTTGGGAAGTGCAGTGAAACGTACGTTTATCCACTTTATGCCACCAGAGCCGCTCGCTCGCCTCGAGTGCAGCGTACGCATATTGCACTGTTGTGGTTGTGCTGAAGTAAATCTTTATTTAAGATCATCATACCTGCTTGAAGTTCAATGCATTAATTCTAGACAACAGTGTTTTTTTGCAAGGAAATGTCCAAAATATTTTCATTAGTATTGGGAAGCTATACTACCTTTTTAGGTTTTAATGTTTCAGCAGCAAGGGAGGATTTTCTTAGATTTCTGATATCGTATAAAATAATTTATAACAGTTATCAAGAAATTCAGAGAAATTTTCCAAAAAAATAATTTATTAATAATTCAGCATTTGCCTAATAATCCCCTTTTTTCTCTCACAATTTTTGACTTATTTTAAAAAGCTGTTATCTGCAAATAAAGGAAACAAAAGTTCTTCAAAGATATATGTATTGGAATTCAGACAGTAAGATTTCCAAACGATTTGTGAAAATGCATGAATGGGCATAACTGCATCCTATGGCTAAAATATCATATCAGTGTCAAGCGAAAGCACAAGCCATAATTTTTTCTCTATTATAATTGATTTATAGTGAACATTAAAAATTTTTAAATCTACTCGATGCTTGAAATTTTGATTGCTTAGAAAATTTTCAGTATTTTTTTCTTTCTGCTATACTTTTTTTTTTCTTTTTCTTTCTTGCTGTTAAAAATTTTAACTTTTTGTTTTTAGAGAGCTTGTGAAAGAAAATTTTTGTCGGTTTTGGTCACTTATCCACATCACGTCATTAACTTGGCAATCATTAATGAGCAAGAAGTAGGAGGAATCCTTGCCACTTCGGCAGCCAGTTGGCCGTGGTGGATTTGGTTCCTCATTCTTTTGGGACTTATCCTACTTCTTTGCTTATTACCTCTATTTTTGCTGTTATGTTCTCTACTATGCATGCGCAAAAGGAAGATATCAGATTCCAAAGCCACAGTTCCACCATCGAATTCAGCTAAAGTTTCAAATATTCTTGTTCGAGCAAAAGAAATGGAAACAAATGGAGCTTCAGAAGACAGCTTGAGAAGGCCATCGGTATTGCCACCACCACCACCATCTACTCGGATATTTCGCACTCCATCCGGTTCATCATGTGAAATTGCTCATTCGACTGCCAGCCAGTCTCGGATTGCGGCTGTCATCAGACAACAACAACCTCGGACGTCCTGGGCAGAAAGCACTATGCGAAATGAGACGGAGTTGAGACCAACGTTAGGACCACAAATGGAAAGAGTAGTTGAGGAATTCGGAGAGGTAACGGGATCAGAAAGCAAATTCCATTCCAGTGCAGATAAGCAACACATCGCTCAATTCGATTCCGAAAGAGCTGTACACCAGCAAACTGCCTGTGAAGAGAAATTCTTCAAAAAAAGCGGTCGTCAAAACGAAACGCTTGAAGAAGGTTACGACCGTGCTCAGCTTACATATACTACACCTAAGAGACATTTCTTCCACTCCGAAGTTGTTTAATCTCGCTAACTATTATTTATGATGCAAATCCGATCATGAATATTTCCAATAATATGTCTGAAAATTCCTAGTTTTTTGTTGCGGAGATGGAATAGAAGGATGTCAATAACAGACAGAATTATATTAATGTACGTAACCGAATTACTCTAAATAGTAGTTAACAAAAGTGAACTATACACTTGAAATACATAACACTAAATTTAGTTATCATATCAGAATAGTACTCATTCCTACAAATGCTGCCTACCATTTGTTCATTTGTTCAATCATAATACTTCATTGTTCCCAAACAGTATTTATTCCTTCTAAACTTGTAAACACTGCCTATTTTTTTGCTGTCATATTTCATTTGCACTCAAATATGAATGCTGTAATGTAAGTTAAAAAAATTACTTTAACGAATGCCTTTCACATCTTACATGAACATACGGTATTTCACTGACATGGCGATCCTTAATAGAGTTTTCCAACACCTGGCTTAATCACTGCGGATTCCAACTGAACAGAGTTTGTTTTTGCTTTTTTTTTTCCTTTTTGTTTTTTAAATAATTTTCCAATTTATTTTTAAGCAATAATCACTTGAATCTATTTTGAGCAAATTCAAGGTTGATTGTCATTTAATCCAGGATTATGCATCACTCACTATCCATTTTTACGGACAGTTTTGGCCTTTCTAGATTGTCTAATTCAGGGTCTTTAATTTAATTCGTGCCGCCCATGCAACATGAAACTTTCAGTAGTGACAAAATCCAAAAGTTTTTAAGGAATGTGCATTCAGTCTTGTTAGGAATTTACTGGTTACTGATGAAAATTAAGGAACAAAAACAAGGTTTTGTGGTAAAATTTTCAAAATCTTTGAAATCAGAGTTAAAACGAAAATAGTTCATTTAAATCTACTTGATTTTCATACATAAACGATAACTCTTTCATGTACAAGAAGTGTAATGAGAAAATGACAGTGGCGATTGGTGTGTATTTTAATTAATGATAAGAGGAACTCGAAAAAGGACAACAACCTTTGTCTCCGTCTTCCTCTCTTGTTCACCTCACCATAGCGTCAATCTTCCGAGCAGTTTGTTAAAATTTCATGACAATCCTTGCTCATTAATAGAAAAAGATTCGTGATAATGCTCTGCTTGGCATTTGTTTTTTTGTTTTTTGGCATTTGTTTTTTCATCATAACCATAATCTCATCATATAATTGATTGATTTTATTTATTTTCTCAAATTTTTAAAACTGTTCGAAGAGTATGGTTCTCTACTGGGGCAACAAAAAAGTTACGCCTTTAAGTAGTTTGCTGAATGCTACAAACAAAATTCCAATTTAACAGCTGAAATGACATATGAATACTTCGCGAAAAAGGACTCATAATATCTAAAATTTTAGTTATTTGGATTATTGTTTAAAGACTGCAATTCTTTCAATTTGATTTCGTGATATTGTATGTGGCGGAAAAGTCTTACAATTAAGGTCGTATCTGTAATTCCAGTAATTGTTAAAATAGCTTATACTTCTGAAGAAGAATGAACAGTCGACGACGATTATCAATGTTCATTTCACTGATCATTTTCATAGCCGTCCTATCTTTGATTGCCGCAGCTTTATTTACTGATTACTGGTCCGAAAGTAGGCCTATCAATAGGAAATTTAACTCTGTAAATAACTATGTGAATTTGGGTCTTTTTAAAGGCAGCCGACAGCTAGATTGGGGGCTTGGTCCACGTCATAAGTCTTTTTCAGGTAACATTTTAGCATCAGCCAATATCTAAAAAGCAGAGTCACAGATATAAAAGTTTTTTCTGATTTTCTTTTTTTATTAAAATGTAGTTACTTTTTTTCAGTTTACGAAGAATTACACGATAGAGTAGGTTTCGTTCCTAAAGTCTCATGGGTATTTATTCTATTTTCCTTGGCAATTGGAATTTTATGGAATGTAGTGGGTGCAGTGGTCGCACTTTTGAACACCGTCGCTAGAGAAACCGATACTATTGTCGGGCCGAAAGGAATTTATCTATGGAGCATTCTTACTGGTGCATCAAAATTTTCTAATAAATTTGTTTTTGGTTTGTTGTATACAGTAGTTACCGAATTTCTTTCGAATTTCAAATATGGAGATTTGGAGGCGTATGAAAATTCGATTTTTCATAGATATTCCATACTGAGACTCACCAAGGTCAATACGATATTCCCGCTGTTGTCACGCACTTCTTCGTTTCAGATTACTTATTCCAATTTTTAAGTCCATCATTTCCCGTAATTGTACGTATATTTTGCAAAGGCCAGCTAGTTTTCTCTTTCCAGCTCATTTTTTCTTATCAATAGATGTAAAGTCCCTTTTTCCTCTAAAAGGAGAAGTCCGAATTTCATCCTAATAGTTGCAGCTCCAATTAACTAATCTTCTGTTCCTCCAACCATTCCAATTACTGTTCTAGCAAACAATTATCTTTACCATTCTAAATTCATTTTTTTTTTTTTTTTTTTTTGTCCTTACAGCGATGTCATATTCATCAGCGTTGATAATTTTCCTGGTACAATATGTGACAACAATTCAAAACAATGTTTTACTAAGTGAACACATTAGTAGTGGATTTTCAACGGAGAATCGTACAAGGTCATTGCTTGCTTGAATTCTAAAGTCTTAGCATCTTATTTTTCCGAATAATCGTGTGATATTGATTCAAGTCTTAAATAATACATACGTTCCATTTATCGTTTGTGTTCATTTCGAACAGGTTTGGTTCCAGGCTCAGTTTTTCATTCTACTTTGTCACAACTGCACTGGTACTTTTGCTCATCCCATGTTTACTGGTTTACGGAACATCAAACAAACGAAGCAGTGAAAGAGAGAAGCAGTTACGTGTGGATCATACTGTCTTTATGTACTAATATGTTTTATGTCCTTTCTTTAATGAGGATAAAAGTTTGTTCCAGTTGATATTCCGCTTTCTCAACTTTTGTTTGTCAATTAAAATTATAATAACTTCTGTACAAACCTACTGCACAATCTCTGCTCTCGGGTGATAAAAAGCAGAGGGAAAAAACAGTTGAAGTCTTTATTTCCAAAACATTGTTGCAAGCTTTCTCTCAGAAAGTCTAGAAGTAATAGCTGAGACCGAAGGTAAAAGCTTATTATCTTTGCAACGTTGTTACAAAACTGAGATTATAGTTAACATAACACATGGGAACTTACGAAAAGATGAATATGAAATTTTTACAATAAATATAGAGCCTCCAATCATTCAAAGGTAAACCATAAGATGCGAACAAAATGAAATTTCTCATAAGATCATATGACCAGCAACTACTGATGGTGAATCATGCAGATGCATCACGCGATGCAATTTAGAGTTAATAACCATGATGAAATGGATTTCATTCTGCAACCGAAGGGATTAGTTATACTTCCCTATACTTTCACAGAGTTTTTGTACGTCACATGGATTTGCTTATTATACCCAAAATTCTTTGCCATTATTCCTTCGAGTGTTTAACTAGTGGTCCCTCCAGATCTATCCACTTTATAACTCGTTCTTGACCTTTACAAGTAGCTCTTAATAATTATAAATCGTATGGTTTATGTAAAAAAATCATCGAACCTAATTAATGGATAGATTGAACAACATATTCGCACGTAATTCAGTAGTTTTAATTTGGACAATTATCGCTCTACAACGAAATGCTAGACAATCCTGGTGATATCAAAGATCCTTGTTATGTTATTTTTCCCTCTGATTTCAAGAAACCATCACAGTTGGCTCTTCTTGACATTGTTCAGTAACTGACATCTACAATCTAATTTTTACTAACGTTTTATTATTTACAAACAAAAGTGATTTACTACTACTTAATAAGTTTAATGTTGTATTGTTTCTCACTTTAACTTACTCTATAACTTCTGAATGCTTTGGCGCTAAATGGTCTAAAGTCGCAGCACTTTGACCACTGACCAACAGCTGCAACAGAAAATGGTGAAGCCTGGAAGGATCTTTTGCCTCTTAGTAACGGTCAGCAAATGCGTTCGTGTATCTATCTGATAGTTTCTAGCAGTTTTCTTCGTTTAATTATAGTTTCATTTAATACTCTATTTCCCATTTGTGGGTCTAATTCACTATTCCTCTTTTTATCATTCTATCAGACATTTTCTAATGATGAAATTTGTGGATCAGGATTCCTAGGATTTCATATGAACACTTGCAGATTTCCTTTCTTCACTATATATTCATTTTTCTCATTAGTTTCAAAACAGTGTTAATTGAATCTGACAAAATAATACTGTCGGGAACAATGATATCATCGGTATTTTAACTGAACGATTAGTAATGAGCTTTTCTTCTGGCAGTAAAATGTCCGCTGAAAAGGTTGTTGTTGTTACGACGAAGTGATTCGAAGTGTCCGAAGATTACTATGCTGGAAAAGAAAATTGGTTAGTTATTGGAAGCATTGAAAGTCGTGAGAATTTCGAATGTTTCACCAAAAATTTTGGAATTCTTTTTGTTTGAATGTTCCACTAGAGTTTAAGAACTTCCATTTTGGAGGTAAAATATATCGCAATAGAGTGTTGGCCGGAAGGCTCATACGGAATGAGGGAGTGAGGCACATTTAAGCACTAGCAGGAGAGTACTCGGTTTTTCTCATAACTGATTCATTTTCAGCGCGATGTAACTTTTCTTGGAATGGTCCTTCCCCTCTAACCTATCCATTCCTTCCTTTGCATATTGGCGAAAAAGTAAATGTTGCATGCAGTTGCGATGGTAAGTACGTTTTTAACTTTAAGTTTGTTCAGGTGGGTTAGTACAGCTTAGGTGAAATGGATAGGGAAATACGGTTTGAATTATTGCCCAGTAGTATCAGTTTCAGTTTTCCTGTTATTAACATTTCTATATATACTTATAATCAATTACAGATATTTATATTTATGTAATCAATTACAGATATTTATGTAATCAATTACTGTTATTAACATTTCTATATTTGCATTCAAGACTTATTTAAAGTTCCATTTTTTTTATTCCATGAATAGAATAGTACGAATAATAACAATAATCGTACTTCTAATAATAATAAGCAACATATACGAAGTTTATGTGGCTGTCATTTTCTCATTAATACATTTTAAATTAAAACTTTAAGTGTTCAAATTTGTAATTGTTTGGACTATTTCTGTAGTAAATATTCTTACTTGTAGAATTGTTTTTTTCTGTTGAGTATATTCTCTCCTATGCTATTTATGTAATCAATTACAGATTGGTCCTATGGCAGCAGTCTGGATAACGGAAACAAATTTGGAATATTCCCGAGTAATGCAGTAATATCATTTAATGAATCGGCACCATTTATATCCAATGAAGCAGTTGAGATTGTTAAAGAGCTCACTGATATTCTCAGTGAGTGGTGGAACACAATTAAGGTGTGATATGTTTTCGTAGCTTGTTATGTTTAAATCATACCTTATTTATAGCACTACCGTTCATTAAATATTATGCAATTTTAAGTACTGATAGATTACTTTCAAAAAACTAACTTAGAAGTGGAACCATTTAAATCGGTTTAAGTCATTTCGTTATAAGTTTTCATAACTGTTTAAAACCAGTCAAACTTTTGCTTCATATTTGAAACTTGTAAAATATTCGTAAATTCCAGAATACTTACTGTCATCAGGCAAGAATGGAATGTCAGGATGAGGTGCTAGTGTACATGGAGGATCTAATGGTAATGCGCAAAAAAATACTTTCGGGTAATGTTCCCATTGAAGAACTGCGTGAAATGAGGTCAGAATTAGCTAGGAAAATCGATCTGGGCAATCAGTAAGTTAATTGTAATGTTGGTTTCCAATTTTGTTGATTGATGGTCACGCTTTTTCTCGATCTTTTTTTAGTTCTTGCAATATGCAATATGGTTTATATCCAAAGTATTGTTCGACCTTTTTTAATTGCTAGCAACATGCTTCTGTGATTGTAGGTGGTTAGGTCTTGATCTGCTTATCAGAGATGATATGGGTAGGAAGATAGATAACGACACAACATCAGTGGTGCAAGTATACCGTGCTCATGTAGATGCTTCCAGTAGGATTCTAAACGATTCTGTATGTTATGATTCCATGTGAATTGAAAAATAGTTCACATTACTTATCATACAAAGTGATTCTTTTTTTCTAGATTTAATTTTAGAAATATTTTTAAAAATTTCGATTTATAGTCGGTGGGAGCAAGTGTAGCTTCTATTTTTATCATTCAGAAACCTAATGATATACCTGGAGTGATTGCTTTTTCTCTGCTGGTCCATGCTCTTTCCGCAACGGTTGACTCGAGAGCGGAGTGCGAATTCACATTATCCTTATATGATACTGCCGAAAAGAAGTTTATATCGTATGTTATCGTACAACTGTATTTACTATATAGTTTCTGAAAAGAAAAGTCATAAAAATCGTTCTACTGTTGTCAATTCATTCAATAATTGCAGCGAAAATTTCGTATTTTATTGGAGTTTCTCTACGGGTAATTTGACGAATCGCAATAGTAAAGTCCTATTCACTGTAAGTTTCATCTTTGTTGACGTTAATTTTTTTGTTGATGTTTATTGTTGTCCAACAACAAGATCATATAAAATTCAATTATGGTTTTGTTTTTTAGATTTTAAAAATATTCTATAATATTATATCTGATGTGACAAAAAGTTCATGATAGTTCAGTGTATTGATGGTCTATAACATGCAGATAATATTTTGAATTTTTTCATAGGATCTCGGTTCAAATGAATATCCGTCTTCTTCATCATCAGCGGAAGCCCATCGCCTTCTTTTGTGTATTAGGGTCGCACGAATTGCTCCAATTGAACAGACGTCCTCAACTTTGAAGAAGTATGTTGACCCCGGTCCTTCTCATCTTTGGCCTCGACAACCATATGCTGCTGCAGTACTGGATCTGTCAAATGTTATAGGCGAATCTCATGGTTCTACTGAGCATATCATTTCTTTAAATCGGTAATGTTTTTTGCGAAGCAAAATTTCATGTTCTTACTGTGATAGTAGCCTCTCCTCATATGATAATAAAACTAAGCATGCAGAAGGTCTCTCCCAGTGTTCATAGCATTTTAAAATATTTTACAGTGATGACAGCTTGGAGCAGCTAATAGCTCGAGCAAGTACTACGAGGACCAGCAATTCCGTAAGAGCAGTTGGCGGAGAAATATCTGGTAAAGAATACATTTTTATTTCTTTGAATACAGCATCTTGAAAAGAATAATGTGACTGCGTGGAACTGTTTGAATTCTATAAATTAACTTGCATCATACCAGCAATTTTTGACCGAATTTTAGCGTTTGGACGAGCGCAGCTAATGATTTCAACAGAAGTCCTTCTTGGTTCTCTGATCCAAATTAAAAAGATATATCCTCAGATTTTTTCAAGTAATCCACCATTCGAGTTGAGAAGATTATCGTTTGCAGATGTTATTTCGGCAGGTGTAAAGTTTTATTCGTTTTTCTAATTGATATTATAGGTTGCGTTTTCTTTGGTTTTTCAGTTTCAGATAGTCCAAATGTAAGTACTTAGCTCCACAATGTATTGAATTGTAATTTTAAGGTGTTAAAATATTAACTACAGATGATATTCGAAATGATTTGTATGTTACATTGCTACAAGGTGATTTACATGGTGGTAAAGGGTCCGACAAAAATATTGAAGTACGAATAACAGTCGTTGATGCAAAAGGAATAGTTGAAAATGTAATTTTCAAACATTTGTAGCTGATTAAAGTAAGTTGGCGATACAAAACCTGTAATGAATAAAAGAAATTTCTTTTCATCACGAGGTGTAATTTGCGTGTTATACTTAGTACCAAAAATTTATCATTGTTTAGAGTATCGTTGTGATCACTGCAGACGGGATACGTTGGAGCACAACATACCAAAGTCTGGTTTTTTATCATGATGACAAACCAAAGTGGAACGAATCTATCAAAGTAAATTGGGATATAATTTTGTGAATATTTATTAGGTGCTAATTTAGAGAAAATTTGATTTATTGCATATAATGCCAAATCGGCTTATGATAATCAATTTTACGCTGAGGACAACTTCTTATAAATACAGTACGACATATTTGTCATTTCTGTTCGTCATAGGTACAGATTCCGGAGAATATTGACCAAAATATACATCTTCGAATGACTTTTCATCACAAAAAGACATCTGATAAAACTAAGCAAGAAAAAGGACCTTTCGCATTGTCATTTGTGCGCATTATGGAAGATGCAACGTTGATCAGGGATGGTTTGCATGAATTACTAATTTACAAGGTTATTGTATAACCTGTGTTTTCATGAATTATGTTTATATCATTTTCTAATGAATAAAAGTTTTATTAATATTTTCCACATTTTCTACTGAAATTTATTCCAACCATCTTTTTTTAAAAAAAAAAAAGAAATTTAGGTTGAAACGGGACGTTTTGACGACAGTGACACCAGTTATACTCGGTTGCCTGCCACACGAGGAGAGCTTAAAGCTTCTCATTCTCAGTTAAGACCCCAAACAACAACCTTCATTTACTGCGAAAAGAATTTTCTAACCATTGAAACAGTAACTTGCTCGACAACGTTAACTCATAGCAAGAGTTTGTTGGATATACTTAGATGGAAACAAAACAGGTTTGTAGGGTATTCTTATGGGTCAATATTAAATTTAGAATTTTGAAGTGGAAATATTTCTATTATTAACATGTATTGACTGTTGTTATAGTTATTTTTCCAGAAGCAACTTAAAAGAAAGGCTAGAAGAAATTTCGAGGCCAAAATTTCTATCAGTTGGTGAAGAATTGGTAAAATTCATTGCGAACTTTTGCGACGCTCTTTTTGAAATTTTAGATCATTACCCAGATTACGATGGCTTGGTTTTTGATGATTTAGTAAGTTTTTTCTCTTTCTTTATTTCAGTGAACTAAAATCTTGAATCAGCTTTGTAAGTGTTTGATGGTAGGTTTTTGCACCATTTTATAAACTTTATTTTCAATATTTTGTTTTTTAATTCCTTGTATTTTCCATGGAACATTGAAGTACTTTTGTTTTCACCTGGTAATGCATATTTCTTTTCTAGGTCACTCTAGTGCAATTGGTAAATGAGGAGCGGTACAAGAATTTCCGTCCAGTACTTGACAAATATGTGGAGAATTTTCATTCCACTGTAGCATTTTTGTATGTACTAAACTATCAGCAAAATTTAAAATAGTGAAGATATGAAATATTTGTTATCCTCATTATCGACTTCAGTTTTATAATATTTTTTTAGTAAGAATTTTGGTTAATTTAGTACTAACCACCGTTCTTCAACAAAGTGTTTTGAGATCGAGTGGGAACATTTAGAATAAAATTAAATATGACGAGGATTTTTTGTTTAGAAAGTTGTTACCAGTTCTTCGTGAAAGAATTGAAAATGCAGAGGATACACATGAAAGATCACTGAATACGATGAAAAGTCTTGGCACCCTTATCAGATTGGCTGTTAGATCAAAATTATGCAGTGACAGGTAGCTTCTCAGTTTTGTAAAAAAGGATATATTTAATGAAAGTATGAAAAATTCAAATATTTAAAATATCAGGCTTGTTTCAGGCTTGTTTGAAGATTTTACTAAGTTTAAATTTATAGACTTGGTATGATGTCAAATAATTTTCAACTTTTGATCAGTGAACTGCTGGAAGCATTTATCGTATTTATGCAAAATAAACGAGTACGTATGACTTGTCAAAATATGGCGTTGAAACATATACCAGCAGTTATTCCACATCTTGCATACTATGGTGTTTATAACAACAGTGATCTCACGTAAACTTTTAAATTGATAATAAATGGATGTATTACGGAAAAAGTTTCTCCGTTAAGTTTTGTATTATTCAGATATGCATTTCGAGTGCTCCTTTTGGTCTTAAATCCACCAAAACTTCTAACTTGCCTCGAGATTTGCAATGGTAACTCTGTCTGAGAAAGGTTCACGGAATGTGATTATTTGGTTAACATAATATTATTAATTTAAGGGATTTTCTGGCACGATTAATGGATCATCTTGGTGAAAACATAAGTTCAAGGTGCCGTTTAAATTTTCTTAAGGACATAGTGCAAACAGATTACTTCATCCAAGAAATAAACCGAAAGAAGCTATTGCCGAAGGTTACTAATAATTTTTTTCGGTACCTTAGTGTCTTCTGCATTCTCTCAATTTCACATCCCTGACTGACTAAAGAAGTATGATCACTTGTATGCCATATTATTTTCTTCTTGATTACCTGCTTGTCCTGGGTATGAAAAAACCTCTGATATTATTTCACAATTTACTGAAGAATAGATTTTAAACGCTATTGCACATTATTATTCTCATCGGAAGTATTATTGATCAATAATTGTTCTTTTTAGTCCAGTGTTAAGAATATCGACGTTAACCTTGAGAATACTGAATATAATTTTGGAATTACTAATTGCATTCAATTTCTTCATTTGTTAATATGTGTTGATTATATTATCCGAAATAGAATTATTTTATATGCTAATTATCTCGTGATTATGTGATCGCAATACAGTGTGTTATGTACATAACACCGTATTCTGATTGTCATTAATTCTACGATTTTAAACTTATCTTCGTTGTTGAGCAGTTTTCCTCATCATAAAGCTATCACCTAAGTTGTTGTTATTTGAATATACACTACATGCACACACACACACACACATACAAACATGTCATCTTCCATAGTTTTATTAATTTACCGTGTTATTATTGTGGTTTTCTAGGTCATTGAAAAAGTGGTGGAAGAACTCGAGACTTCTGACTTCGTCCATTTGCAAGACGTTGTGTGTGATCAGTCCAAGATGGAAGAATGTATTTCGGCGAGTGCCGATATAATGTTTTATATCATTGAACGCCTCTTTTGCTCCACGGTCTATTAAATTCATTTGAAATTGAGAATCTTATTTAGTCCATAATATTCATGCAAGAAGTTCAGAAAATTTCTCCGTACTCTTCATTTTGCGTTACTTTTTAAGGATCCTATTCATGAACAAGGAAGTGAAGATGAACTTTATCTCATTGTATGGAAATCATTTCGTACCATAATTCAAACGACAATCGTTTTGATCAATGCAAAATATTCTGCTGTATGTATGCTGAAATAATTTACAATTTTCTTTTACTTTAAAAATCCAGCCCAAATTTAATAAGTTAAGAAATTTCCAACAATTTTTTATATTTGCTGAAAAACTTATATTATTTCAGTCTGTGTTTTGCGCGCTTACAATTCTAGTCCTCAGCAAACTGTCGGCACAGATGTATAAAATGTACCTGGAAAGTCACGCTACCTATATTGATAAACATGATTTATTGATGGAACTTGTTCATTTGTTTCGTGATCTCATCAACAAGTCACCATTCCCTTGTTCATGGTTCCAGATGATACTATTGCAGGATAGGCATGGTTTCCTTTCGTTTAGAAGATTTTAAGATACGAAGTTTATTTACTAAAGGAAAAATGATAAATTGCAATGGATTATCTTGCCGTATTTCAAGATTTTTAACACGTTTTGACTTCTAAAAAATATTGTCTCAGCGGTAGGCACGACAATCAACGTAAGATATTTCTCCAAAATGGGTTGGGTGAGCATAAGTCGACAAAATTTGCTACTTTCTTAAAGATATGTTTTTTTGAGTTCTTTTATGGATTTCTACATTTTATCATTTTTTCTCAGAATGATTTTGAAAACAATGAAATTTATCATGTCGACAATTGTTGAACACTTTCATGACGATCAGTTCAATGCTGAAGTTTGTTCAATTTTCCATCATCGTTTGCATATATGCAATTTGTTTGTAATTTATTTTCTTCTTGTTTCATTTTTTTTACAGTTCTTGAACTCTTGATGTTTCTTATTTAGCTTTGGAGAGAATACATGCTGACGATGGTCACTTTTTGCACACAAAAAGCTCTTCAGCTGGGTTCATCAGTTAGTGAAAGGCGGTTGCGACTTCTATCATGCCAGCCGGATTTGAGAAGAATAGCAGTTGCGGATTTGCGCTCTATGTGGTTTAGATTATCGAGTTAGGCATATCGATTTGAACACTTCTATACATGTTTAACTATTTAATATTTATATTAAATGAAGAATACTCTGTCGTATTTTACAGTGGCCCAAAAGATTCTGTTTGTACCGTCTATGATTGGTTCTTATCTTCGAGTGGCTCTGATTGACGATGATGTTGTACGTGAAACTATTATACCTATATTTTTCGATATGCTTCAATGTGAATTCCATTTATCACCACTGCGCAGTTTCTCCAAAGTAGAGTTTTTCTAATTTTCTATCTGATAAAATTTGATATAGTTTTTACACATTGTCATTTATTACCTTTTTTCACGGTATTGTTCCACTGAAGAATCATATTATAGTTTGCAAACGAGACTATAATGCAGCTGGATTGTCTGGTTGATGAGGACTGTGGTGGACAAAAATTCAAGGAGCAACTGCATAATATCATGATGGATATGTGAGTATCATTTTCTAGTTTCAGAGGAAAACTTTGCAGAAACCATCCAGGATATTGGAATCGTCTCAAGACTTTCAGGAGCCGTTCAGATACGGATCTTGTTGTAGAAGGTTGCAAATTTGTGGCTTTAGTTGATACTCTTCTACAACATCTTTTTGAATATCGTGAAGTACGAACAAATGGTTACTGTATAGAAAACGGAATGGATCGAACTGTTGAATTGTTGGTTAGTTTTTTTTCTTTTCTTTTTTCGATTTTTTGTTTTGTTTTGTTCGTTTATTCTTTTTTTTTTTTTTAATAAAATTTCATATGACTTTTTACATTTGAAAATCCTGCAGTTTGATGAGTTAAAATATCTGTTCTTTTATTTCAAATTTTTAAAATTTCAGAAGTTTTATAAACTTATTGGTCATGATGACCTTTATATCAACTATGTTTATAAGCTTTATGATCTTCACATGCTCAGCAACAATAAAATTGAGGCAGCTTTTACACTTCTGAAGCATGCTGAAACATTGTCGATAAGTTATTTTGAAATTTCATTCTTTTTATTTTAAATAGCGAGTACAACAGCAGTTTAAATTTTCATATTCAATAGTGATTTAGGAGGCAAATTAAACTGTGTTTATTTGGACCAGTATCTCAATGAACTTAATTAAGACCAAATTAAGAGTTAAGTTAGTTTCCATATCATCATTTCTTATAAAATCCAAATTTAGTGGGCAGAGTGTGAATTGCCACCCGCTCTTTTGGATGCACATTTAAATCGGCAATGTGGTACTCAGCGCCAGCTCAAAGAAGCACTTTATAACGAGGCGGCTAATCTCTTCGATGAAAAAGAATTGTGGGAAGAATCTATCGGCATTTTGAAAGAACTGACGTTTCAATATGAAAAGAATTATGAGTACGAAAAATTACCAAGCCTTCTCGTAAGTTCTTTTTTTTTTTTTTTTTTTTTTTTTTGTACCAGAATATTCATTTTTAATCTTTTGTCATTTCAATCTTTTAAAGTTATAGTTTCAAGTCTCCGAAATTTGAAACTTCCCTTTTTTAATTTCACAATTTTATATAAACTGAAGCATATCTTTTAGCAACGTCTAGCTGAATTATATCACAAAGTGAGTACACAAGGACGAGTCGCATGCACGTATTTCTTCGTTGGATTTTATGGCCTCAATTTTCCTAGTTATTTAAATAATCGGCAATTCATCTATCGTGGAAATGAATGCGAAGTCAGTTTTGAGTTGCTTTCTAAGTACTTTAGTTTTGGGTTTATTGGATATTTCTGATTGTTTACATACTTTGCCGTTAACGAATTGCTTGCATTTAGGCCATTGTCAGCTTTCGGCATCGAATGCTGTCAACCTTTCCCGGTGCTCAGTTAGTTAATACAATGGATGAATGTTCGCATCTTTCAAAGCACGACAACAAATTTTTGCAGATTTTCCCCGTGAAACCTCTTTTTGAAAGCTGCTGGGAAAAAAAATGTAGCAATCGTTTAATTCGATGGTATTTCAAAAACAATAGGGTATTTAATCTCTTTATATCAAAAATGGATGATTTATAATGATTGTTGATCATAATTGTTGTAACAGTATCGCATTACTTTGGAAGTTCTTTTATTCATCTGATTTGATAGTATCACACGTGATGTAAAGTGTTGATGTCTGACCCATTCTGCTTTTTCATTGAGAGCTAAATCATTTCTTTGATTAAGATTTTCAGGTACAAAAATTTGAATTTTATAAAGGGGAAATCCGAAAAGGAACAAAATGGACAGAACTGGAAGATAATGAAATCATGCGCTCGTGGGTAATTCGGCGATCAGTTTCTATCGAAGAACAATTGCCTAACATATTACGTTGGTCACAGATTACAAATTTTTCTGACCCAGTAAGTTTAAGTTTAAGTTACATTAATTATTGTGCGATGAATCTTCACGTTTCATAGGTGAATGACTGTACTTCTTTTCACAGATTGAGTGTTCTCCACTAATGGAAGCTGTGGCAACAATGAGGAAAAACAATGAAGAAATGGAAGAAATGGCACATTTGGTCCTTTCTACACCATTAGAATCAGTTGTTCCATTGGGAGGCAAAATCCGTGGGATCGTACAGGCGTTTGTACAAGGGGGAATTAAAAATTATAAAGTTTGATTTCAATATTCTAACTATTTTTTGTTTATATTTGCGTTTTTAAACCTCATAAATTCAAGTGTGAATTTCCTTGCTTCAGATATTTTTTTCTGATCGATGTGGTTCAATTTTAACATCAGAAGAACATGGGCTTGTGCATCAGCTGAGGGCATTAATCAGAAACCAGGTTAATTTTTGAAATTTTCTGCATTTCCAAGACTTGTATTTGTAGTGGTCAACTCTGATTAGCTTTCAGGTGCCAATTTTGGAGTTTTGCTTATATGTGCATGCTTCCCGTGACCATCAAGTGAATGTCCAGTTTCATGAATCCCTTGTAGCTTCTTTTTACGAATATAAAGCAAACATTGAAAAACAGTTTGGAAAAGTGGTAAAGTTTATGAAATTCTGTACTCTACATGATTGAATGTAATTTGTTTCAAGCGTATCCGTGTAACGGATTAGTAAGCAGAAATGAATGTAGATAGCTCAGGGCAGAAGGCTTGCTTGATTTTATATACCTTTGAGCCTTTGGACTTTCTGTAGCATGTCTTTGAATGAACATCTTTCTGAAAAATAACAGCTATTTTCTGTTTGTCATATTATATCCCTATTAATCCTTATAATTAAGGCCTCGCAGCTGCCGCCGGGTTGCTCCATCCATCTTTCACAACAGAAAGGAGATGAACGTAGAGCAAGCAGCTTTGAAATCCCAAGGTCGACATTGTTCAAATTTTCCGTTGGTTTTTGTAGATATGTAATGATGACTTTTTTTCGTCATATTTTTTGTATTACTTTTATCTTTTAGTACTCCATCTGTTATGAGTGTATTTAAAAGAGGTGGTGGAGGTACGAAAAGTGGAAGGACAACAACTACTAGGAAATCAAGTGGCCTAAAATCAGATTTGAAAAGTGCCTTCGAGAATGGGTGAGCGAGTTTTGTAATCCTTATAAATAAGTTAACATTTCGTTACAAATTATAATTTTCATCGGGAATTGAAACGTGAAATATTTTGTGCTACTTAATTACTGTTTAACACATCATGATCATAATAGATATTGTTCAGAATAGCCAAACGAATCTCATCGTCATCCGACCGCAGTTTTGACTGCAATTCCAATGAAAATAGTTCTACTTCTCGATCAACATTTGATTTTACACGTTTTGAGCATACGTTGAAATCAGTCTCCTCGTCATCCTTGCAAATAACAGAAGATGATGCAACTATTAAATCGGTTAAGCCAGTCGAGAGGTACATTAATACACTAGCTTCTTAATTAGCTATATCTCTCAAATTTCAAAAAAAAAAAAAAAATGTATTTTTAAGCTTTTTATTTTGCAGCTGACTGCTATTGCTACACATCGTTTAATGATTATCATTTATCACTCACATTATGCTTTTTTATACGCTCTTAATGCAGTGTCGTCGTTTGAATGTATGAAATTCACTGGCTTAAAATAGTTTAAAAAGTATTTCTACTTCAGACTCACTGATACTCAAACTGTACCACCTCCGTTACCTCCGCGATGTACGAAAAGATCACTTCTGGTTCCTCAGCATCTCAATACCGTTTCATTTCCGGTGGAAACTTCTCATCACAACATATAAACTAGAACACTTGCTACAGTTGGATTCGGGACGAATCGATTTTTTTTTTTTTTTTTTCGTGATTTTAAGTCTTTATACAAATTTTAGATTTTGACGCTTCACTTATAATCAAAAAAATCAATTTCAGTGTGACTCCGTTGTTTGGATATGAAGGGCAAAAAAAAAACTTCCAGTCCATTTAAAGGAAAATTTTGAAGTCATGTTATAGATCAGTTGAGATTGTGAATAAAATAATAAGCTTCAATTTTCTAAGAAAGTGAGTACGTGACCATGATGTAATTAATCCTTTAAAAAATGCCTTACTTCAAATTGTTTCTTATTAACACATAATTTTAATTCATGTTAGCCTTTTCGAAAAAGTTTTTTACGCATGTCTTACATCTGATCTTACTGCGATATATTGTCGGGTATTTTTGAAAAAATATTCAGTTTATATTTTATATATAATATTTCTTACTGCGCACATTTGTATTCATTTTTTTTTTTTTTTTCATTATTTCGAGACAGCAGATTCGTTTAAGTTAGTCTGATAAGTCTAGAATAAATGTTTCGATATATCTGATCTTTTCTTAGAATTTGGTGTGAAATTTCAAGCACTTATTTTCTTTGTCTTAGATTTCTTCATTTCAACTCTTTTAATCTCATACACTTAGTCTTTGCTCTTGCTGTCTTCCACATCTCGAAGTTTCGAACTCCTTTAATTTGATGAGGATCGTAAAATATGAAATGTCTTTGTTGTGTTCGACGTTTTCTTGTTCATATTTGACGCAGTGAAGTGCTTTTATATAAATGAATTCAGAATTGATGTTGCTTGCCATCTTTTATTGTTAAGAAGTTCAAATGGGAATCTGATTTTGAATGTTTGAAGATAGTGGAACTAATTTATTGTTTAGCAAAATATACAGCACGGACAACTTTGGTTTTGTTTTGACATGAGATAGTGTTCTTGTCTAGAGAATATATGCTATTTCACCATTTCTTAAAAATATAACCCTTACAACCAGCTTCGCGATTTTGAGAAAAGACGTCTTATTTCTTCACTCGCATTTTCTAGATTTTGTTTCATATTGGATATAGCTTTTTCAATATCTAATTTTATATTGGTTTTAGTTCTGTCCACCTTACGTTCCTCGAGCAAGATGATGTTACCATTTAGAAATTCAAGAGGAGTTTCAGTTTCGTTGCTTGATTCTGGTGGTCTTTTAATTATTTGTTGGATATTGTTGATAAAATTACGTGGCACACTGGCAGTCTCTTCTGTTATGTTATTATGTTGATCAGCAGGTAGCAGTGAAGGTGATCCAGGTTTTTGCTCATTTGCTACATCGTAGTATATTTGGATTTCATTTCGATTTATTTGTTCCTCACTTATATTTGATTTTATGTCTTTGCTTATTTCGTTTGACATGATTGTTGCATTGTTGTCCAAATTAGATACGTTTTGTATGCGTTCGGTAAATATACTTTGCAATTTTTTCCCAAGTAGTTCATAAATTTCACCCTCGTTAACTTCCGACCGTTTTGCTAGTTCTTCCTTTCTATATATTTCCGTTCTATTGAGTTTTGCCGTACCATACGTGTGATCTATAACAGGTCTTCCGTCAACCTTTTGCAACACAATTCCGGTATTTTTCTTATATGGAACAACGCTGTTAATATCACTTTCATGTGCAAGTGTATTGCTTATATCGTGTACTTCGTGGATACTATCATCGAATTGTTGTTGATCATTCATCTTTTGTAACACCCGTTTGTTTTCGATTACATCATGCTTACTCGGTTCTTTGCTACTTTTGGCATGTAGTGTCTCCTTGAGGCGTTCTACCAGAGTCTTGTTAGTGTCGTTATTATCAAGCAGTGCGCGCAAGTCCGAGCTTTTTTCTTGTTTAAGAAACAAATTTAGATTTCGGAAGATATCACCGAATTGTTCGTACCATGTTCGCGAATCTTTTTGTGCTGTTTCATTTTCATCGCAGAGCTCACTCGATTGTTGGGATTTCTGTTTCAGTGGATTTAATGAGCTGATTAAACCATTTTCTTTTCCATTATGTAGAGGCACATCCTCATTGTTCTTGATGTTTTCCTTACGCACTATCGATTTCCGTTTTGCGGTAAAATTCTTCGATTGGAGTTCATGCTTATTTCCAGTACTAGTTTCATTTTTTGCTACTTTTTGCTTCTCTTTTTCCATTTGTTTGGTGGCAAAATCTACGTCAGTTCCTTCGACATCCGGATCTGCAGTTGTTAAAGTTTTTTCCGCAATAATTTTCTGGCTGCCTGAAAAGCTGTCTTCCTTGTCTTCGCCGACGACATTTTCTTTTTTTCCGCTAATAGGTGATAGATCCTGCAGTAAATTAGGAATTCAAAAACTTCCGTAATTTTCAAGATTTTTTTCCCAGAATTTTGTCCTGATTGCAGTTTAAGAATTTTATCTCGAAAGGAAGGATGTATTGTTCATTAGAAGGAATTCAGATTGTGTTAAAGACTTTAACCATTTCCTTCTATCTTGACTTTTCGACCTATGATTGATAAGGAATAGCATAGGTTGGGGTGATAAGTATCATTTTCAGTGTTACAGTATACATCCGATAATTCAGATAAATTCCCATTCTTTCACCACAGAGAATAGCTAGATGTACAAATACTAAACTAAAAAATACTAATAAAAAGATTCACTCAGACCAAATATGTTTGCGAAAAGGAAATTCACTTACTTCAACCTTCCCTTGAACATTCGCAATTTGCGTTCTCACTCCTTGCAGTTGTACTGTTCGTGGTTGTGATTTTACTAGTGTATCCTTGCGTAGCTCACTTATCCACTGCGCAAAGAACTCGTAAAACGGATTGTTTTTCCTTTCATGCTAGAATGTTTTCTAAATTTTCAGTTTCAATTTCTTGGAAAATTAAGTTGTCAAAAGGTGTATTAGGCTTCTTAGTTGCTTTAGATTGCTTCTTCGAAATAGCCGGGATCAGTTCTTTCCGAACATTTGTATTGAAAGCTTTATTTTCTTAAACAATATTCTATAATTACGGGTAGTATAGCGGAAAAACTGCTGAATTTCAAAATTTAGAAGGATTTTCTGAAATTAGGAAGAATGCTGAGTGTCTTGAATAGGAGTTTTTCCAAATTAATGAAGTAGAGGAATATAGCATAAGCATGATAAGGGTTATTTCTTACAAATTTCATGATCTTTTTTTGCTGGTCACCGAGTTCAGTTAAAAATTGCAGTTAAAAAATTTAAGCTTCAGTTAAACGTTGAGTAACTTCATTAGCACGAAACCTTATGAACTATTAGAATATTTGGAATGCAGTCGTTCGTTTAAACGATCAGAGTATAATGTTTCAAATTATGAACTAACAACGAACCTCGCGATGCTGTTCATCATTTCGCTGACAGATGAACCGGTTGGTATAGTCGAAATCTGGTCTTTGGTCACAGGGTATGGCTTTTAACATCCTGTTATCAATGCTCAGCAATGCACATCGGCCACGTTCTGTAGGATCCAGCGCTTTCTCCGTAGTATTTCTTACCAAGATTTCCCACTCTCTAAATTGAAATGCTAAGTTTTGGAATTACATCCCGAATTTTGATCTATTATATTGGAATTTTAGTAGCACTATATATAGCTAACAAATAGGTAGCATTCAGCGGCGTATTATCGACCCATTTCCACTCCTTTTCAGCACTATTTTCTTTGTCAACTAGCACAAGTCCGATTTGTATGGTCCTTTCAGGCATTATTGAATTACGGAGTGGATAATGTGATATTAACCAATTCTGAAATGAGGACCAACTATTGTTTAGCTTCGAGAAATTTATTAGAAATTATTCCTGGTGATTCAGCTAACCATATATTTCAAATGTCATAGGATTCTCCATGTCAACCCTGTTATACTTTTTCAGTGTTCCGAAATAGTTTTTCTGCTTATCAACTAATGCTAGTAACTTTTGATCGGCCAGTATGAGTCCTCATTTCTCTTATAGTAGTTTCATAAACTGTTTGTTAGAATAAAAAAGAACATACTATCTGTTGTAAGCTCTTAATAACAACGAGATCGGAAGCTAGAGCAAGGCATATTTCTCGAGCTATATTCCAGGATTGTTCACTGAGATGAAATTGGTAATGATGTCCTTCGGGATCAGCAATCCAGGAAGTGCCGTAATTTTGAACTGGCGAAATAAACTGGAAATTAAATAAGAAATTGGTTTCTCTTGTTTCTTGCAAATTCAGTATATTACTATGTATGATCTGTTTAGGATTGCATTTTCACTTTTCATTTTATTCAATGAATTAAATTTTAGTTTTATAGTCCGAATTTCTTTTTATTACTAACAAATAACATTAGCTCTACGTTACCATTGTTTTTGACTGAAATCAAGATTTAAAGAAAACCAATATTTTCGGCTCATAGAGAACTGGTTTGATAAATTCTTTAAGTTTTGGAAGATTTTTATATCAAAATTTTCAGCTAGGATTCACATTAAGGTATTTTCTAAGGAGTGGCTTTGATAATTGATGAAATTTTTGCGAAGAATCTCTTGAGATTAATGAGTAACCTAAATTTAATCTGGTAATTAATGAGTACCTAAATATAATTTAGTTGTATGTAGAGGTCTCAGAAAATGTTTGGAAATATTTAGCATTGGCATATTTTACTGAGATGGCAATACTAAACTGTTTATTTCAATGCATTGTTAAGAATTTTGAAAAGCAAACAATAAAATGTTTGGAAAGTCAGTTAATGGTATTCATGGATCTCTTTATGCTTTAGTTAACTTTTAATCCTATTTTTGTGTTAATTGAATCTGGTCCATTAATTTATGTTTAATAGACTGTATAGACATACTATTTGCCGCGCTTTTACCGTCGAATGTGAACCAACAATCTGCGCCAAAAGTATGACAATAGCAACTGAAATATTAGTATCATGAAAGCAAGGATTTGGTATTTTGTCAAATAACTTGTTTAAAAGATAAGAAGTAAATACCTATTAATCGTACGAACCACCATCTGGACATAGCTGGTTAGCTTTGCACCGGGTTAGCACAACAAATAAGTCTGTGGTAAAGAAAACAATAGAGTATAAAAGTAGAAATTTGAACGAGATATACCGTTTTACCTGGCGAACAAATTTCCGCTTTAACTCGCCTGAAGCTTGTAGAAACTGTTATGCAGTTATGTTGGTGGGACTCAATTTATGGTTTTGATAGTTAATTCTTCCCTTAAGGGTGAGTATCCGTTTAAGTTTGAAGCTTGAGATTTAGAAAGTTTCTAATTTTGTTGTAAGAGAAATTAATATTGAATCTATTACACTTATTAATTTTGACCAATATTATATGATGACCTAGAATTTCAACAATTTTCTGATGATATTCTTGGGAAAAATATGGGTGGACAATAGATAATTGTAAGGGAGAGATGAAGAGTAGGAAAGAAGGAAAAGGAAGAGATGGAAGGGTTCAGCCGAAGTTGTTTTGCGGAGTTGGGGTAAGAACGAGGAGCAATTGGGATATTCCTTTTTGACTGCGTTTTCATCGAATTATATAAGTGACTTGTTGTAGGTCAGCGACGTGACCCAGATATACCATTTTACCCGACAGATAAATTTCCCAATTTAATTTCTCTAATTTCACCTCACATTTTTTTATGTGGGCTTTTTGTACAAACTGTCATTGCACCATCGTGCTATAATATTACCATTACTTCCATTATTATTATCGTTACTATTTTAAGTTGAACATCCCCTTTGGAATGTTGTGAAAAAAAAAATTTCTGAAAATTGCTTAGGAGTTCAGAGTACACTATCAAACGAATTTCATTTTCGCGAATGAATTTATTCTATGATTTTGATTGTCACACAAGCACTCGAGGCTTTTTAGGACGAAGTTTTATGAAAAATTCGTAAGTTGTATTTATTTCTCGATTTAAAAATCTAGAAGAAGATTTCGATCTATATTAAATTTTGTCTCATGTACTTATCATAAATTTTCTGATGATCATAAATACGTTGCAAAAATTTTTCTCTCTTCCGCGAATTGACAATTTGGTAATGTTGAGCAAACTTTCAGAAACATTACAGTTCTATAAATGAAATGTCTGCGTTTTAGAGATTTCGCTTATTACGTGTGATATGCATAATAGGAACAGTACAGTGCCAATTTTTTTTTAACATCAAATAGTAATAGTGCATGAAAATTTAAATTAGCTTTAGTGTTTTTTGTCTAACTTTCAGTATTTATTTCCAAACGAGCTGAATATTCCAACAAAATATGTTCTGTTCCTTTTTGTTCCGTTGGGTCTGATAAATAAAACAGAAAGATTGACATAGGATATTTTTAAAATGCCGAATCGAATTAAGTTTTCATCACTCTCAGTTAGATCGTTTTAGTGATTTTCGGTACGTGATTTTTCGGGAATTGGTTTGACCAAACATCAAAGCAGTCCTTAGTGTGCATGGATTCATTTTAGCTGCTGTTAAAACCTAATTTCAAAATAACACTTTCGATTTTTTTCTCCTTATTTTCAACAAACGGTTTTTTTTTTTAACCACCACTCACTATTCCTTGTCAAATGAGTGATATGATTTATCGAAGCATCAGCAATTTTCGATCTATTTTGATCTAGCTAATGAAACCTACAGAGATTTTGTTCAACTTTTATCAAACCACTCTTGTTAAATGTTTTTGATAACGTTTAACCTCCAGCAGTTATTAGTTTTGAGGCCTCTTTTGGTAATTATCTATGTAATAAAAATTTTAATAAATTTAATATAGAAAAAAAACTTCTATCCTCACATATATAAATTAGTTTAGACGCAATTTCCAGACCAAAACAAAAAGATTTTAATAATATTTTAGTCCAAACATTATCCACTTATAGGGGACATTATTGATAGTGCTGAGTTATCCCTTTTTCTTACTCCAGCGCAGAAGAAATCATTAAAATTATCAGTATTTTTTTACCATTGTTTGTTGTCGATTTTATTGTTCTGTAATTTCTTTCTTACATTCGTTTTTGAAATCTTCAGAAATTGGGATCCGAAATTTTCGAAATATGAAAAGCAGAAGATGAAAGGCATCTTGAAGTGTTCATCAATTTATTATTTTCATCAGAACTATACAATTTATTCGATGCAGTTGATTTAAGAAACAGTAAAATTAGACACTTGGAATTCTTGATGGATGTTTGTTATCATGAGCACCTTTCCGAAGTATGGTTTCTTCCATTTCGATATATAAAAATTTTTGTTTTTAAGATGCGTCAGTCGTTTGGAATTGTCCTTGACGACGGAATAATGGCAATAAAAAGTGTTCTCGTTTCCGTAGATCATACATTCCGTGAAATAAACCCGTGGAAGTTAGTTATAGGAACTGCTGTTAGTGTCATTCTTTTGCAGCGTATCCAACGTATATGGCGTGCATCGGAGCAACCAATACATTTACGGTAAGTTTGAGGATCCACCATGTTTACTTATAAAGTCAGTTTAGATTTAGCTTGACCAAAGTTTGGTTCAATTCATATGTTTGATTAGCAGTTGGCTAGAATTGTGGTTTTGTTTGTTTTTTTTTTTTGACCTGTCTGACTTTCATTTATGTGAGAGTTTTGGAAGAAAGTTATGTTTGGTTTTTAATCTTCCTTTGAGTGTCGAAACTGTTTACGTCTGCTATTAGTTTTGAAATGATTTTGCTTGGTTAAGGCAACTTTTCTAAATTTCAGGCTCCTGGGCAAAGTGTTTTCTGTAATTTGTTCATTACCTTCCATACGAAAAAGATTTGAAAAAGAGCTGGGTTGCACTCAGCAGAAATTTTTTCGCGAAATTCATAAGTGTGATAATACTGGTCTCTTCTTTTTTATGCTTCCCGAAAGTGGCATGGATAGTGTAGAAATTATTAGTATAGCAGGTACATTTCTTTAAAACTCTGTTGTGGATAGTTGATTTCTTTGATATATGAAGGAATTTGTTATATTCACATTTTAGAACAGTATGACGCAATGACAGAGCTAAATGTATTATCCGGTAAAGTGAGTGGTGCCGTGTACACTGACCAAAACAGTAAGCAAAGCGACCTACTTTCGAAAGTAATATTCATTCATTTCAAAAACTTTTTAAAGATTTGGTGAAAAAACCTTTTTTATGTAAGCAGTGTGATGTGAACAAAGTTTATTGTTATTACAATTATTATTACTCTCATTATTATTATAGATTTTTGACATTTATGCATATGCAAATCCACTTCATCCAGATATCTTTGCCGGATGTCGGAAAATGGAAGCTGAGATTGTTCATATTGTTGGAAATTTATTTCATGGAGGATCGAATTGTCGTGGAACGGTATACTTAAACCATGTTTATATACTTTTATATATACTTAAAGTATAATTAAACTATGTTTAAAGTCGTAGAAAATGGAAAGAAGAAATTGTGAATTTTTGGGAAGGTTGAAATTTCATACTGGAATTTTTAGTTTGAGAGAATGAAAGATCTGATATTTTGCTGTTTTTATAGGTAACATCTGGTGGAACTGAGTCAATTTTATTGGCAATGCTTTCTTACCGTAATTATGCAAGTGTTAAGGGTATATCGGAACCAGAGATATTAGTTCCGATCACTGCACATGCAGCATTCGACAAGGTTGATTTTTTCTTGGAGATTGCTGGTGCTCAAAAGCAGATATTACAACCACAAATTTCTGTTTTATTTTTGAGACTTTTTGTAAAATGTTTTTGTTTCATGATTTCTTCAGGCAGCTCATTTGTTTCGTATGCGGATACGACATATACCTGTTGGAAATAATCAAAAAGTAGATATAGATAAAATGAAACAGGCTATATCTAGTGACACATGTGTCGTAAGTTTTATCGAAAGGCATTACTGGATGTACTTTTTGAATTTATAGGATTTGTGCTAGATATTTCAGAATTGACTGCACGAGTTTTTTTTTTTTTTTTTTTTTATCTCTTCCAACTTTTTCAGCTGGTTGGGTCAGCACCAAACTTTCCAACTGGTACAATGGATGACATTGAACAAATTGCACAAGTATATTTAATTATGTAAATGGATGTAGATGTTTGAAAGTGTCCTAATTGTTTGGAGATGGATTTGAATGATATTGCGAATTGGTGAATAGTCACCTTTTTTCATTCTGCTTTATATGCGATATCATATTTGTGATTTGAAATGAAAGGAATCTTTTTCCAGCTTGGGCAAAAGTATAATATTCCTGTACATGTTGATGCATGTCTAGGTGGCTTCTTAATAGTTTTTATGGAAGAATGTGGCTATCCGTTAATGCCGTTTGATTTTCGTCTGTCTGGTGTTACATCAATTTCATGTGATACCCACAAGGTTTGTGTTCTTTTTAGAAATTTACGTTGTGCGCTATATTTATAGTTTTGTTTTGCTACTCGGGAAAAGGCATTCCTAACTTGCTCTCAAAAAACGAGTATAGGTCGAAATCGATTTCAGTATGGATATGCTCCAAAAGGATCCTCAGTAATACTTTATCGGGAAGGAAAGTATTTGCATCATCAATATATGTGTTTTCCAGAGTGGACTGGAGGTATATATGCTACACCCACTTTTGCAGGTATTATTTCTTTCTGCTAAGTGATATGCCTCAAATGATTCTTCTTTTGCAATTTTATAAAGGGACAAATTGTTGTTTGAAACACTAATTGATAAAATCTCTAGAAGAGTTTTGAAACTAATTTCTTTGGGAAATCTCTCATAGATTTATATTTAGGAAGTCGTTCTGGTTTAGCAGTATCGTTAGCTTGGGCTACTTTACTTTCTTTTGGACGTTCTGGTTATGTGCAGCGAACAAGGGAAATTATTAAATGTGCTCGCCGAATTAGTTCTGCCATCATGGTAATTTTTCAGAGGGTGGATAATTCCTGAACAAACTAATGGTTCATGAGAAATAGATTGAAATTCCCTGGATATCTTTTTTAAGTAATTGCCTTTTTAACGAACCATGAAATCTCATTTAACTTTCAATTACTCGAAGTTTCATACAAATGCATTATCTAGTTTGCTTAAAAAACTCGGACTTTTGTATATATCTGAAATATCTCTATCTTTAAAAGTCGACCTTTTAATTTCTTCAGCAACTCAAGTAGACAGAGTGGTTCTTTGTCATTTTAGAATGACATTGATGGTCTTCGTCTTCTCGGTTCACCTGATATATCCATTGTAGCGTTTACTAGTGATGTTTTCAATATTTACGCCCTTGTGGATGATATGTCTGCTCTTGGCTGGAACTTGAATTCTATCCAAAATCCTGCTGGGCAAGTTCTTGAAAAATCTTTGCATTATGAGTCAGAATTCGTCGCAAAAATCTGAATAATTTACAGAAAAATGTTTCAAAAATGCATGAAACAACAACACTGATGTTTAATATCACGAAATAAGTTCAAAAAAGTGCATTTTATTTCTTAAAGCCTTTTTATTTCAGAGCACATATTTGTGTTACCTATAATACAGTACTTGCTAATGCATGGCGAACATTCATAGATGATTTACGAAAAGTTGCTTTTGCTTTGATGAATGATCCAGATAGAGAAAAATATTCCAATATGGTATTTCTCAAGAAATAGAAATTATTTTTGAATTGTTTTATTGATTCAGTAAGTAAAAACATTGTTTGCTGTTGTTTATGCCAAGACATCGTAAGACGTTGGTTGGGTTTATTCTGATTATTTCCTGTGTTTTCTCTAGTCTTCGAATCCCATTTTTTTCTGCATGCGTGCATTAAGACATGTTTGAAATAGTTGTGAATATCTTAATTATATACATCTATTACATTTTTTGAAAATTAAATGAAGAATGACAGCGAAATGAAAATTAAGAATTAATTTTGATCTTGCAGGCTGCTATATATGGTCTCACAGCAAATATTCCGGATAAACAGCTTATCAGCAACTTAGCTTATTGCTACCTAGATGCGTGTTACACTGCTCCATCGCTGGAAGCACCAAAATGTTGATGTGTTGTTCCTGTGAAAATCTAATCTATTTTTTTTATCGACGTTATTTATTATAATTTTTAATGCTAAGCGTTTGTATGTTTGCCATCCTTCCTGCTTTATTTGCTCTATATTCTTTATTTCGTGTGATTTCTCATACTCTTTCGAAATTGAAAATGTCATATTAATTTGATAAATTATGTGCGCACCGTTCGGTAATTGTTGATAAATAAAGGCAGGCCGACCGGTCCATTTGGCTTATATAAAAGTAAAGAGTGAAGATGAATTCAAGAGTATTTCAGTATTCTTATATTCTTCCCTACAAGTTTTTCAACGCTCTTACGTCTTTATTGTCCATTTTTCTTACTATTATTGGTGCTGAAACATTTTTGGATTTCATATTAAATTGCTGTTTTCTTGCCGTCTAATAAAAGTACTCTTATAGTTTACAGTAAGTTGTTCGTTCAGGATCTATTAGATTGACATAGTTGTTAGGATTTCAATCGGCTGAGACTACCAAACTTCCCGCTATGTTGATAACTTACTGCCATATGAAAGTAGTAAATTTGCGGAAGCATTTATACTTAATATATAAATAAGTTTTCTTTTGCGTGGATTTAGTACACTGATCAAAGGTGTTGGAAGTTTAGTGCTACTTGTCAGTCTTGCTCCTTCCCCCTCCCCCACCCACCCTGACAGCTTTTTATTAGAGTTATTTGTTTGTTCTTGTTCCCATTCATTACTTTTATTTCTGCGAATTCGATGTAAGAGAGGTGGTTTTGGTGGTTTTGACTTCAAGTTTTCCATATATAATATATATATATAGTATGTGTGACAAGGTTACCGCGTACAATGTTCAGTGATGCATGGAATTGTAATATCTTAAAAGCTTCCATTTCGAAATAATGGAGTGCTGGTAAGTAGTCCTGTCGATACACATTTCTGTTCGTTGCAAACAGGAATCCATTTAGCCTTCAGAAGCAGTAATGAAGGGACTGAGAAGGATAATAGTTGAATACATAAAATACATCAGTCGTAAGGCCTTGAAAGTCAGAAGTTTACCATTACTTTTATCGGATGGTTTCCATGCATAAAGGTGGTTTTGGCTTCAAGTTTTCCATATTCTATGTTTTTAATCCAATTGAAGAATTAAGAAAGATCACCTAATTTTTTTTTGTTATTTGATTGCTCGTGATATCTTGATATAATCATAACGATCATTGTATCACTGTGTAGAGGAGGAGTTCGGGATCAGTACACGGGATGAATACGCGGTGAACACTACAGCACTATACTGTCCAGTGTTAAATATAGTTAGTTCAGTGATTTTAAAATTATTGATCACATGACACAAGCCTCTGAATTTACTAATATGCGTGAATATATATACATGTTACTTTTCTATATGTTCCTTTTCAAGGAATCTTTCTAAGTTTAAGTCAACCGTACGTTTAATGTAGAATAATCACACAGGTTATGTTGCGTTACAGGAATTGGAAACTCATTGGTAATCAAAAAGGCAGTTTCAGGCTCGTTAAGTTCATCTATTGTCACTGATATCAACCAGATAGTTGCATTTTAATTGAACTGACTACACAACATGACGGTGAAACAGTCTTTTTGTTTGTTAGCTGCTGAAACTTTTGAAACTATCTTTTAATCAGTCCGGAAGTTTTTATACATATCTTTGGCTACATATACATCTAGTCTTTTTTATGTACTTCACGAAAGTTTCAACTGATAGCAAGGAGAGTGAAACCGAAACTATTGAAGCTTGATCGAAAATTCCATAATTCATTCACATTTATCTACTGGATGCTACAGATGAAGTTTAAATCTAAGCTTTTAATTATAAAAAAGACTAGTTGTACATATAATGACCATTTGCAAAACAACGGAACGATGTCCCTTTTTTGCGTAAATTTATATCTGTGTTTCCTCGTTGTCATTAATACATATATATCCTGGTATTAGTTGCCTCCTTTGAAAAAGTGAGAGAAATTTATTTAAACGGTCACCTCGTAATTGGGTGATTTAATTCGTGTGACTGTTGAAATCTATATCCTTCAACCGCTCCCTTCTTATTGCAAACCTCTGCCTGTATTGTTTGTGTTCACTTAAATACAACCTGATTTTGAACTATTATTGCTGATCAATTATATTTCTTTTTAATTCAATATTTTATCATAGTTCTTCAAAAATTTTCTTCAGTTCTAGTGTTTTCTATATCGCTCGTTGTTATCGGTAGCTCTTACTAAGTCTTACACATCTTAGATTTTGATAGTTCGCTTGAATTGCGGTATCATTTGTTCCACTAACTAATAACGCTCCTAAAGTTTGTTGTAACTTCAGTGCTTTGAGAAAACGGATAAAAGGAAATTCGGAAATAAAATTTATTATTTTTAGTTACAGGAATTTCGTTCGCTCTGATGAGTCATTTTGGTGATGTGAAAACAAAAATTCAAATGATAAAATAATAAATATTACACAGTTCTGCAGCGAAAATTGAAGATGAATATCTTGAATTCCAACGGTATAAATTTTTGCTCATTTCTTTGATACATTTTAGTATCTATTTCCAAATTATCTTTTATCGGTTTTCTTCAAGCAGTGGAGTTACAGCAAACTTTAGGAGCGCTGTTAGCTATTGAGACAAATGATGAAGATATGCTAAGAATGATACTGTCCAAAACAGACATACCATTTGGTGTCCGGATCAACGATGCTTATCTGGAAGAGTGGACACTACTTGAGTTTGCCCTAATGCTTGGTCATCGGCACTGTGCTGAAGTATTATTGCAAAGTGGAGCTACCATTAATGTTGAATGTGAGTATTACACGATTTCGTGATTATATTTCAGTTCTCTTTTCCTTTTTCGATATCTTAAACGTTCTATGAAATAAAATCGTAAAACTTTTAAACTTTATGATATATTTTTATATTATGATATAAAAACTTTTTATAATATCTTTATAATGTGTTACAATATGTTGCTCATTAAAAAAATGAGATTCGGCTTTTGTCCCATTTGAAAAGATTGATTCTGGAGAGTGAAGGAAATTTTAGTTTGGAATTCTGTCACTAGGATTTAAATGTTTAAGTATATCCGTTAGAACGTCGTTTGCAACAAGTTCAAGAAAACGCCCAACTTATTACTGAAGAAATTCGATTTTTATGGATTACCAACGTTCAAAATGAAGTGAGCAAATTGCATATTATTTTCTATGTTAAATCGAATTTACAAAATTCTAGGCTCGAACCTCAATTCATCAAAATAAAAGAGCACTTGGGAGACACAATTATTTGAGCAAAAATTTTAATATTTCTAATATAATTTTTGATTATTTTTGGTTGTATAGAATATAATTCAGAATTTTGCAGGACAAACACATAAAATATTTAGAGAGACGTCTATCACAAATGGAAAAAATGAAGGCTGTTTTGAAAAATGCTTTTGTTCCTGGACCACCAAATGACGTTGAGGCAGTTGTTTCAGCATCAGATCAGCTAACAGTAACTTGGAAAGATGTTCACCAACATAATGTGGATCTTATTATAAACTACAAAAGTTTGTGTTTGGTAATTCCACCATCAGAATATTAAGTGAAATTATGAAATTAGTTACGAGATTTTATTGAATTTAGAAGACTTTAGTTGAATGGAGCTTATGCGACGATTTCAACAGTATTGAAGGAAGCTTGCTTGTGGACACTGTTCTGAGAAACTATGCAGTGATATCTGATTTAAAACGTGGGTTGAGATATTCTGTGCGCGTTAGTGCTGCATCTATTGGAGGCTTTGGTCATCCAACTCTAGCAACACCTCATTCGCTACTGATTTCAAGTAGTTTATAGAATTTTAATAAAAAATTTGCTTCTAATGTAACTATTTAAATCGATTAAACTCTCATAAATTTTGATTTCATGTTGGGAAGACGTGCCAAACAGCCTGCAGCGACAGTATCACTTAGGTGATATTTCGAAACTTCTTGTAGATGTCGCAAAGTATCGTTCGTCTCCAGTTTGGCAAACATGTGATTAAGTTTGAGTTTAGATTTATCTTTTTTGGGGGACTAGATCGTTTGAACTCTAATTTTGAATAATTATATTGAAAAACTTAATTTTATGTTTCACCTAAAATCAAAAATGATTTACAGTGTTTCCCAAATCAAGTGGAATAAGCGACAAGAAGAAAAGAAGAAATATAAGAAGTCTTTTTGTTAGCGGTTTTCAATCTCTTAAAGTTATTCAGAGGTGCTTGTGAGATTAAATTTTGATATATTAAATGGTTGTTGATATGCAGATTATATGCAGTGTGCATATATAGGCTTGCAAAAGCTTAGTTGTTTAAATTTTCTTTTGACATTCTATTAAGAAGCAATGTGCTTTTTTAACTTCGATGAAAGGTGTCCTTTAAAAATAAGCTTTTTAAGTGCTTAAATTTACGAATCATAAATCTGAATTTGCAAGTTATTTATTATATATTTAAAGTTTTACAGGGGTATCTATTTAGTAAGTATCATATACTCACAAATGAAAGTATGTACTGTTGAAGATTGCCTTCCAGTTATTCTTGTCGATCAAACCCAGTTTTGCATCGAGAAAGTAAGTCTAAATTCTAACTTTCTGGATGTTGCCTAAGTCATAGATTCCTTTAACAGTTGTAGAAAAAAAAAAAAAAAGAAATAAGTTTGAAACTTTAAGTATCTCCCGATGCAAGGTGTTCTATTTTCAGAATGAAATGTACTGGGCGATAAAACTGTCATTGGCCTGGGGTGAAATACAGACTTTACAGGAAGCAAATAATTCAAGCTCGCCAAATTTTCGTAGTAAATTCATTGATGCTGCAATAGAAATGCATACGGCTCTTAGAGTAAAAGATATCGGAAGGTTATTATTTGCCTATGAACCAAAATATGAAACTTTTTTGCAAGTTGAGGTGTTGAAGAACGTTAGACATAAAAGATAGCAAACGTTTAAATTTTCCAGAGTGTATTATCAGCCAATTGTAGACGAAATAAATTCGATTTCTTTTATTGTTACAGTTCGTTTTGTAAACGGATCACAAAACGCTCAGGTATCTTCGAAGTCTTCCTGTTACATTGCAGTTTGATGCTTATAGGATTATTTATTTTTCCTGTTAAAGCGACAAGTAGAAAATATAGAAATCATTTACCGAAGCGCTAGAAGTATTAATGAGGAAGATTGCATAGAGACCCCGTGTATTCGTTTCCTGAAGGAAATTTCAATAGATTGTTGATTCACTGAATTATTTTTCTATAGCCGTAAAATTTTTCTTGAGCATACGTCCCTTCATATTATTTTTTTACCTTGTCTCATTGTTCACAATGAGGCTTTCAGGTCGGATTTTGAAGCTCTATATGTCGCTGGTGGGTGCTTGTTTTGCACTCGGTCATGTTCCTATTTCTATACTGTATGAGGAAATTAAGCGATTTATAGGGTCTGACAACAAAATGGTTGCCTCTGAGTAAAATAGTTCGCAAAAGAGGAGCTTGTCGGGCGATGGATGTGTTGTTGGCAGAAATTTTTAAGATTATCAATTTTTTCGAATCTTCACATGTACGCCTACGAAGAGGACTGTATATATGTTACATGAAACTATATTCATCGATCAGTTCTATAGACGTCGTCGTGCCTCAGTATATACCGTCCATTCTTCCACATGCTTTGATAAGATAACTTTTCATCTTTTTTTTTATTTACTTTATTTATCTCCACTTTTTTCCTGCTGCTTAGTTATTGCCTCACCCTAGCAACCTTAAATCTGAAGTCGTGATTTTTTGCTTCTTAAAGTTACTGATCTGTCGATTTTTTCGGCATCGATGGAAGCCTAAGGTTTGAACTGAAGAAAAGAAAGAACGGATTTAATAAGATTTCCAAACAACCAGTGATTTTGAAGTTTTTTGTTGTCGGTGCTATAAGATATGAGTCTGACAGGGCATAATTATAAATAAAAAGTTCCGAACGCAAGATGGATTTAGATATTATATTGAGAATGAATTTCGACTGATTCATCGACCATTGAATATGGCAATACAAAGATTTTACTAGGATCTTGATGATAGTTAATTATTTCCTTAGGAGGTGCAAGTTTGCTTTCTTTTTTCTTCACATGCACGAAGTTTTCGCGCTTCAAACTTTCCAAGAAAGCTCCCAGTTCGTTTAAATGAGAACATTGTAATTTAATGGTTAAATGCTTCAAAGATATTCTCCGATAAATATAATTTGATAAATGTCTTAAAAAATCATGCTTATTTTTAATTCAAATATATTCAAAATATATTTTGTACAGATAATCCACATATAACGAAAGAAGAATGGGATCTGTTACGATCTGTTGATATTAAAGTCTCAAATTCGCTAACTCCAGTGCAGTTTGTTTTTTACACCGCCCTTGTTAAAGCAGCATCTCGCTTACTTATTGATCTCGAGATTGACATTAATTTCATGCCAAATCAGCGCATCTATCGTTTACAAGTTTTTCAGCCACAGTTCGATGTTTCCTTCATAATTGTAAGTTATTTCTAATGTCGACTTACCAGAAATAAAAATTCAGTCTGTTTTTATAACATGTTTACCATGATTGCACTATCACTAATATTTCTCATCCAAAAGTATAAAGTTACCATGGGTCAACCTTGGTTTGTTCATCTGGACTTTATATTTGTTCGATCTCAAGTTGCTCTTGTAATCTTCGTTTTCTGGATGGAGGAATATCTATTAAATAGCTTGAATATAATTACCTTTATGATTTCATGACATTTCAGACAGATCATCCGAAGGCCTGAAAAGCCGTGACAATTTGTAAAATGTGATTATAATTTATAGAAAGATCAAATCAGATACTCCCTTGTAAATGAACTTCTTTATAGCTATTACCAAAAATCGAAGACGTCTGTACTGTGCGAAGTTATTCATTAATATCGTCTGTACAGAAAGGTTGCTTCACACTTCCACTCCAAGTTTTTGAAGCGAGTAAGTGTCATATTCTGTGATTTTTTAACTAGTGGACGTGGATTTACCTCTCTGTTGTCTATTTTTCGTAGTAGAGGGGAAAAATTCATCTGATAAATAAACCTCGAAATGTCATATTTGCAGACTGTCCAGATTTATAAATTTCACTTTTAATATTAGTCTATCTTATCATCTATGGTGAATTAAACAAGACTATCCTGCCTTGTAGTACAGGTTGAACTGTATGATTTCTTTAAAATACAGTCTGCATTCTTCGTAAAATTTCTTATATCTGTGAGAATACATCAGAAATTTCAGTTCATTTGTGTACATACAATCCAGACTTCATTGGTACCTATTGCCGGCTTTCAGTTTTTATCGAACACTTTTCAACGGTAAACATAGAGTTTTAGGAAAATTTTTAATACTGCTCTCGATGTTTATCCGGTTCCTTCACAGCAGATCACTATAAAACTTTCAGTACATACAATACGAACAGAGGAACAGTTTGCTGGAGAAAGATATTAATATTTACGCTGATGTACTTTCAAAATTGGACGAGTTTCGACACAGGTCTTTTATAAGAAAAGAAACAAAGTTGATTTCTTTATGAGAAACCTAATAGCTTTTATGTTAGCATACCTCTAGGATATTTCGATTTCCTGTTTTAGATTAGAAAGCACTTGGAAATCAGTAAGGTGGATTGGTGATGTTGCTTCTATCGCACGAGATAAACGTACGAAAGGTGTTGTATCAATGAAACGTTTGTTTGCAGTTAGCAACGGAATGAATGACGAAGTTCGTCACAATGAACAAGGAACAACAAGCGACAAACAAGTAACGCCTACTTCTGAAGATCCTTCTACATCTGTTATGATTATAAGGACACGACATAATAGTAGCTGAATGGTTCATTCTTTTCACAACTAATATTAAAGCTGTTCACACACTGCAGGATTCAACGGACTCAAGTACATTATATTTTGATTTTTCTTACATGTGGCCACAAAGCATCATCTCATCAACCAATTCGCTCACTGGACTTTGGCTCCGCAATTGTTCCCAACCAAAAAAAACCCCAACCACAAGAGTAATTAAAGTTCATGCTGCTTACCAATGCGGTTTCACTTGTTCAGTCCGTCTTCAGATAGCACCAACAACTACTGCTAGCGAGATTGTTGCCTTGGTTACTGAACGATTAGCCAAAGCAGCTACAGAATCTGGAAAAAGGTTCGAATCCAAGGACCCAGAAGATTTTTGCTTGACAGTAGTCGTCGGGTCCCGAGAACGCAGACTACGAGATGATTTTCCACTCATGAAATTGCAGAATCCCTGGGGTGATGGACGTCTGTTTGTAAGACGTCGCGACAGTGTCCTGGCAGCTTTGCAAAGAGGTAATGAAACAGCTGTTTGAAGAATAATGATCTATTATTGTACGACCAAATCATTGTGTTTGTTGACCATTTCATGTGTTGTAAATACACCGTCCACTGTCAGACATTGTTGTACTTGTATACTTCAGTTAGAAAGAAGCAGGTGCTTAAAAATATAACTGAATTAAAAGCATCTGAATTCTAGAACTGGACGATATACAAAGCAGTCAAGGAAATAGTGATATATGTGTTTTACGGATATGGACGCTAACCAAAAAAAGGTAATTGGATTGGCGTCACTGAAATAATTATAACTGAAATACTGAAAAAAGGAAAGCATTGAATGGAAAAACAGTGATACAGAAACGTCACGGAAAAGGACTGACATTGACCTAAAAACTATACAATAAAATGAAATCTGATAAAGATAAACAGTAATGACGATCAGTCACTTATAACACCATAATGAAACATGAGTTTTTTTGAACATGACCAGGTATCTGTGAATGACAAAATAAGGAAAAAGACAATATCACTATAACCAAAACAATCCTGTCTTTCAAGAAATTAGAGGATGATAGACCAAACAAGTCTGGGAAATATTATTACGAAGCACCACAAAATGAGGAGTGATGAAGTCTCTTCAATTTTTCTCTTGAAATCGCGGACCAGCAGCTCATTGCGAAATCTGTGATGGGACAACAAAAATTGCAAAAAAAAAAAAAAAAAAAAAAACGCCTAGTGACTAAAGTTATTGCAAAACGAATTAAATACCCAACAAATTACCCTGTTTTCTTGCTACTTTTATTCAATATTTCGTGCTTCCAACTATTAAAGTTTCAAAGTTGTTAAAATTACATGGCCTGAAATGGATGTTTGAAACTCTAACCTAAGATACTAGGGAGAAAACATACGGCAGAGCACAGGACATGTAGCGAAACGTTGATGCAGTTCAGTGTTTTAATGCCAGAAAAAGTTTTCAATTCATTGAAATTTGGGAAATTCTTGAATATATTCACATCAGATATTATCAGATGGCTCTCAAAATATGGAACTATATCTAAGATGAAATAAGATGAAAATGTTGAAATTACATTGTTTCCAACTAAATGGATGTTTCATGTCATAAGCTTGACATAAGAATTATAATTTGATACATCCCTTTTCAAGATCTCACGCACCGGTCCCATCACACGTTCGAATCGTGCTCGATCTAATTTTACACATTTCAAAGGTGTTTTTGCAATTACGGTTGCAGCTCGAGGTCGATCTAAAAGAAGCGCTATCTCGCCTGAAAAAAGTAAACCTTAGAATTTATACAAATTCTGCCTGCATCCTGAATAACAGGAACGATAACGCATCGACACTTAGAATGTATCCTTTTCTTTCCTTGGAATGTTTCAAGGGCAGTCTCAGTCGGAAAACTTATGAGACTAAATAATTTTCAAAACAAAACGTCAAGAACTTGCCAAAGTAATCGGACGAGGACAAATGTCCGACGATTTCAAAAGGTGCGTCGTCACTTCGTTTCTGCAATACATCTGCCTGTCCTTCCACAATAATGAAAAACTCATCACCAGGATGTCCCTTAATTCAAAAAAAGAATTAGAAGTTCACCAGTTTGTGAAATATAAGTGAGAATATAATGTGAAGAAAACCATTTCCTATTTTAAATATATAAAAAATGCTAAGTACATAAAGATGTTCCCCAAACGGTTCAAACGTAAAGCCAGTAATGTTCCAAACGGAATGAATGCTTTTTCTTTGTCAAGAATGAACTTTATGGACAAATTTTATGAAAAATGAAAAGGTTTTGAACGAAAAAGAAAATAATTTGTAATCTTAAAAATAAAAAATGAGACAGTACATGCGAACCAAACCTGTTCGACGACACGTGTTCCTGGCTCGAAATCACATCTCTCTAAAGCATCAGCAACATTCGCTCGTTCCCACTTGTCGAGATCAGCTAAAAATTAATCGAGTCTAAATATAAAGTTCTTAAAACTTAGTCACACATGAATGAAATCTCAAATTGAAATTCTCTGAAATTTCCTAAAGTCTTAATTTAAAAAAAAAAAAAAAGTACAACACTAACACTGGATAACTACTACTAACGCATATATCGAATAATCTAAGGTCATAATATAGCAGTAGGCTGCCAGCTTCTTCATCTACCAGCAAGACAAAGCAAAGTAAGCGAAAACGACCTACACAGTATTTGAACTTTCGACAGAAATTCATCATAAAGCTTCCTCTTCCGCATTGTGGATCCCATGAGGATCTGTCTATAAGTAATACGATCAATAGCCCAACATTTCACTACATCAGATTTAGCAACTACTGTTGCTGCACGTGGAGTCCCATAGATTAGAGCGAGTTCACCGAAACTACCACCTTCTTTGATGGACAGTGCATATTCACCATTTACAAATACATCTACCTGGAAAGAATTACTAAATAAAGCAACAAATTGCGAGCCTCCATTTTCATAAAATTTCAGCATAAAATGCTATTTATTTGCATGCAAATCCCGATTCACGAATTTTCTACGGTAATATAAGGAAAGAGTTTCAGTGAAGATTAAAGATTAAAATGAGAGAAAAAAGGAGGAAGTAAGAAATTATAAAAAGGACCGATGGCGAAGACACAAGTAGTTTTTTCTGCAACAGAAGATCAAGATAAGCAGCATTTGACTAGTGAAATGAGCTATAAAGAAGTGTTTAGAAAGCTTACTTCACCAGAATCAATCACATAGAAATTATCGCCTTCTTCTCCTTGCTCAATGATAGTTTCGTTCTTTTTCTTTTCAACAGGAAACATAGCATCAAATATAGCTTTTTGTTCGTCTCCCTAAAGACAATTTAGTTTCACTTCTGCAACATTACGGTTTTTGCAAGTGGAGAAAGTACTTTCAAATTTAAAATCCGGATTCACAAAATCAGATTTTAAGTAAATAAAAATATTACTCTTTCTCTATTTAACAAATGAAAACAAAAAAGGAGACACACCATCATTTCTTTACATCATTTATAAGGTCTCAGGCTAAAATAATGACCCTTCTCTCACGGTTCAAAATACGACTTCCCTTGATTTGCTGTAACTTGTCCCAGACGACAAATTTAAGTGAAAATAGATTTTCATTGTTTTAAAACGTGCCAAAATATGAAACAAATTCGCTTAACATCTCGAACTATTAATTCGCTCTTCTTTAAAGATCGCTGATATTTCAGGGATACTGTAAAGATAAAACTCCTAATCTTTTGAAGGTACTCAGATAACGAAGAACGAAAGTGAATGAGTTCCAAATGAATGAAAAAAAAATAGAAGCAGAAACAAACTTCAAGATGCGAAAAGAGAATATTTCTGCACATTGCTGCTTCCAGTGCCCTTCGAGTTTCGTCGTCTTTAGGTATCACAACTTTATCATAATTCGCAGCTTCATTTTCATCGGGAACCTATAAGAATTCGAAATGGAAATGAACGCTAAACCAAATACACTGCAGCCAGATTCTTCACAAATTTAACGAAAAACAAACCTCCGCACTAACAGCAAGACGTCGCCGGTTCCCCTGTTGTATTTTTGGTGGTTCATCAATGGTGTCATCATCATCTGCTGCTGCTTCTGCTCGTGGAATTGACACCTGCAAGAACAGTAATAACAAAACCCACAACCTGTACGAAAGCCGCAACAATGGGATCAGGAAAATCTGTGTGTCATAAAAGCTTATTAGCTACTCTCCACTTCATAAACAAATGTTGGGCGTTTTTGGGTCTTTTTAGTGAACAAATAAGGAAGGAAAGGATGTGTACCACAGGAGTTTTGTCGCCGAGCTTCTGGCTCTGAATAGCATTAGCTGCACAGGCAGTGGTAATAATAGAGGTTGCAGATGTAGCAGAAGCAGCAGTAGCAGCACCTGCACTCATGTTGCGACGCCTTTTCAAACTCAAATGTTGTCCCATTTTCAAAATTAGTAATCTGGAATATGCCTACATAAACCACAAATGGGCAGCCAAAAATGCGCCGATTGACCGATTCTCATGTGCGTTTTCGGCTCTCTTGCAGTTGGTGCCTATGTGTGTTATATATATATATATATGTGTACGTCCGTGCACCCGTACCCTAACAATGGTCGTCAACAGCAGCAAATAACGCTTGCGAGTAGAGCAATAGGAAAAAGCAACGAGAGCTGCAGCAGCTTCATACTACCCACCGATCAATGCAGCATTTATTTGCTTCGTCAATCATCATCCCGCTCGATTTCATTCCGTCGTTTTCAAAATACACAAACTTCCTCTTTTACCTACTGCAGCCTCACTCTAGTCCTTACTTTAACTCTACTTTCTATTTCAACGGGGCTAAGCGCAGAACAGATCGAACCTCCATTATAAAAACATCCTTCCATCTTATTAGATCGCTGAGAAAATGGGTAACGTGCATCAGTAACAAACAGTTTGGGGTTATACGTTATATCTATCTAAAGTGAAAAAAAGAGTTGTAGTAATACTTATGAATATGGTATGCAGTATAGACTGATTAGTGTTACTATAACAACTCTCGTTATTTCACTTATTAAATTACACAATTTGATGAAATGCATCAACCATCTGGCTGCCTTTCAGAAAAATGAACGTTTAGTTATAAGAACATCCTTCCATCTTATTAATTGTAAATTCCTAATCACCTAATGATACTCAAAGCATGATTCACATGAACAAATTTATGAAAATTAGACATATTCACGGACATAAATAAATAAATGTAGATGCAAATACACAATATGAGTTCCGTATTCTACGAAAAGGAATCTGAACGTTCAAATTATCACTTGATAACACAAAACACAACAAATTTGAAATAATTCAAATTATCAAGTTAAAATATTTAACTTCACAAAATAGAAACTAGTTTTCAAATTAGTATAATTTTTTTTGAATGACATTTTACCGAAAGCCCTCCTAGAAGCCAAACAAAATAAGTTCTCCTATGATCAAAAGTCTCGAGAGCAAATTCTAATTATTCAGACTCTGAGTATGATTACTC